GAAATACCGAAATTGTACCCTAATCGCACCGTACCATACCGATTTCATACCGTTTCATTTGGTATGGGGAGATATTCGGTACTGTACCGTACCGTACCAATAGAATATGGTATGGTAGCGGTATCAAGATTTTCGTACCGGTCAATACCATACCGTACCGAATAGTATAACTTTATGTTTTTGTCATTTATGTTTGGATTGTGTTTGTATTTTTGTAAGCCATAAGGCATAATTTTAACTATTTTAGTTTGTAAGCCATAAGGCATGAGTTTTAACCATTTGGGTTTGATGAATTTGTTGATGGATAAATATTGATTTGGTTGATTTGGATATTGAATATGTTGATTAGGATTTGGATATTGAATATGTTGAATCTTTGAATTTGTAACTTAGGCATCACTTATTTTGGTGTTGAATATTGAATTGGTTTTCCTTTTTTGGTTGTATTATTTTGGTACCGAAATTATACCGATACCGATTTGGCACGGTACGGTACTGTACCAATTTTGACAAACCATAATCCCATCAATTGGAAGAATTAGTAGAAAATGAGAATGATGTGAATGAAGAAGTTGATGATCTAGATGAAAATGAAAATATTGATGAACTTTTGCATGATGAAAATGAATGTCCCGTAACAAGATTTGATTTGAACATTTATGATCCACGAGTTTGGGATAGTCTTGATCCATTGTGGAGGATGAAAAGAAGAATGATTAAATCAAGAAATGCTTACGGAGATTGGGGAGGAAGCATGTAGACTCAAATATGTGGTTTTTTGTTTTTGAATACAATGTTTACAATGCAAGGTACTCTTTTTCTTTTGTTTGGAGTTTTATCCCATTGGGTTTTCCCCAAACAAGGTTTTAATGAGGCACCAAAGTGTTCTTCCTTATCTTTTGTAAATTCTTATAATTTTAATAAAATTAATTAGTTAATAAATATTTTTTTTAATTTTAGTGTTTAATTTGTATAAAAGGGCACACTTGAGAAAATTTGCCCTGACCTTAGAAAATCTAGGATCGGCTCTGGTATACGGGCAACATCCTCATGGTCGCTTTTGAGCGATTGTGGATAGCAATTCTCTGGGTGGTAAAACTGCAACAAAATGTGGTCACGTTACACATACGTGACTCTTTTTGACAGTAGGCAGGTATTTCCTTATTTGTCCTTGATGGATCCAGAGGTGTTGGGCCTGAGCATGGAATGGTGTCGTCACACCTAATCTAAAAGAACAATGATTGTTGGCGATGGAAAGTTGCCTTTAATTAAGACAGTCTAAATATAAAACGTTTTTTGACCAGTTGCCCTTTGATTTATTGAGCTGGAAATAAATCCAAGCAATGTACAAGTAATCCCATTGAAAACTTCTTTTAATTTATGTTTTTTTTTTTGCTAATTTAATTCGGGAACAGTCAAATTCAAGGAAGAAGAAGAAGAAGAAGAAAGTTTTATTAAGCTCACAACAGGTTTTTGAAGACATTCGACAATTCATATTCTATAGCTGTATGTGAAGGTAGTCTGAGGGAATTACAGTGTATTGGCTGACTGGTGAAATGTTAAAGCTTTTCTTCTGTGGTCTCGAACTTGAAGTTGAAGGTATTGGTGCCACAGTAAACCCCATCATCCATGTCGTTGGTAATTATATTCCCGTCAGCAAGAGTTTCGCGCTTCGTATAGGAGAAGGGAACATCGTAAGAAGCCTTGGTCGCTAGAAGCCTCACCTTCACCATAGCCATTGCCGTCAGCACAACCTTATAGACAGCAACCTCGTTTACATTACATGTGAATGTTGTGGCTGTCCCGGTTTTTCTCCTCTCCACTGATTCTGCAAACTCATCAACCTCGATCTTTCCGTTGTCTGCCATGACTGGAACCTCACCGTCGATGCTTCCTTGGACGCCCAACTTGAACACGCTGGACTTCAAGCTTCCGCTCCTAGTTTTTTTATACGAGAGCTTCAGCTCTACAGTTTGAGTTTCTTCTGTACAGTTAACCGCCTCTCCCATGACAATTTCGACAACCTTCTTGTTGTAGATCATGGCGTCCCCAAGGCGGAAAGTGACGTTATAGATCTCCTTTGAAACTCCAAGCTCTTTCACCTCCTTGTTGTATGCTTCTGAGTTGTCGCTTGTAATTTTTTCAGTGACGGAAAATCTCTGGATGCTGGTTGAGTTATCTTCGTCTAGGCAGAGCCAATCGCCCTTGGTCAGCCTCCACAATTTGCCCGAGGAATAGGAGAGGCCTCCATCGGCGCTGGCGAAGACCTCGTTCAAGCCGGTGCCGAGCAAGTTACCATTATGGCCCTTGAACGCCACATGTTTGGGAAGCATCATGAACAGCGATTCCCAATCGGTGACAGTGAACACATCGAACAACTTGGGGTTAGGGTCTCTATCTCCTACGTACAAGCCTCCTCGAAGTGCTGGCTTATTTTGGCCGCTGAGCGTTGGCTCATATTGGCCGGTCTGATTGCCCTGATAAATGGTTAGGTATTCTTTACGTCCGGTATGGAGGAATCGGAGCACCAGTATATGGTTTGTGCTTTTGTCATCGTCGACTAGGACATCATCATTTATGTACACCGGCTCGAACAAGGTACACAAGAGCTTAGATTTGTCTTCCTCTGGCTCATCAGCCACAGCAGCGATCAAGTAGCTATCAAGCCTACGCCTTACCCAGTATTTGTTGTTGTAGCAACACTTAATGTGGACAAGCCCCTCGTTGCCGCTACTCTTTGCCATCTCCACTTCAAACTTCGCATATTGGCTCCCTGCCTCTTGTCCAGAGAACTTGAGATACCCTGCTGGCACATAGTTCTTGATGTCTTCATCTATGTACCGCAAGTATTTCCCGTTGGTATTTGATGTCACCACCACAAACCTTGGTAGGGTTGGCATTTTCTCTCTTCTTTCTATCACTTTAATTCCTCAATTCTGTGTGCAAGATACATTCTGTGTCTTTGATGCTATTTGTAGTAAAACAAAAAATACTCAAAATGCCAGGATCTACAACGCAGCTTCTCAATGCTCAAGCAGCAAAATGTTCTCACACAGACACGGAAGAAAATAGAAGGAAGAAGACTGAAGCAAAAAACTCAGAAGGAATATAGAGAAAAAACTAAAGCAACCTCACAGATTAATTCACTTTCAATGATAAAAGTTTTGCTACAACACTCATTACAAATAGAGACAACGTCCCTTTGAGAGGCATAAAGACTTTCCAGCAAAAAAGAGAAAAGTTGCCCGGAGACAACCGACAGCATGCTTCATAGGGTAATCCCAAAATAGTAAATTTAGGTTTTAGCTATAAAAAATTTCATTTTGGAAAAAGCCAAAACTTTTTTTAAAAATATAGAAAAACCTCTCAACTTTCAAACTAAAGATATACAAATATAAAGAATTCCTTAGGAAATCTAAAAATAAATAAGGGCATTTTTGTCCGTTTCAACCTTTTACAAAAATGAGCTCATTGGACCAATAAACAAAGCAAACCTAGCCGACAATGCTCTCATGCTTTTACTAAATGGATAAAGTATAAAACTTGGCTTTGGATTCCTTTGGCTTGGTTTAACTTTCAACATTATTTATCAGAAAAATGACCATGGCCTCGTGACGTCATGATCTCATGACATCAAGGCATCTCATTTTTAAGTTGATCGAATAAAGTAAGCTCACACGACCATGAACATCACGGCATCTCATATTTTTAATACAATATTCAAGGTTAAAGAAAAGAAGGCTTTTTATCACAAAACGTCATTGACATTTCCGAAACTATCAGATTGTATCCTTAAAATTTTTTTGTATCACTCATGGTTCCTAACATTAATATAGGTGTTCTTAAATAGTCCATCTGTAAAAAAAACTATTAAATCATGGGATATAATTGTCAAATCAATCCAAAATTATAAAATATATATGTTTTATTTCCTTACCTTCTCTCTATCTTTCTTCTTCTTCTTTCTCTCTGCCAGATTCTTTGATGCTGCACAGCAATGTCTATCAGTAAACAAATGAGATGCAGCCACAATTATGACATTCATTGATGCAGCCACAAAATATTTCAAATAAATAATCACCTTGCTCAGATGAATATCATGGATGGTTAAATAAAATTCTGTATAGAAGAAGGGAGGGGGGGGAGAGGAAGACTTACTGGGAAAGAATGAGTAACAAGGTTGAAGTTTAATCCTTTTCTGGTGGTTTCTATTTGCAACTTCAGTCAATGACTTGTTGAAATATAGATGTTTAAAGCTCAGATTTTTCTCCTAAACATATGGGTTCTGTCAATATTTGAGTATCGGATTTTGATTAGTATGAAAAGAAAAATGTTTATTTTGTGGGGGACCCATATGAATAAGCACATGTCGTTTTAGAGACGCCTGACCTGATTCAAATGTAAATTGGGTACTTCTAATGATGTAGAACAGATGGCAGATTTTATCGCGGTTGAGCAAGAAAAGGGACGTGGTGGGAATTTGCAGAATTGTCGTCCGAGCTCCGATTAGGGAGAAAAATACCATTTCGGAAAGGGAACGATGCCACGAGTCAAACTCACTGCTTTGCTGTGACGTACGATGGATTTTGGCATTCTGGAGTCGTTTGGCCTTTCAAAACTGCATTCAAAGTTCGAAATTAATTCCAAATAAATTCTGTTTTTCCGTTTCGGAGTTACATAGTTAATTCCCAAAATAAATTCTGTTTTTTTTCAGTTTCGGAGTTACGTAGTTAAGTCTCCGAATTAATTCTGTTTTTCAGTTTTATTGTAATAACTCCCCTAGCAGTTACAAGGGTTGAGAGTTGTGTATTTAGACGGGTTCGTCTAACGTTTTTTGGCAGTTCAGATTTTAATCAAATTAATCAAAGAGAGTTTCTCTTAATTTCTGGTGGATTCCAGTTTCCTTGTTACTCAAGGTTTTCGTTTGAAACCTTATTTGCTTGTGCTGCGTCAAGTGGTATCAGAGCGGGTCTCTCCCGTCTTGGTATTCTTGTCTTATCATGGGTGATCGTGAAGCTGATGTCCCAGCCCCAATTACTCGAGCGGATCTGGACGCTCAAAACCACCGGATCGACAACCTAACCACCCAATTTGGGGAGATGCGAGAATTGTTGTTGCAAGCTCTTGGTGGCAACCATAGGCGAGGAGGCAGGGATGACGAAAGAAGAGAAGGCAGGGATGATAATCGAAGAGAAGGTAGAGATGGCGAGAGAAGAGATAATAGGAGGCAACTTATTCCGGATAGTGAGTCAGAGTCAGAAGAAGAACTTGAAGAACCACCACCACCGGCTAATAATCCTCGTAATCGTAATCGTAATTACGAGAATTTTGGCGACTATCGGATTAAAGCAGAAATTCCTAACTTTTGGGGAAATCTGAAGATTGAAGACTTCTTGGATTGGCTTGTAGAAGTGGAGAGGTTTTTCGATATTATGGAGGTTCCTGAGCATAAGATGGTGAAGATGGTAGCTTTCCGTCTTAAAGCTACAGCGGCTGTTTGGTGGGATCAATTGCAAAATTTACGGCAGAGGCAAGGAAAGCAGCGGGTTCGAACATGGCGGAAGATGAAGTCGCTTATGATGGAACGATTCTTGCCCACAGATTATGAGCAGATTCTCTACCGTATGTACCTAGGCTGTGCGCAAGGCACCCGTTCAGTTTCTGAATATACCGAAGAATTCATGCGTTTGGCAGAGCGAAACCATTTGACCGAGACTGACAACCAAAAGGTCGCGAGGTACAACAATGGGCTGAAGATTTCCATCCAGGAAAAAATTGGTATGCAGAATATATGGACTTTGCAGGAGGCGATTAACATGGCATTGAAGGCTGAATTGTTGGAGAAGGAGAAACGCCAACCCAACTTCCGCAGGAACACGACGGAAGCCTCTGAATATACTGCTGGTGCTTCTAGTGGCTCAGGAGATAAGGGAAAAGCACAGCAGCAGAATCTTGGAGGATCGACAAAACCAGCAACAGTTGGCCAAAACAAAAATTTCAACGAAGGTAGCAGCCGGAATTACAACAGAGGGCAACCCCGAAACCAGTCCCAGAATCCGTATGCTAAGCCCATGACGGACATATGTTACCGTTGCCAAAAACCAGGGCATCGTTCTAATGTTTGTCCAGAACGGAAGCAGGCCAACTTTATCGAAGAAGCCGATGAAGATGAGGAAAACGATGAAGTCGGGAAGATGATTATGCAGGGGCTGAATTTGCAGTTGAGGAAGGAATGGAGAAGATTACCTTGGTTTTGCAGAGAGTTCTTTTGGCACCAAAGGAGGAAGGGCAGCGTCATAGTATTTTTCGTTCCCTCTGCTCAATCAAAAACAAGGTGTGTGATGTGATCGTCGACAATGGAAGTTGCGAGAATTTCGTGTCAAAGAAATTGGTGGAGTATTTGCAGTTATCTACGGAGCCTCATGTCAGCCCTTACTCACTAGGTTGGGTTAAAAAAGGCCCTTCGGTTCGTGTAGCTGAGACTTGCCGAGGGCCACTGTCAATTGGTAAGCATTACAGAGATGAAATATTATGTGATGTTATTGACATGGATGCATGCCATATTTTGTTAGGGCGACCTTGGCAATTTGATGTGGATGCAACTTTCAAGGGACGAGATAATGTAATTCTGTTCTCTTGGAACAACCGGAAAATTGCAATGGCAACCACACAGCCCGCAAAGCAATCTGTTGAGCCCAAGACGAGGAGTTCTAGTTTTCTAACCCTAATTCACAGCGAGCAGGAGTTGAACGAGGCTGTCAAAGAAGCGGAGTGTTTTTGTCCCTTGGTGTTGAAGGGGTTGTTAAAAATTGGCGGAGGAGAAGGTGACATTCCACAAGATGTGCAGCAGATTTTGAATCAATTTCAGGAACTACTTTCTGAAAATCTGCCAAACGAGCTGCCTCCTATGCGGGACATACAGCACCGAATTGACTTGGTGCCTGGAGCTAGCCTTCCGAATCTGCCCCATTATCGGATGAGCCCCAAGGAGAATGACATCCTGAGAGAACAGATTGAAGAATTACTGCGGAAAGGATTTATCCGGGAGAGTTTGAGTCCCTGCGCAGTTCCTGTTTTGCTGGTTCCAAAAAAAGACAAAACTTGGCGAATGTGTGTTGATAGCCGGGCAATCAACAAGATAACAGTCAAGTACAGGTTTCCCATTCCACGGTTAGAAGATATGCTGGACGTTCTTGGCGGCTCAAGGGTGTTTTCCAAGATAGATTTGCGAAGCGGATACCACCAGATTCGCATACGACCTGGAGACGAATGGAAAACAGCGTTCAAGAGCAAGGACGGATTATTTGAATGGTTGGTGATGCCATTCGGATTGTCAAATGCACCTAGCACTTTCATGCGACTCATGAATCAGGTTCTTCGACCATTTATTGGTTCTTTTGTCGTTGTTTATTTCGATGACATTTTAATTTACAGTACCACAAAAGAAGAACATCTTGTGCATTTGAGACAAGTTTTAGATGTGTTGAGAGAAAATAAGTTGTATGTGAACCTTAAAAAATGTACTTTCTGCACAAATAAGCTACTGTTCTTGGGTTTTGTTGTTGGTGAGAATGGTATCCAGGTAGATGACGAGAAGATCAAGGCAATCCTTGACTGGCCAGCTCCAAAACAGTTTCTGAAGTTCGAAGCTTCCATGGCTTGGCCACCTTTTACAGAAGATTTGTGAAGCATTTTAGCACCGTTGCTGCACCTATCACAGAATGTTTGAAGAAGGGCCGGTTCAGCTGGGGAGAGGAGCAAGAGAGAAGCTTTGCAGAAATAAAAGAAAAGCTTTGCACCGCACCGGTTCTAGCTCTTCCAAACTTTGAGAAAGTTTTCGAAGTTGAATGTGATGCCAGCGGTGTGGGAGTCGGAGCTGTGCTCTCACAAGACAAGCGGCCAATTGCGTTCTTTTCTGAAAAGTTGAGCGATGCACGTCAAAAGTGGAGTACTTATGACCAAGAGTTCTATGCGGTTGTTCGAGCTTTGAAGCAATGGGAGCACTATCTTATCCAGAAGGAATTTTTTTTGTTTACAGATCATCAAGCGTTGAAGTATATTAACAGCCAGAAAAATATTGATAAAATGCATGCTAGATGGATGACTTTTTTGCAGAAATTTTCGTTCGTTATCAAGCATACTTTCGGCAAGACCAATCGTGTGGCAAATGCGCTGAGTAGGAGAGCTTCATTATTAGTCACGCTGACTCAAGAAGTTGTGGGGTTTGAATGTCTGAAGGAATTATATGCAGGTGACGATGATTTCCGGGAAATTTGGATTAAGTGCACTAATCAAGAGCCAATGGCAGATTACTTTCTCAATGAAGGTTATTTGTTCAAAGGCAACCAGCTGTGTATTCCAGTTTCTTCTTTAAGGGAGAAGCTCATTCGGGACTTGCATGGTGGAGGGTTGAGTGGCCACCTAGGCCGTGACAAAACAATTGCATTGTTGGAGGAGAGATTTTACTGGCCACAGCTCAAACGTGATGTTGGAACTATTGTGCGCAAGTGCTACATTTGTCAAACTTCGAAGGGACAGGTACAAAACACTGGATTATATATGCCATTACCAGTTCCTAACGATATTTGGCAGGATCTTGCTATGGATTTTGTCCTCGGATTGCCCCGAACACAAAGGGGAGTGGACTCTGTATTTGTGGTGGTTGATCGGTTCTCAAAAATGGCGCATTTCATAGCCTGCAAAAAGACTGCCGATGCATCAAATATAGCCAAACTGTTTTTCAGGGAGGTTGTTCGCTTGCATGGGGTTCCTACATCCATTACATCTGATCGTGACACCAAGTTCTTGAGTCATTTTTGGATCACTTTGTGGAGACTGTTTGGGACTACTTTGAATCGTAGCAGCACTGCCCATCCCCAAACTGATGGCCAGACTGAGGTTACAAACCGGACATTGGGCAATATGGTGCGAAGCGTCTGTGGAGAGAAGCCGAAACAATGGGATTATGCATTACCGCAGGTGGAGTTTGCATACAACAGTGCAGTCCATAGCGCTACTGGGAAGTCTCCATTTTCCATTGTTTATACTGCTATACCTAACCATGTTGTAGATTTGGTGAAACTGCCTAGAGGCCAGCAAACCAGTATGGCAGCGAAAAATTTGGCTGAGGAAGTGGTAGCCGTTCGAGATGAGGTCAAGCAGAAACTTGAGCAAACAAATGCTAAGTACAAAGCTGCTGCGGATAGGCATCGACGTGTTAAAGTGTTTCAAGAAGGCGATTCTGTGATGATATTTCTGAGGAAGGAGAGGTTTCCAGTTGGCACTTACAGCAAGCTTAAACCGAAGAAATATGGTCCTTACAAAGTGCTCAAACGGATCAATGATAATGCCTATGTTATTGAGTTACCGGATTCCATGGGAATTTCCAATATTTTTAATGTTGCAGATTTATATGAGTTCCGTGAAGATGAGGTTCTTTATCCAGATCATAACTCGGGGTCGAGTTCTTCGAGGTGGAGAGGACTGATGTAGAACAGATGGCAGATTTTATCGCGGTTGAGCAAGAAAAGGGACGTGGTGGGAATTTGCAGAATTGTCGTCCGAGCTCCGATTAGGGAGAAAAATACCATTTCGGAAAGGGAACGATGCCACGAGTCAAACTCACTGCTTTGCTGTGACGTACGATGGATTTTGGCATTCTGGAGTCGTTTGGCCTTTCAAAACTGCATTCAAAGTTCGAAATTAATTCCAAATAAATTCTGTTTTTCCGTTTCGGAGTTACATAGTTAATTCCCAAAATAAATTCTGTTTTTTTTCAGTTTCGGAGTTACGTAGTTAAGTCTCCGAATTAATTCTGTTTTTCAGTTTTATTTGTAATAACTCCCCTAGCAGTTACAAGGGTTGAGAGTTGTGTATTTAGACGGGTTCGTCTAACGTTTTTTGGCAGTTCAGATTTTAATCAAATTAATCAAAGAGAGTTTCTCTTAATTTCTGGTGGATTCCAGTTTCCTTGTTACTCAAGGTTTTCGTTTGAAACCTTATTTGCTTGTGCTGCGTCATTTAATCACTTGTAAAATTCTTGTTGCTTGAATTGTCATATATAATATATTCCCAAAAAAAAAGAAGAGAGAGAGAGAGAGAGAGAGAGATTAGCACAAGTGAACAAAAGCGTAGGTTGTTAGTTCATATCGAGAGTAAAGCATCTAAAACCAAGTTCTGTAACTTTAATTTGATGGATGTATATGTTTTCTATGCTTGTTAATTTGTCATGAGGACCCAACATGAAAAACCATTTCCCCTGGCATGCGAAATTTATTTTACTGTATGCAAAGTTGGAGGAGAACTCCCTGAGACAAAGCCACACTGTGTTCTGACCCATGACCGAACCGTTTCCTCGCCAACTAGTTGGAAATACTGATGTTACTACATTAGGGTGTTCATGGCCTCCTAATCAGAGACAATATACTTCAACGTATAACTGTAAGGCTAACAAGGTTGTAGACATGGAAATTTTAGTGAAATAAAAATTCACTAATTTACAGTCAAAACTCAAAATTTAAAATTTGACTAGTCAAAGAAAATTGGAAAATTTGTGAGTCCTACACAAATACATGTGGCATATGACTCACGCATACAAAGGTGTGCACTGGAGATGACACATGTCAACATCTAAGAGCTTCATCAATCAAATGAAATCATATGCCAAAAAGGAATAAATTATCCTTATTTGGTTCCTAAATCATGAGTTAATTTCCCTAAATGAAGGATTTTGACTTAATTAAGAGCTAAATTAAATCAATTAGTTCAAATTAAATCAAATCAGAAATCAATCTCACAAAACAAGGGATTTAGATTGGGGATTCCAAATCAAGACCCAATTCTTTGCGTATAAATACTAGGATCAAATTTTGAGAAACGACCTGAAGAAAAAGAGGCACACACACTTTGGAAAACTTGAAAGCTCTCTACCAAAAGCAACACCTAGACTCTCAAGTTCTTCATCAAGCTCGAGGAGAATCACCAAGCATAACAAACGCGTGCCGGTTCCTTCACCGCCAAAGTTGAAGACAATCCACCGTGTGACATTACTCATGGTCATGGCGTGTTCGAGATCAAGCTGTAACAGCCTTTGACGGAGTCTCAAATTCCGATTCAAGATCAAGTGCTTGGGACCTTGAACCACACACACACACACTTTTGGAGATCAAATCAGAGTAAATTATTTTATTTTTGTAAAAGAATACCCACAAAGATTGTAACATACACACTTGATAAATCAATACGAATATTATTTTGTACACGTGTTCTTGTCTCATTTGTCGCAGGATTTTCATGTTTACAAAGGTATCCGAACTGAGTTTCTGAGTCGACTTGAGTATCTAAGAGTGGCCGAAATGGTTGTTGGTGAAGCGTAGTACCCGTTTGGCATTGCTTATTTGGGGGTGATACGCGATTTTTTAAAATTTTTGGGAAGCCCAACCTATTTGGTAAACTATGAGAAAATAACTTATTATTGAAAATTATTGTGAGAGAAAGTTATAAGGGAAAGTAGCTAATGAGATGCTTTCATTTTTTGATTATGTGGGAATCAGTTTCGAAGAGGCACTAGATTTAGTGATTATGCGGGAATCATTTTATGATTATGCGAGAATTAGTACCAACAACACTTATAACAAAAAAGTTTACCAAATTCCAAACTGATTTCTCTCACAGCAAATCTGACAACAATTATTTTCACAGCACAGCAATGCCAAACTGGCCCTATTTAAATCTAAGTGCCCGTTTGGCATTACTTATTTGAGGTGATAAGTGATTTTTAAAAAAATTTGGGGAGCCCAGTTCGTTTGGTAAGCTATGAGAATATCACTTATTGTTAAAAATTGTTATGAGAGAAAGCTATAAGGAAAAGTAGCTAATGAGGTGCTTTCATTTTCTGATTATACAGGAATTAGTTTTGAAGGGGCGTTGGGTTTAATGATTATACGGAAATCAGTACCAACAACACTTTTAACAAAAAGTTTACTAAACGCCAAACTGTTTTATCTCACAGTTGATTTCTCTCATAGCAAATCTGGCAGCGATTATTTTCACAGCATAGTAATGCCAAATTGGCCCTAATTCTTGTAGTGTGCCTGCCTAGTTTACTAGGCGGTTGTGTCCTTTTCTCTTTCTATCATGGAAGCAGGTGAAGTTTTTGAGCCTGACTTTTACGAAGAAGTGATGTCCATAGTCTTTGAGAACTCCTTGGATTTAGAAGATCGGCCAGAGCACTTTATCACCCTTGTTGGCCTCCATATATCACAAACCACGAACTCTTCCCCCTCCCCCAATTTGTTGTCAAGGAGGTCCTCTGCGTCCTTAGGAACAATATGGGTCTTGTCAAAGTGGTGAAATCTAAGGAAAACTTGTACGCTGTGATCATGGAAGATGAGGCCGTCACCAACCAGCTTTTGGAAGATGACCCATGGTTTGTTAAAAGGCATGCCTTTACCTTGAAACCATGGTCATTGTATTGCTTCATAAAAGACATTGAAGTAAATCGGGCTATCTTTTGGGTTTAGACCCATGGGATACTAAGGAATTTGTGCACAATGAAGAATGCTAGGTAGCTGGGAGAGAAAATTGGGTTAGTAATGGAGGTTGAAAACTTTGAGGAGGTGGGGTTCAGAGGATTCTTAAGAACAAGAGTTGATTTGGATACCTCCAAACCTCCCCCCCCCCTTGATTTTTCCATACCTTATCCAGCCATGGGGTGTCTAAAGATTCGCTTGAAATATAAAGGGCTAGAGGATTTTTGCTTAGTCTGTGGCAAACTGGGCCACTCAAGAGGCTGCCAACATCCACCCAACCCTAGTTTCACGGTGGATGGATGGGGAATGCTAGGTAGCTGGGAGAGAAAATTGGGTCAGTAATGGAGGTTGAAAACTTTGAGGAGGTGGGGTTCAGAGGATTCTTAAGAATAAGAGTTGATTTGGATACCTCCAAACCTCTCCCCCCTGATTTTTCCATACCTTATCCAGCCATGGGGTGTCTAAAGATTCGCTTGAAATATAAAGGGCTCGAGGATTTTTGCTTAGTCTGTGGCAGACTAGGCCACTCAAGAGGCTGCCAACATCCACCCAACCCTAGTTTCACGGTGGATGGATGGGGTTTTGGTGATGAAATGAGAATGGCTGTCATCTCAAGTGCCCCAAATTCTCTCTTTCCTAGTCGCCGAAGAAAGAGAGTTGGACTGGGATAACTGAGAAAGCAAATGGGAGCGAGAAAGTGGTGACCGGTGCAGCTTTCCGACTGATATGCATGAGAGGGGTAGTCGTGATACTTTGGCTAACAACAATACAGGTTTATTGCCACAAAAAAACAAATGAGGTAAAAGAACAGGGTCAGATGTTAGCAGTGCAGAGCCATCCTATAGTGACAACAAGGTTTGTCTCTACATCACAGTTTGCAGATCTATTTCCTAGGACTAGCAGCGCTGCAACCTCAACCCGTAGGCCTACCCTGGCAGATTATAACAGGAAGTTAGAGAGAACAACAAGGAAGAAAAGAAGACATTACTTAAACAAGGAGCAGGATGCCACTAATAAGCAAACAAAGAAAATACTAGGACTTTTCTCGCAAATGATATGCACAACATAGCCTATCACACACCGTGAACAAGGTGATTGGTGTTAGGAAGGCCACAAATAGGCCCTATTTGGCTTCCTCTCTGGCAACTTCCTACCTTACCCAAGAAAGGGCATTGGTGATGTTTCCTTCTATAAATCGTATCTTTTGGCATAGGTAAATTACACAAGAACTTATGTCAAATTGAATCCTAGAACTCACCCTCCAACACAGTTCTTGAGGGAAGAAGGTGTCATTAGGCTCAAAGTGAATTGACGATATTAAATCATAGCACCTTGGATAGGGCTCAGGAGAGTTATAATCTCCATCATCAGAAATGTCGCAAGCATGGACATTAAGTCAGCAAAATCATAATTGAAATTTTATAAATATTGTATGAAGAATAAACAAAGAAACGGAGAAGAAATTGAACGAAGAACCAAGGAAGAACTGCACTCACTGTTTGACTTATGGCAGCAAACGTCTACGAACAAACTCTACGTACAAAGATTCCCAATCTAACAGAGTTTTCTTTTTTAGGTTTATGTGGGTTTTAAATTTGAGGGCATTTGTGTCTATTTAGGTGAGTTTTCTACTATATTTGTAATTTTTTACAAAAATGGAATTTTTGAAAAAGAAAAATTAGGTATTAGACATAAAAATCTTTACTAATGAGGATTTGATACCTAGAGTATTTTTGTTTTGGTTTTGATACATAGGTATCAAATTTTGTTTTGGATTTGGCTGAAGAGGAGGCCCAGATTCGTTGGTTCTGTCTAAATTATAAAGGTAAAATACAATTTTACTCTTTTTGTTTAAAAGCCTTCTAAAATCAGATCTCACTCTTTCTTCATCTCTCTTGGACAGACGCCGCACAACGACTGCCTCAGATCATGGCTTCTCGGGCCACCAGCGATGACGACTGGTAACAAGTAGGGTGCAGTCTATGCTGTTATGGTTTCTAACTTTCATGTGGTTAGTCTTGAACTATTTTCTGCAGGTTATATATCTGATTTCTTTCAATTTATGGTCCTTCAAAAACTTCTTGATGACCCAACTTCCAGGCTTCTCTTGCCTCAACAACACCATGGCTGTGCAAAATTCTCGTTGTCCACACTCCTTCTGCATTACTTTTCTACCATTATCAGAGACCCATCTACATCCAAGTCCACGATGTTGAAATGTAATCCTTTCTGCTGCTTTCTTAGAGCCGAAGTCACCAAGGCTTATTTCTCATTTCTTTTATGTCTAGTTTATATGATGTAATGAGAGCCATTAGATTATAGTCTAGGTGAACTCTCTAGCTTAGATTTGGCATGACAAGTGTAATCACCTCATAGGGTGACAGCTGTAATTCTGTTAGAGAAGAATCACATTTCTCTCTCTCTGTCAGTCACACTATGTAAGCCAACTGTTTGTGAAAATGCAATAGAACAGTGCCTTCTCATTCTTCTTCTTTCTCTCTAGCAAAATCTCCAGAATATACATATTTTCTAAATCTAAAAATACAGATACAACCATAGAATTCTAACACACGAGAGATTATTGACCCACCACGCTCAGACTTCCGGGATGACAAAACACGGGTCAAAAATCCTACGCAACTGGCATAATCATCATAGAATACTCTGGCAGCATCTTCTTATTCGAATAGCATACCCTCATATGGTTCTTGATTTGTGCTCACTTCAATAATATTTGTTTCCCCTCCTTCAGAAGTGTATATTGTCCCATTCTGATCATCCATTTGCACCTCCACTATAGGACAACATATATCAAGTTATAAGATACACTAACGCACACCTGTCAACCATGTTATCGAGCAGAAAGGGATTGGGTCCTTTCTGAGTTTAAAGCTGGCAAGAGCCCCATAATGACTGCAACAGATGTTGCTGCTCGTGGTCTGGGTATGGAAATAATTTATTTTAAGTTTGTCAAAAGACTTTAAAGGAATTCTTGTTTTGTGTAAACTTAGGAAAATGTCAAACCCCCACCCATGACACCATTTCATTTTGCTCTCTTTCCTATGTTTTATTTTGAGTGCTGCTAAACAAACCCTAAAATTAATTTAGTACACTCTATAATCTAAGTTAACCCTAATATTTTAATTAAAATGTAAAATTAACAAAGTACACCCTATTTAACTACCAAAAATAGCCCTAGTACAACACTTTAATACCAATCCTAAACTAGGTTTCTCTTTTTACATGAATTTGTGCCCTCTTTTCAGATTTTGGGTTTCATCAATATCTTTAATTTCGTAATACCAATCCTAAACTAAACTAATACTTGCTGCATTATTCGTGAGCACCAAGCAATATGAAGACTTTTCTACGTATGATAAGGGTTAAATATAGTGAGTAAGGTGTACTTATTAAAATTTTATTTGTTTCACAATTCAATATATCTTTTTTGGTCATTTTATATTAGGGTAAATTAGTAATTCAATAAATAGTTTGGTAGTAGGGTGTACTTAGTTCATTTAGGGTTCGTTTAGCAACAATCTTTATTTTTTTATGGTTTTACGATATTTTATTTTATTTGCACTTCTTTATTATTTATTAATTTTTCATTTATCTATTGAAAGATGCTATTCTTCCCTTCCCAACTAACAATTTCTATTTGTTTCCCATTTGGGATGAGACCCACTCCACGAAGAATATTACTATTTTCTGATTGATAAATGATCTAATTTAGCTACAACTTCTTATTATAAAGTTCACTTACTATGCATTTGTCTTGATTTGAAAATGGTATTGCAAAACTACATTGTACAGGTTATGCATTGTAGTTTTGCACAAACTATATTGCAGTTTTGGAAACTGCATTGCAGTTTTCATTTAATTACAATTGGTTTTTTGCTCTTTCCTTTGCCTTCAACCTCACCAAATTGAAGAGTAGAGGCTACCCATATGAGGAATTAGGTGGGCAAGAGAAGAGTAGAACTACCCAAGAGCAAGGGAACTCAAAATTAGATTTTTGGAAACTGCATTGCAGTTTTCATTAAATTACAATTGGAGTTTTGCTCTTTCCTTGGCCTTCAACCTCGCCAATTTGAAGAGTAGGGGCTACCCAAATGAGGAATTTGGAGGGCAAGAGAAGAGTAGAACTACCCAAGAGCCAGGGAACTTAAAATTGGACTTTTGGAAACTGCATTGCAGTTTTTATTTAATTATATTCGGATTTTTGCTCTTTCCTTGGGCTTCAACCTCACCAATTTGAAGAGTAGAGGCTACCCATATGAGGAATTGGGAGGGCAAGAGAAGAGTAGAACTACCCAAGACCAAGGGAACTCAAAATTGGACTTTTGGAAACTGCATTGCAGTTTTCATTTAATTACAATTGGATTTTTGTTCTTTCCTTGGCCTTCTACCTCACCAATTTTAAGAGTAGAGGCTACTCAGATGAGGAATTGGGTGGGCAAGAGAAGAGTAGAACTACCCAAGAGTAAGGGAACTCAAAATTGAACTTTTAGAAACTGCATTGCAGTTTTCATTTAATTACAATTGGAATTTTGTTCTTTCCTTCGCCTTCAACAACCTCACCAATTTGAAGAGTATCCAGATGAGGAATTGGGTGGGCAAGAGAAGAGTAGAACTACCCAAGAGCAAGGGAACTCAAAATTGGATAAAATTGTTCATCTTGGTTCCTCCATTTTTCTTCAATAAAATTAATTTTTGTTTTTTAAGCTATTTTTTTTTGTTTTTTTTTAACATAATTGATATCTACATTGTATTTTTGTTGTAGTTTTTATGTTTTTATTTGCAGTTTTTGTGTGAAAAAGTGTTGAAATGATTTTTATTTTATTTTAAAAACCGTTGATTGTTTATATAAATATTGTATAACTGAATAAATATTACAAAATCAAGTTTGGTGTAGTGGTTTGTGAGTGAGCCTTCCTCCTTTGAGGCTCAAGGTTTCGAGTCCCTTCAATGACACAAAATCTGATTTTTTAAAAGTGAATAAAGGGCAACGGAGTTGGTCCCTTGTAGATGGTGGCAAACCGACGACGGGCGGTGGCGGCCGGCGGGGTGGCTGGTGTGGCCGGCGAGGGCCGACGTGGTGGTGGGTAATTTTGATATTTTCTAATGATATTTTTGTAAAAATAGGTACTACATTTTGGCTTTGGCCTTATGCTAATTAGATGAAATTGTATTCCTATCTTCCAAATTAATAAACTATATTGTGGTTTAAAACTAAAGCTCTCTTTTTAAAATTAGGGATCAAGTTTTGGCTATTTTTGATAAATTCTCTAACAAAAACTCACTTCTTTCTTTGAAAAGTGAGATACACGTGTAGCATTCTAACTGGTGTACACAGGCGACGATCCTCACAGTTGCTTTTGAGCGGTTGTGGATAGCAAGTCTCTAGGCCGTAAAACTTAAACAAAATCGTGGTCACGTTGACAGAAATCTTTTACTGTCTTGACAATAGGCAGGTCTTTCCTTATTTATCCTTAATGGAGTCCATAGGAGCATGGAATGGTGTCTTCTGCACCTAATTTAAAAGAACAATGATTGTCGGCCGATGGAAAGTTGCCTGACGGAGGAGGTCTAAATAGGACCTTTAATTAAGACGGTCTAAATAGAAAACATTTTTTGACCAGTTCCTAATTTCAATTTACATTACCTTAATAAATATATTGTGCCCTTTGATTTACCATAGGTACTCCAGTATTTGTTGTTGTAACAACACTTAATATGGACAAGCCCCTCATTGCCGCTACTCTTTGCCCTCTCCACTTCAAACTTCGCATATTGGCTCCCTGCCTCTTGTCCAGAGAACTTGAGATACCCTGCTGGCACATCATCATCTATGTAGCGCAAGTATTTCCCGTTGGTGTTTGATGTCACCACCACAAACCTTGGTAGGGTTGGCATTTTCTCTCTTCTTTCTCTCACTTTAATTCCTCAATTCTGTGTGCAAGATACATTCTGTGTCTTTGATGTTATTTATCAGAAAAATGACCATGGCCTCGTGACGTCATGATCTCATGACATCAAGGCATCTCATTTTTAAGTTGATAGAATAAAGTAAGCTCACACCGACCCTGGACATCACGGCATCTCATATTTTTAATATGGAATTCAGTATTCAAGGTTAAAGGAAAGAATTATATATGCCTTGCTTTGCTATCGTTGTGGCTGAATGCCTTGCTTTGCGAGATGGTTTGGCTTATGATGTTCACAATGGATGGAGTAAAAAGATGATTGAAGGTGATTCTATGCTTATTATCCACTGTGTCAATCCGGCGGCTTCCATCCCTCGGAGTATTAGACTGCTTGTGCATGATATTATCTTGGTACGCTCCCTCTTTGAGGACGTGGCTTTCAAAAAAGTCTAATTCTGTATGAATTTAATTGTTGGGCATCAATAAAAATACACATTAAATATGTACAATTTCAATTATGTTGTTGAACATATTTTCATTTTAATAATGTATTTGTCAGTTGCATTAATATTTATTTGTTTTATGTTAAAATTTTTAGGAATTAATCAATAGAGCCATGAACTATATAGCATGGTTTATATAATTTAATGTATACTTTTTATTTCTAGAAATACTATAGAAACTGTAAGTACAAAAAATATGATTATTAAATTTTAAGCTAATAACTTTAGCTAACCCACTTATTGCAAAATTCCTCCTTCCGCCGCATGAGTTGCCTTTGAATTTTTAATATTTTCAAGCTTGTGTGCCCGTATGATTTCTGTTTGTAATTGAACTCTTTCCGTAAAACAAAAGAAAAGGGACAACCATTACAAGATAAATTTTTTTATTTTTTTTTTTTTTTTTTTTTTTTTTTTTTTGGATCGAAACAAGATTGGATAACATAGACGAGCAAAACCATAATTGAAATTTTATAAATATAGTTTGAAGAATAAACGAAGAAACGAAGAATAAATTGAACGAAGAACCAAGGAAGAACTGCACTCACCGTTTGACTATAGCAGCAATACGTCTACTAATAAACTCTATGTACAAAGATTCCCAATCTAATAGGGTTTTCTTTTTTAGGTTTATGTGAGCTTTAAATTTGAGAGTATTTGTGTTTATTTATGTGAGTTCTCTGCTATATTTGAAATTTTTTATAAAAATGGACATTTTTGAAATTAGAGGTCAAGTTTTGGCTATTTTTGATAAATTCTTTGATAGAAACTCATTTGTTTCTTTGAAAAGTGAGATTCACGTGTAGCATTCTAACTGGTGTATAGGTGGTAAAACTGCAACAAAATAGTGGTCACGTTACACACACGTGACTCTTTTTGACAATGGGCAGGTCTTTCCTTATTTGTCCTTGATGGAGTCCAAAGGTGTTGGGCCAGAGCATGGAATGGGGTCGTCTGCACCTAATTTAAAAGAACAATGATTGTTGGCCGATGGAAAGTCGCCTGACGGAGGAGGTCTAAATAGGACCTTTAATTAGGACAGTCTAAATAGAAAACATTTTTTGACCAGTTGCCCTTTGATTTTGAGCTGGAAATAAATCCAAGCAATGTACAAGTGATCCCATTGAAAACTTCTTTTAATTTATGATTTTTCCTTTTTTTTTTCTTGTTAATTTAATTCGGGAACAGTCAAATTCAAGGAAGAAAAAGAAGAAGAAGAAAGTTTTATTAAGCTCACAACAGGTTTTTGAAGACATTCGACAATCCATATTCTACAGCCGTATGTGAGGGTAGTCTGCGGGAATTACGCAGTATTGGCTGACTGGTGAAATGTTAAAGCTTTTCTTCTGTAGTCTCGAACTTGAAGTTGAAGGTATTGGTGCCACAGTAAACCCCATCATCCATGTCGTTGGTAATTATTTTCCCGCCAGCAAGAGTTACGCGCTGCGTATAGGAGAAGGGAACCTCGTAAGAAGCCTTGGTCGCTAGAAGCCTCACCTTCACCATAGCCATTGCCTTCAGCACAACCTTATAAAAAGCATCCTCGTTTACACTACATGTGAATATTGTGGCCGTCCCGGTTTTTCTCCCCTCCACTGATCCTGCAAACTCATCAACCTCGATCTTTCCGTTGTCTGCCATGACTGGAACCTCACCGTCGATGATGCTTCTTTGGACGCCCAAATTGAACATGCTGGACTTCAATCTTCCGCTCCTAGTTTTTTTGTACGAGAAATTCAGCTCTAAAATTTGAGTTTCTTCGATACGGTTAACCACCTCTCCGATGACAATTTCGACAACCTTCTTGTTGTAGATCATGGCGTCCCCGAGGCGGAAAGTGACGTTATAGATCTCCTTTGAAACTCCAAGCTCTTTCACCTCCTTGTTGTATGCTTCTGAGTCGTCGCTTGTAATTTTTTCAGTGACGGAAAAAATCTTGATGCTGGTTGAGTCATCTGCGTCAAGGCAGATCAAATCGCCCTTGGTCAGCCTCCACAATTTGCCCGAGGAATAGGAGAGGCCTACATCAGCGCTGGCGAAGACCTCGTTCAAGTTGGTGCCAAGCAAGTTACCATTATGGCCCTTGAACGCCACATGTTTGGGAAGCATCATGAACAGCGATTCCCAATCGGTGACAGTGAACACATCGAACAACTTGGGGTTATGGTCTTTATCTTCTACGTACAAGCCTCCGCTTAGCTTGTCATTGGCCTGATAAATGGTTAGGTACTCTCCACGTCCGGTATGGCGGAATCGGAGCACCGGTATATGGTTTGTGCTTTTATTATCGCCGACTAGGAAATCATCATTTATGTACACCGGCTCGAACAAGGTACACGAGTACTGAGATTTGTCTTCCACTGGTTCATCCGCCACAGCAGCGATCAAGTAGCTACTAGAGCTACGCCTTACCCAGTATTTGTTGTTGTAACAACACTTTATATGGACAAGCCCCTCATTGCCGCTACTCCTTGCCATCTCCACTTCAAACTTCGCATATTGGCTCCCTCCCTCCTGTCCAGAGAACTTGAGATACCCTGCTGGCACATCGTTCTTGATGTCTTCATCTATGTAGCGCAAGTATTTCCCGTTGGTGTTTGATGTCACCACGACAAACCTTGGTAGGGTTGGCATTTTCTCTCTTCTTTCTCTCACTTTAATTCCTCAATTCTGTGTGCAAGATACATTCACTACAAAAAAGTGGGCAATAGACTGTTGAATTATATATAATAAAAACAAAGCTAACTATTAATAAAATATTACAAATTTTCAAGTTTCCAATACACTTGTAAGTTCTCAATACACTTTTAAGTTCACGATAAAAGATTTTTCAAGTTTCCAATACACTTGTATTTTTTTTTTAAAGACTAAAGCTTTTAATATGCACCGATAAACTAAAACCAGGCCAATTACCAACTAGTTTTCAACGTTACCAATGTTGTTTTGTATTAAAAATTCAAACTTTGAGTTTTTATTTTAATTTTAAAGAAACTAAAGCTTTTAATATATGCAAAAAGATAATTAATTAATTAGAGCATCTCCAGCGCGAAGCCCAGCCCAGGGGAAAAGGCTGCCAGAGGCAGCCCGAGACAGCTCCAGCGCAGGGCCCGTAGCCCGGTTTGGTGGTGGGTCCCACGTGCCCGAGCAAGCCCAAGGGCAAGTCTTGCTCGGGCTGAAGCCCGAGTTGGCTGACGTCAGCGCTGGCATCACGCTGACGTCAGCGCACAGTAAAACAGATTTTTTTTTTTTTGCCAAAAAAATTCAAAAAAATTCGAAAAAATTCTGAAAAATTCTGAATTTTTTTTTAAATACCAAAAAATTCTGTATTTTTTCCCTATAAATACCTAACCATTTTATTCACTTTCTACACCAAATCTTCATAAAAACTCATCTCCTTCCAATATTTTTCACTTTCCACATCAAAATCTTGGCAACGAGGTAAAAAAAAAAAAAAAAAATCCGTTTTATTCAATTTAATGTCTTTTTTTATATATATATTTCTTGCATTTCCAATTTCTTTTTTTTTAATAGATTAGTCAAGGCAAAACCAAAAATGTTATTCAAAAAATTTTATCCAAAAATTTTATTTGAAAATTTTATTCGAAAAATGTTATCTTAAATTTTAAATGAAAATTTTATAATAAATAGTGACACGTGACAACCGAAAATATAATCTAAAAAGCTTATCAAAATTAATAGTTTAAAGTATAAACAAATAGGAAATAAAGTACAATGAATAGTAATTGCCTTAGACTTGCCCTAGACTTTGCCCTCATGGGTGGAAGCCCTTGTGGGTGGAGATGCTCTTAGGGAATCAGAATTTTTTGGACATGCGATTTTATGAGGCGTCCATCCGACGGTAGAGAAGATTCAAAGAGGCGTAGGAAGCAATCAGTCACCTTACTTTTGGTTGACTTTAAAGTTTGACCCGGCCAATAAGAGGAGCGTATGTCTAGGGCTGCCCCGGAATTAACGTTTGAGGGCCGGCGAGTCCACAAGTGGGCCCTCCACCTCCAGCCATTTTGGTTTGGTGCTTCAACGTGGTGCCCAAATACTATTTAAATGGGCCCACAACGACATGTTCGTAAACGCTTTAGCCACATCATTTTAATAAAAACAGTATAATACATTCATCAAGTTCTATTAATTCCAAAAGAAAAAATTTAGGGTTTGTTTGATAAACGTTTCATTTTTATTTATTTTTTAAAACTGAAAACATGTTTGGTAACAGTTTTCGTTTTCAGTTTTTTTTAAAGGGAAAACTAGTTCTCAAAATCACCCTTATTTTTTAAAAGATGTTTGGTAACAATTTCAGTTTTTGGTTTATTTTTCTTCTTCTTCTTTTATTATTATTATTTTTTCAACTTGTAATAATTCCAACGAACTGTAAATGAGTTAGCTAGCATCAATTTGGTGACCCAAAGACAATAAAAAGGGCACGACATAAGACAAAACACGACGTATGTAATATGTAACAAATTTGGCATCTAATAAGAACAAATGGAATGGCCTATTAATTTTATTAGTAGAATGAAATGTGTTATATAAATTTTATTGAGGAAAACAAATTGCTTCAATGCAGATCCTCACAAGGGAGCCGAATGTCACGGCCCGCATGTTCAAGGCCCAACCCGTTGGATTGATCATGCTAGACCTCTTAGCCCACATGTCCAGAGTCGTTGTATAGTAGTTGGTAGACTACAGTTGGTGACAATAGTTGGTAGACTACAGTTGGTGACAGTAGTTGGTAGACATTGGTAGGTGACATTGTATCTTAGCCACCTACTGTGGTGGTAGGTGGGATAGGGACAGTATATAAGGGGGATGACACATTGTGTATCCTCACCTCACAACTTGTAAAGCATTTGATTAGCAATACAAGCATATATTCTCCCAAACTCTGTTAAGCATTCTTACTGTTCTTGCTCTTGCGATTGTTCTTTGCTTGTTTCGATCTTGTGTTGTAGGAAGGAGGCTGACTTAGCTTGTTCGAGAGGCGATCAAGTCTAAGGCCGCACGAAAGGAAGACTCCGAAAAAGTCATCCCGTGACAGTTGGTATCAGAGCGAAAGCTCGAATCATTCGAAGAAGCATGTCGAAGAGCGGATCCGATGTGGAGACTGATCTGTCCAAGGTCAATATGGATCGTGGGGGCAAATCAAAGAGGGAACGATCTAGAGATGTTGTAGCCATGATGGAGAAGCGGCTTTCTAAGATGGAGATTGCCGTGGTCGAGTTCGATCAGCGACTCGAGGAGGACGTCCTTACGAAGGGTGGCTTCGAAGCTGTGGTGGATGAGCTTCAAGGCCAATTCCAAGGAGCCCTCAACTCCGCACTGGACAGCATGCGGCTAGATGTCCAAACCAAGCTGGATCACTTCTTAGCGGAGCTTACTTCGCTTCGTGAGGAGGTGAAGGATGTGAAGGGAGATTGGGCTTTGTGCAAGGAAGCTGTCTTGAACAAGACCCGGACTCCGAAGGAACCCAAGGTGTTAGATTCTTTCAAACCCAAATCCTATAATGGGAAGAGGGAGGCGAAGGAGCTAGACACATTTCTGTGGAATATCGAAAGGTATTTCAAGTATCTGAAGCTCGAGGATGATGAGCCCAAGATCAACACGGCAACGTTGTTTCTCACCGACAATGCTCTCATGTGGTGGCGTCGTCGATCTATGGAGATCGAACAAGGTACGTTTACACTTGAGACTTGGGATGATTTTAAGAAGGATATTATGTTGCATTTCTATCCAGAGAATGCCAAGTATGAGGCAAAGGAGAAGCTGAGATGGTTGAAGCAAACTGGGAACGTGAAGGACTATGTCGCCATGTTCACCAACCTATTGTTCGAGGTGCCTAGCATGACGGATGAAGACAAGCTCATGTACTTCATGAGTGGCCTACAGAATTGGGCCAAGCTGGAGTTACAAAGGAGACATGTCCAAACCTTGTCAGAAGCGATTGCTGCAGCTGAGTCTCTTGTTGAGTTCAAGAGGAAGGATCAAGGCGACTCCAAGTTCAAAGGAAAGAAAGATAGCAGTGGATTCGGTGGGGGAGACAACAAGCCAAAAGAGGGTAGCAAGGCTGGAGACAAGTCTGACGGTCACAAGTCATTCGGGAAGAAGAATGACAAAGGTGACAAGGGAAAGACAAGTCGAAGCTAGCTTGCTACTTGTGCGATGGAGCACACATGATGCGGGATTGTCCGCAAAAGAAAGCCTTGAATGCCATGAACCGAGAGAAGGAAGAGGAGGCCGAGAGGGAAGCAGGAATGGGGGCCATTCACCGCTTCAATGCCCTACAGGCCAAGGGAGCTCAACCACAGGTTCAAGCCAAAGGTGTGATGTTCGTCGATGCCATGGTGAATGGTAAGACAACCCGTTGCCTGGTGGATACAGGTGCCTCGCACAACTTTATGTCCGTGCAGGAAGCAAAGAGACTTGGGTGTCGAGTCTCGAAGGAAGCAGGCAGTATGAAGACGGTGAATTCAACTGCCAAACCGATTGATGGAGTAGCTCATGGTGTGGAGCTACACATTGCCACTTGGAAGGGAGTAGCTGACTTCTCCGTGATCTCAATGGATGACTACGATGTCGTGCTTGGAATGGAGTTCATGGACAAGGTAAAGGCATTCCCCATTCCATTTTACAATACTATGTGCATTGCACAGGGTGGAGCAATGCCATGCATGGTGCCAGTGGTGAGGCAACAAGGCGAGACGAAGCTCTTGTCAGCCATGCAATTTTCCAAGTCTTGGAAGAAGGGCGAACCGACGTTCCTTGCAACTATGAAGATGGATGTAGTTCAGAAGGAAGTCCAACCCGTCCCGAAAGCTGTGGAGGCAATCCTTAAGGAGTTTGCAGATGTCATGCCCAAGGAGTTGCCCAAAACCTTACCACCTAAGAGAGAGGTGGATCATGCCATTGAGTTGGAACCAGGTGCCAAACCCCCTGCTAAGGCGCCGTACCGGATGGCACCTCCTGAGTTGGAGGAATTGAGGAAGCAGTTGAAGCAGTTGTTGGACGCTGGGTACATCCAACCGTCCAAGGCCCCTTATGGTGCCCCAGTTCTTTTCCAGAAGAAGAGGGAGGGAACGCTGAGGTTGTGCATCGACTATAGGGCGCTAAACAAGGTGACCATCAAAAACAAGTATCCAATCCCTTTGATTGCAGATTTGTTTGATCAGTTGGGAGGAGCTAGGTACTTCACCAAGTTGGACCTGCGCTCAGGATACTATCAAGTGAGGATCGCACCGGGAGATGAACCAAAGACCGCATGTGTGACGAGATATGGGTCTTACGAGTTCCTTGTCATGCCGTTTGGCTTGACTAACGCCCCTGCAACCTTTTGCACTCTTATGAACAAGGTATTCCATCCTTTCTTGGACAAGTTTGTTGTGGTTTACATCGATGATATTGTGGTGTATAGCAATTCCCTAGAGGAGCATCTTGAGCACTTGCAGAAAGTCTTCCAAGTTCTGAGGGAGAACGAGCTGTATGTGAAGAGGGAGAAGTGCTCATTTGTCCAAGAAGAGGTAGAGTTCCTTGGTCACAAGATACGGGGAGGTCAATTGCTCATGGAGGAGGGCAAGGTGCGAGCCATTCAAGAATGGGAGCCACCAACCAAGGTACCTGAGTTGCGGTCTTTCCTTGGGTTGGTCAACTACTATCGCAGGTTCATCAAGGGATATTCAGCCATTGCCGCCCCCTTGACGGATTTGCTTAAGAAGAACAAGGCGTGGGAGTGGACAACCCGATGCCAGCATGCCTTCGATGAGTTGAAGAGGGCACTTATGGAGGAACCCGTGCTGAGACTTCCTGATCTTAGCAAACCGTTTGAGGTACACACTGATGCATCAGATTTTGCTATTGGTGGTGTACTCATGCAGGATGGACACCCATTGGCTTTCGAGAGTCGGAAGCTCAATGACACGGAGCGGAGGTATACCGTTCAAGAGAAGGAGATGACAGCCGTAGTGCATTGCTTGCGGACTTGGAGGCACTACTTGCTGGGTTCTCAGTTCGTGGTCAAGACTGACAATGTTGCCACAAGCTACTTTCAGTCTCAACAGAAGTTGTCACCCAAGCAGGCTAGGTGGCAAGACTTCTTGGCGGAGTTCGACTACAAACTGGAGTACAAGCAAGGGAAGACAAATGTCGTTGCTGATGCCCTAAGCAGGAAGGCCGCACTTGCAGCTGTTGTACAACCCCAGAGTTCTCTCATGCAGAGGATACGAGAGGGCTTGTTGCATGATCCTCAAGCCAAAAGTCTGTTGGAGCTTGTCAAAGATGGGAAGACAAGGAGATTTTGGCTCGATGATGGTGTTCTTTATGCAACAGGGAAGAGGATCTATGTTCCAAGGTGGGACAATCTGAGGCGAGAGCTACTGAAGGAGTGTCATGACTCGAAGTGGGCGGGACATCCAGGCACTCATCGGACGTTAGCCTTGATGAGTGAAGCTTACTATTGGCCACAGATGCGGGAGGATGTAGACTCGTTCGTGCGGACTTGTCTTGTATGCCAACAAGACAAGACATTGCAGAAGCAGCCGGGTGGGTTGCTAAAGCCACTTCCTGTTCCAGCCAGACCATGGGAGAGTTTGTCCATGGACTTCATTGTGAGTCTACCCAAGTCAGAAGGGTGTGGCTCAATTTTGGTGGTGGTCGACAGGTTCACCAAGTATGCTACCTTCATCCCTGCACCAGCGGACTGCAATGCGGAGGAAGCTGCACACTTGTTTATGAAGCATGTGGTGAAGTATTGGGGAATTCCCAAGAGTATTATCAGTGACCGCGACACTCGCTTTACTGGTAAACTTTGGACAGAGCTCTTCAGGCTACTTGGGTCACAATTGAACTTCTCTACCAGCTTTCACCCACAGACAGATGGTCAGACGGAACGGGTGAACGCATTGTTGGAGCTATACTTGAGGCACTATGTGAGTGCCAACCAGCGAGATTGGGCAAAGTTGTTGGATGTTGCTTAGTTCTCATACAACTTGCAGCGGTCGGAGTCAACAGGGTCAAGTCCTTTCGAGTTGGCAACAGGACAACAACCTATGACACCGAACACAGTGGTGTCAGGCTACACGGGGAGTAGCCCAGCTGCATACAAGACAGCCAAGGAGTGGCAGGAGACTAACGAGCTGGCTCGGGCTCAATTGGAGAAGGCAACTCGGAAGATGAAGAAATGGGCGGACAAGCATAGGCGAGATGTTGTGTTCCAACCAGGTGATATGGTCTTTGTGAAGCTCAACCCCTCTCAACACAAGTCCACTAGAAAGTTACACAAGGCGTTGTTGAGGAGATATGAGGGCCCATTTCCTATCATCCGATCAGTGGGAAGAGCTGCTTACCGTGTGGAACTACCACCCCGATTGAAGATTCATCCGGTGTTCCACGTGAGCAATCTCAAGCCCTACCATGCCGACCCCGAGGAGCCAAGTCGTGGAGAGTCTCAACGAGCTCCACCTTTGATGGTAACTTCATTTGACAAGGAGGTTGAGTGCATCATGGCCAAGCGAGAGGTGCGACGCAAGGGTGTACCGAGGTACTTTGAGTACTTTGTCAAATGGAAGGGCTTGCCAGATTCCGAAGGCAACTGGGAGAAAGAAGAGTCTTTGTGGAAGTACAAAGACATCATCGAAGCATTCGAACGAGAAGGATCTACCTCGGCGACGAGGACGTCTCCGGATTAGGTGGGGGAGAATGTCACGGCCCGCATGTTCAAGGCCCAACCCGTTGGATTGATCATGCTAGACCTCTTAGCCCACATGTCCAGAGTCGTTGTATAGTAGTTGGTAGACTACAGTTGGTGACAATAGTTGGTAGACTACAGTTGGTGACAGTAGTTGGTAGACATTGGTAGGTGACATTGTATCTTAGCCACCTACTGTGGTGGTAGGTGGGATAGGGACAGTATATAAGGGGGATGACACATTGTGTATCCTCACCTCACAACTTGTAAAGCATTTGATTAGCAATACAAGCATATATTCTCCCAAACTCTGTTAAGCATTCTTACTGTTCTTGCTCTTGCGATTGTTCTTTGCTTGTTTCGATCTTGTGTTGTAGGAAGGAGGCTGACTTAGCTTGTTCGAGAGGCGATCAAGTCTAAGGCCGCACGAAAGGAAGACTCCGAAAAAGTCATCCCGTGACACGAAGCAAGGCAACTGCATTCTTGACCCGAAAAAAAGAGAGATGCAACTGCACTCGCCTTGATAAATGGTGTGTCTGCCTAGGAGACCTCATCCCACCACCTCCACCCTTGTCGCCCAAGAAGAAATTTTAGCTATGGAACGAGAAGAATGACATTCAAGTATCTGGAAATTGCAACCAAATCGCAGATGGTTGTTCGCATTTGGTTCAGTCCTCCATTGCAGGAAACTATTGTAAACCCTTATCAACCATATTCCAGTCAGCTGAACTCTGTAGAGGCCCACATCAAAGCTGTCACAATCGTCCGAATGATCAACAACCAAGCGTTCATCTTCAATATCTAATTCTTCAATTTTAAAATTTGACCCAAGAATTTAAACCCCATCTTCCACTCTGTTCTATAATGACACTTCTTAGAGTCCTCTGTTTTGCACATTGTACTAATTTGTAACATAAAAAAACACCAGATGACAATTCTTATTGTTGCTGCTGCCACAGTCCATAAATCCTTTGGTAGATTCCATTTATAATAATAGAAGAATCCATAAAAATCTTCACGAAGAAATGAGTTCGATTTTCTGGATATAACGTGGGCCTAAGAGAACACTAAAAGTACCTCTCCTTCTTATTGTCTTGTCTCACATCCAATTTATAACTCAGAGCCTTGTTATCATAGTTTTTCAAAACAGCATATTTCTGCAGAATTACCATATATATGTGTCAGTGCAGCAATCAAGCCCGGTCAACTCTCCTCCAATTCCTCTACAAGATCTTCTCCTTCATTGCCTTGATTAGATATAGCTGTCACTGATTCTAATTACTGATTAATTGTAATTGATCGTATTTCATATTTCTTACCTTTTGTATCTCTACTAAAGTGTGTATATAATCTGTATCAATGCTAATCAAATATTCATCAGGAAATTCTCTTTTTCATGGCATCAGCCTTTCAATTCTTCCCTTGAAGTCTCACCCTATCTTTCTTTCCAATCCTCATGGCCTCCTCTCTTCCCGGCCCAAACACCTCCCACTTCCTCAAACTTGACGCCTCCAATTATCTTCTCTGGCTCCTCCAAATCAAGCCGTTCCTTATCTGTCATGACCTCTGAAAGCTTGTTGATGGATCAAATCCTTCACCATCTGAATTTATCACCTTAACTACCATTACTCCCTCTACTGCCCCCGACACTCCCTCCTCAACCACTACTGTTACCAAATCTAAACCTGATTTTCTCTCTTGGTACCAATAGGACCAACTTGTCATCAGCTACATCACCACAACTCTATCTCCTGCTGTTCTCTTCTTAACGGTGGGTCATGAATCTGCCCAATCAATTTGGGAGTGCTTACAGAACCATTATGCCCAACGTAATCTTGCAAGTGCGTCCAGCCTTCGATTCCAACTTCATGACATGACAAAAGGATCTCAAACCATAGATGAGTTTCTCAATCATGCAAAATCTCTTGTCGATGCCCTCTTCTCCATTCAAAAGCCCGTCTCCGGTGAAGATTTTGTCACGGCTGTTCTCTTTGGCCTTAGTTCTGACTTCTCCATGCTTATCACCACCATCCTGAATCAACCCACTCTGCCAAGCTTCACAGACCTCCGCTCTCGTCTACTAGTCCTTAAGAACCAGACCTCTCCCTCCTCGGCCTCCGCAGACAATACCACAGCCCCTCATCACCACTCACCCTCCATCTCAGCCAAGCTCATCCACCTCTCACCAAAGATCCTCCCATCTGTGCGGTGGTTCTCGTGGCGAGGACCAGGAGTTAAAAACAAAAAACAAAAACAAAAAGAGAAGTGCTATATGCTCGAAGCACACAACATTAAAGGAAGAGTTCACTAAGGCCTTTTGTCGGGGAGTTCACCAAAAGACTTAGCAGAGGGGCAACTTTCAGGCACTTCCAAGGCTTTCTTCAGCTAGAGGAGATGCAGCTGCACCTCCTTGCTCTTTTGTAGGTCCGTCAGTGTTCTTTGTGTGTTCATTTACAAGCCCGAATAGTACAGTAAAAGTCTTTCCACATCTTTTCCCAATAGTCTTTGGCTCTACAAAACGGAACGTCTCTCCGCATAACAAACGGATGAGATGTACTGGCTTAAGCTCTCGCTTTCTTTTACAAACGTAAGCATACATCGAATTGAATAAAAATAATGGTAACAGAGATCCCTGGTAAGATCATCATAAGTCCAAATTTCAAATGTCATTGTTCGTTTTAGTTTATTTTTTTCCCCTTTATGACCATATATAACAGTGTTAGTGTATAACCTATAATCAAATTCATAAATACTAATTTAAACATCAGAAAGAAGCTTACATTCAATAAGGAACCGAAATACAACATTAAAGAAATATTGGAACTCAACACACTGCATAAATGTGGCCTCATTAAAACCTCACCTTCAAAAAATACAAGAAGAGAAAAATCTGGTGAAGGAAAAAGAGTACCACACTTGCTCAGACAAAAATAAAGCAAACCAGTCATTATTTCATCGACACCTCTTTATTTCTTTATGTACTGGAGGGTCGTGTACTTGATATTCATGTGGAGAACATCAATCACAGGCTTTCTTGTATGGTCTCATACTTGAAGTTGTAGGAATTGACTCCAGTGTAAACGCCATCGTCATGGCCTGGGTAACAGTTGTGCCGTCAATAAGCGTATCCCGCTGAGTGTAGGAGAATGGAACATCGCATGAGCCCCTAGTCGCCATGAGACTCACTTTCACCATAGACATTGGGGGCACAACAACCCTGTACACATTCACTACTTCACTTTCGGAGGTGTTGGTTTTCCCCCACTGGAATTCTGTCGCGAATTCAGTCAATATTTCAATCTCTCCTTTTGCAATCAAAGGAACTCCAGTTTGAACTTCGTTCACGAGGCCCAACTTCATTGAAACGCTAGAATTCCAAGTACTGCTCCTGCTGTCTTTGTACGAGAGCCTCAAGTCTATTGTGTTTTCTTCTTGAGTTCGGTTAACGGCATCTCCGGTGGCCATGGAGACAACTCTTTGGCTATAGATCCGGGAGTCAAGGAGGCGAAAGTTAACATTGTAAATGCTCCTATACACAACAAGCTCTTCCACCTCCATTTGCGCCTCTCTGACGATACCAGGGCGGCCAGCATTGAGACAGGACTCAAACTCGTCGGTCAGTCTAAAGCAGAAATTATTATTGCCCAAGTTGCGGAGAGCAATCTTGTTGTCATTGCCAAGCTTAATAGGCCAAAACAACATGTCCTTGTTGCTTTCGTTACCATCAAGATTGGAGTCGGCCCAGATCCAATTATTGCCGCGCCTCCAGAACTTTCCAAAGAGATTGGATTTTATCCGAACACTCCCATCCCCGTTAGAGAACACCTCGTTCCCCACACCGTAATCTCCAACGTCAGAGGATGAGAACTGCAAGAAAGGGAGGCCATTAAACGTGCGGGCGCTCAGGTATTTCCCATTGCCGCCCTTGAAGGAGACATGCTTGGGCAATACCAACAGCGTTTCCCAATCAACGATTAAGCTGACGTCGCACAAATCCTTGTCAGGAGCCGCAGATCCTGCAAACAAGCACGAGTCTTTTGGCGGGGCCACCCTCCATAAGCATGCATAGTGCCCGAGCTGGACGTGTCGAAATCGGACCCCTTGAGCAGGATCCTTATTGTCTACGTAGACGGGCTCGAACAAGGTGCAAGACCATTTGGATTGGTCTTCCTCGGGTTCATTCGCTCCAGCAACAATCCAATTGTGGTTTTCCGACCACCTGACCCAGTATTTATTGTTGTAGAAGCATCTTATGTGCACCAGTCCCTTCCCGCCCTTTGCTATCTCCACATGGAATTTTGAATACAGACTCACGACCTCTTCACCGGAGAACTTGAGAAACCCATGAATCTGCACATCTTCCTTTACGTAGCTCAAGTATTTGGCATTGTACCTTGATTTCAACACCATATACCTTGGCAATGTGTTCACCATTTTCTCTTAATTAATTCTAGAAACAATGTATAGCTACTCTCTATTAGGCGGTTCGAGAGGTCCCAGGCCGGCGTAGAAGCTCACAATTTTGAAGCAAAAAGATGATAATGAAGAAGATGGTGTGGTTGGTTGGAATTCGTCACTCTTCTTAAATAGACTTCAGAAAATAGAGTAAACAAATCATGATAAGATATAGGAAGGTATGGTGTAGGGTAAAGGAAGATTTTCATCCAGAAAATAATGGCAACAAGCTAAAACGTGATACATGTGCACAAAATGGGAAGAGATAAATGGGTTGGTTCTTGGGCCCAAGTATGGCACGAGCACAAGCACGGCCCGGCCCGTTTCAATGTGGACATGGGCTTTGGGCCAGGTCGGGATCAATAATTTTACTAAATGGGCACGGCACAACCCGATAAATTAAATGGGCCGGCCCGACGAAAACGTTAAACAGCAGCGGCGGTTTTTCCACCGCCACCGCCATCACACGCCACAATCCGAGGTGGCACCAGTCCCAAAAGGACTGCCAGCTCATCCTCCTCCAACCCCAGCCAAGCCCCACTGCCAGCAGCTACAAGATTCACCGGAAAACGCAGAAAATCCGGCCGGTTTTTCCTAAACTTCAAACCTCTCGTTCTCTCTCAAATCTCCACCAATTTGGACGTATAAGGTATGGATTTCCACCTATTTTTCATGTTCTAGCTGATATTTGAGTAGGATTTCATTAATTTTGAGCCTAGGTTAGTTGATTCTCGATTTGAAATTCTGCCGGTTTTGGGATCACGTTGTTGGCCACTTCCGGTCACTTTTTGGGGTAGGCCCAACAACAAAAGTGACTCCAAATGGGGTTTTACACCTAGGGTAGGAGTCTTGGGCAGAGATTTTGAGGTTTTTCCGGCGAGTGTTATCGCTTTGCACACCCACACGCTGACGGGGCGTGGGCACTGTAGCAGAGCGTAATTGTATCCCGATGCGATCCCCTAGTTGTCACGAGTGCGTAGGTGTGCTCGGATTCCAATTCGAATATCGTTTGACTATCGAACAGATTTACGCCTATTGTGCGTTATCCGGGTTCGATATGTTTGGACCGTTGGATCAAGTCCAAATTAATATATGTTGATCTAGGCACTCCTAGGATCGTGTAGGAATTCGCGGATCGTGAATCGAAGCCCCAGATGTTCCGATTCAATAACTTAAAGTTTGCATTAAATGATAACCATCCGATCGTGCGATCGCGAGCGATCCGACCGCTCGATTGAGACCAAACTCTTGGGACGTGTTTAGGAAAATTTGTTGGACCTTTAGGAGCTTTCGGATTGTAAATGGGAGGTTGTGGGCCCCATGGGCCCGGTTGACTATCGGTTGACCAATATGACTTGTTGGATTGGACAGTTGACCAGGAGTCTTTGGAGAACGTTTCGTCTCTTGTTAAGTACTAAGATGGCCTTAGGGTTTTACTTACAGGACGTGCACTCACTGTGAGTTCCGAGAGTTAGGATTTTGAATTAAAGTTCAGTGTTGGGTTTGATTATTCTGTTAATCTTGGTATTCTCTCAAATAGGTTCTTTGGCGCCACGAATTGTTCTGGACGAAACTGCAGATGGTTGAATGCGCTTTGGACCGTGTGTGAGTGGACATTTGCTTTCTAAACAGTTTTTATGAATGTTTTACGAATGAATTGTTTTGGTGTTTACTCTTGAGCATTTGATTTTGGTTGAAAATGAATTATATATCGTTTCAATTATGGTTTGGTATTCGAATTTGTTAAATGTTTGGAAATAATTTCAATGTGGGATAATGCTTAGATATGATTTGATATGTGGATTATTGTTTCGGATTTAGTTTAAGAACTATTTTGAAAGAATTATAAATGGTTTGAATCAAAATAATGGAATTGGGGTCTATCTTGATTTTAAAGGGGATTTTGATTATTTAATTAATTATAATATATACTTGGAACTTTATTTGGTTTTGAAAGATTTGCGTTTTATTTGAGATGACTAAGAAGGGATTTGAGAAAGAGTGGTCAACAGGGATTTGTGGAAAAAGAGGGCTTTTATGATTAAGTGTTGGAATTGGATTTCAAACCCACCCTAGGAACCTATTCCCGGTTGCCTTTGTCATTTATGAGATGCCTTGGGAATTAATGAGTTGCCTCGGATGAGATAAAATGGTTGCCTTCGGAAAAAGTGTAATAAGTTGCATTCGGATTGGTTGCCTTTAGTTAAGTCTATGCACATGACTAGGATTGCCTGTACCTACATAGAGACTACTCTGTAGGTGTCTGGCTAGAGTATATTGCCTGTACCTATGTTGACTACATAGATGTTCGGCCAGTGAATTGCCTGTACCTACATAGAGATTACTTTGTAGGTGTTCAGCCAGTATATTGCCTGTACCTGCTTATGTGGGTGTCCGGCCAGGATTTTCCCCCTCCACCTATCTGGTTGTCTATATAGGTGGTTGATCAGTTTTCCCCCATTCCGGGTTGCCTCAATATATTGCCTATACTCGTATCACAAATGCGAGTGTCCGGCCAATGATTTTCTCAGGATGTTCCCTTGCCACCCTGCCGATATATTACACAGGGTTGGCCAGTTATTTTCCCCATAGGTATACTTGGGTGGAGAGTTTTTCGTATGACTTGGTTTGAGATTGGATTTTCAGATGATTTGTGTTTGAGCTTGCTTGGTTTATTGGATTCAAAGAATAGTTTGAAACCTGATTTTTATTAAATTATATTTTGGGTTGAATTGGATTTAAATGTTATTTGAAGTACCAATTTGGGTCAACGATATTTTTATTTACTAGTTAATTCTGAGTTTATTTTACTTGCATATGTATTGATTATATTTTGTTCATGTACGTATACTTATGTGTATTAGTGAGTTTTCCAAAGGTTTGCAAAACAGAGGGGTTAGTATGTTATGTATAATTACTTTTATGAAAAAACTTTCTTTTTGTCCACTCACGCTTTTACTGTTTTGCGCCCCCAGGAAGTAGATAGCTTAGCATTCGGATATCCACGTAAGCTACTCCGGCGTCGGTGAGGTCCTTATAATTCTAGTAGGAGACTTCATCTTCAGTCCTCATGGTTTATTTGGAAAATAATTTTGTAAATTCAACTTCTATAGTTGCTCTGATATTTCCCACTTAGGATTGAATTTGAAGCCGGCCGGATATCATGTGAATTTTATGTCTGCCTTGTCTTGTGCGTGCTGCCAGTTGAGATTATTAGATTGTCGGTAATTGCATGTGTTAATTTGGGGAAAGTCCATTTTAGAGGGGAGATTTTGCCGAAAATTTCGGTAGAAGTCTTGACCCTTTTATCTTAAAAGTTTGGGTGAAAGGTGTAAATTTAGTAGTGGGTCCGGCATCTCTCAGGTGTCGATCAGATTGCAGGATTCGACATGAGTTCCAAGGGGGAATTCCGGTCTGGTCCTGTCACGGGTAGGGCCCTGTCCCTCGATCCTCTCGACTCTGATCTGTGGGGTTGTGTAGGCGTGCCACTATTGGATATGAGACCAGTCTAATAGACCTGGTGTGGGGGAGTGTAGTGAGTTGATTTGGTGATGTTCGCGCTCTTTCTTTGGACCTCTGCTCAAGCCATTGTGCTCCAAGGGGGGTACTAGCCTGGATTAGTTCTTTTCTATGCCTCAACTAAGAGGACTTCAATATTCTTTCATTTGTGTGTGTCAGCTTGATAAGTATGAGCGATACCTGATCAAGCAAGGGAAGGCTTGAGGTAATCGAGAGAAAGAAGGAGAGAGAAAGGTATGATAAGTTTGATATAATATTAAATTAGTTCAATAATCATTAAAGTGACTGGCCTTTGCGCGTGGAAAAAAAAACCAAAGAGTTGAGCTGCGCGTGGTTTTAAGTTTTGTCAATTAATACATATCAAAGTTGCAGTACCATTGGATTGATATGACGTTTCACCTTTAATGTCCGCATTTTAATTAAAATCCAGTCATTTTGATGTAAGCAAAACTATATATATATATATATATATATATATATAAATAGTGTTATTTGAGGGATGGGGCGCTCAGCCGTTGGATCTCTTTTAATGAGCTTGTGTGGCTATGATTCTTTTAAATGTTTTAACCCGTTTTCACACTCCAAACCCGAAAAAATAAAACCAAGCGATCCAAAAAAAATAAAACACGCGATGGTTGAGTTTGTGGAGTGCATGAAGAAGACGAAGAGCCCTCCCTTCCAAGACGAAGGAAGAGCTGCCATCGCAAGTTGAGCTTGCAAGAATTCTATGCCAATCAGGTAGGTGTATCCATAGCGGTGTTTATGTTTGGTTCTAAATCTGGGTTGTGATTTTCGAATTGGGGTTCTGCAATGGGTTTTTAATTTTAACAATTTCTGGTCAAGGTTGAGATGGGTTATTGATTTGGGGATTCTGTGATAAGTTTTTATTTGAGTTCTAATGGGCAATTCTTTATTTCGGTTATATTGATTAATTCTGGATATAGGTTCTAATGGGTAGTTCTTGATTTGGGTTCCAGTGATGAAATCTTGATATGAGTTGGCAATTTTTAATTTGTGTTCTAATGGTAAATTCTTGATTCTGTGATAAGTTTTTATTTGAGTTCTAATGGGCAATTCTTTATTTCAGTTATAATGATTAATTATGGATATAGGTTCTAATGGGTAGTTCTTGATTTGGGTTCCATTGATGAATTCTTGATATAAGTTGGCAATTTTTAATTTGTATTCTAATGGTAAATTCTTGATTTGGGTTCTAATGATGAATTATTGATATAAGTTTTAATGGGTAATTCTTGATTTGATCAAAATCTGATCCTACACTTTTCTGCACTCCACAGAGTTTGTTTATTCTAATTCTCTAACAAGCTGTGCACAATAGAGATACTATACACTCATTTAATCAATAGAAACAGATGAAATATTCTTATAATTATAATGTTCTTAGGAGCATAGACGAATCAAATTCTGGTTTTTTTTTTCCTTGAAATCAATTAGGAGCAGAAATTCTGGTAAATTCTTGTAGTCTCATTTTTTCTTTTTCGTTTTTTTTCTTGCATTGCAGGTTTTTAATGGAGTAATCTTGTTCGTTTATGTCAGTCTCGAAGTTGGACCATCTGCTGTACTTTGGATTTAACATCTTTGGTGGTGTTTGTTCATGGAACTTCTCATCCAAGTGATCATGTTTGTAGTACTTTTTGGGTTGGATATAAACTTTTATGCTTAGATGATATTTCTTGGGGCCAACTTGTGCAATTTATTGAAGTTAATTATCAATTTAAGGACCACCTGCTCTCAAGCAATTCTATGTGAAAAGGCTATTTGAACACAAGGCCAATCTCTTTATCTCAAAGCTTGTTCCATTTGATATATGACGGTTTATACGATTCAGTTTTATTTTTAATTAATATTTTCCAAAATGATCATACCATTCACATTGCATAATTTCTCATTGATAAACAGTTATAGGTACTGCTTTCCATTCTTTTTGTTTTTTCTCTATTGAATTGAATATTCCTTTTGGCCGTTGTGCTTTTCTTGTTTCTGCACGAAGGAGGTGTGGCCGTGAAAGGAAGTTAGCCGTCTTATAATATACACATTGTGAAACTTAACTTGCTTCCGATTTTAGTGAGCAGGTTGCAGCAACCTGTAATGCCTCCAATTTTTCATTTTTTCCGGTTTGTGCTAAGTCTAATGTTCTTCTTCGGGAACCTCTTCACAGCAGTCTAGAAACATTTGAACAGATAATTACGAACAATTTATTGACACTTGAAAATTGAGTCTCGTTTTACATGTACATGAAAAAAAAAAAATAAATACTTCCTTGTAGTGGAAGGAACAATATCCGAGTTCGACCAAAAAAGAACACACACATCTTGTGTTGTTGCAGACACCTTACTAGCCATGTCCTAGCACCTTCCAAGAAATAGGTGGAATCACTGGAGCTCGAAACATCATCCAAAAAACTCATTATCCTGACAAGACAAAGTAAATGGAAAAGAAATAAAAATTTATCTGTGACAAAGAACTATTATCCATTTCATCAACAAAATAATATAAGTTCTGTGAATAACTATAATTACCTGTGCCGAAGAACTATTATCCATGCCATTAAAAGCATATTTGTCAACAATTGAAGATCTATCATTGTCAAAGATAACATCACAAAGTTACACATGAGGTTAATACATAATAATAAGAAAGGAAAAATACAAATAAGTTTGCATTCTTATGATTTTTGTAGCATAGGACAGTTCGTTTTGTCGTGTGTTTGTCCATATTTTCCACACCCATTACAATGCCGACCTTTGTATTTTTCTCTCGCCAACTCCTTTCTGCCCTTAAGTCTTTTCCCACTTCATTTTGCTTTAACAGGATCTGGTTCATTTAAACTAGTTTCAAAATCAATACTTCTCCTTGTAGAAGGTAGTACTTCTTCGGCACCATTAAGCAATGGTTTAATCCTCTCAATCAATGAATCCAATGCAGAGAGAGAGAGAGAGAGGAGAGAGAGAGAGAGAGAGAGAGAGAGAGAGAGAGAGAGAGATTGAGAGAGCTTGGAAATTAAAGGAATTATTAGGTCTTGTCAGGCTCAGAGTCTTGAAACTGACTGCCTGAAAGGAGTTAAATTGGCTGGTGGTTTAGGGATCATTTTATGCAAGTTGCAGTTTTTAGAATTAGTCTTTTTATTTCAATTCAACATTATTAGTAAGATTCCCAATTTCAGGAGCAGAGCTCTCTTTACTTTATACTCAATTAATTGCATTGCATGTGATCATTCATAATCAACTCACTAATCACTAATTGAGTGATGACTAACACATCACAATGCTGCCCAAAAACGTGCACATATGAGACCAGGTCTTGAACTTGCAGTTGCAGCCGGTCCTTTGCACCGGCCAGCCAGCTGTCGTAGCTACTTTGGTCCGGCCAAACAATGCACTCACTCAAATTTCAGTAAGTATTATTGAATATCATGATAATGTGAATTAGACTCACCCTTTTAAAATGATTTGTAGTTTTTTTTTTCCTTTTTTTTGGGGTTTGGTAACCTTAACATGGATCTTTGAAACAATAGTTAATTAGTAAATCACGAAAAAACAAATATAAGGAAATTTTTGGGTCTGTGGTTAATAAATCTTGTTTCAATATATCTTTGCATCCGAGTACAAAATACAGAGAAAGGGTTGGGATTGTCTGTCCCTGACCATGTTGTGTAATTTTGCTACTTCCTATGAAATTCAATGTATAAAAGATTTTGCAGTTGAATTTCAGTGGAAGTGTCAAAAAAAACTCCTGGAAAGACAGTCCCCCAATAGAAATAGGGAGTTTCACTAAAACACCCAAAATGGGGGCTGAAATTATAAAAAAACCCAACACCCAAAACACTTTATAGACACACCCAAAACCCATCATTACACACACTCAAAACCCATTTATAAACACACCCAAAAAAATATACAATTGTTGATTTTGGGTGTGTTTCTATGTTTAAATAGTGTTTGGGTTTTTTTATAAATACATGTCTAGGATTGGGTTTATTTATAAATTTGTAATAGAGGTATCCTCCCAAACCCAAAAAAGAACAAAACTAACTCTTCTTCGTCTACATGCACATTGCACCCACCCACTACTATACAGCTTAGGACAAAACCCAAAGAAACAAAAAAATCAAGGACAAAAAAAAGGTCATTAAAAACTAAACTAAATTAAAATCAAGGACAAAACCCACCCACTACTATTGCATTGTCTTCCTCAACCTCTTCGCTGTCATCAACCACCTCCTCAGCCCCGGTCAGCTGTTTGGCTTTCTGAGCTTCAAACTCCCAATCTGTAACACCTAAAACCACCAGCATGGTCAGAGCACAGCATCCCTGTGCAGCCAACAGGCCTAGCCACAACCCCTGAAAATCCAACTCAAGAACGAAACCCAGTCCCATGGCCACTGGCATTCCCACGAGGTAAAAGCACCCCAAGTTTATGTTTGCTCCAACTTTAGGCCTCGCTGTGCCTTTCAGAACTCCACAGCCTGTTGTTTGTGGGCAATTTCCAAGCTTTATAATCAAAACAAATGATGTTAATTTTATTATCTCCTTGTCCTGTGTGAACATGCTTGCCCAAATGTTCCTCACCATGAATGCAAAGATCAGAGACGCAAGGCCTAGTATGAAGCTGCAACACAGGCCTACAATGGCTGCAATCTTTGCTTTTTTCGGTTGGTTTGCGCCTATTTCGTTACCAACCCTTGTGGACACACTGAAGCTTAGGGACAAGGGGAATATGTAGATCAGAGAAGTGGTTTGGATCAAAATGCCCATTGAAGCAACAGTGGCTCTTGGGTTTAACAGCAAACCACAGAGCAAAATCATTATCTCATACCACCACCGTTCTAGGCACACAGAAATGCAGCTTGGCACTGCCAAATTAAAAAGAGTCCTCCATTCTCTGAAGCAGTCCATTGAAATCCCTCCCCAGGTTTTCTTGTAGACCCCAGAGATAATGATGTAGATGATTAAAGAAGCTACAAGATTGAAGTTAGACCAAACCCTACTCAGAGCCACACCTCTGATGCCTAAATTGAGGTACGAGACAAGAAAGTAATGTTGGCGTGAGTCCTATTTTAGGTAGGAAATTAATATAAGGATTCTTGTAAATATTGTATTACCTATTCTATCAGGATTAGCTTTTATCTTTTCCTTTGGTAAAAAGCATTGTACACTATATATACACCTCCTTTGAGAGAAGAATATATATCAGAAATTCACCATATATCCTTATATTTGACTTGGTATCAGAGCTTAGGGTTATATTTGCCCTATAATAGCAGACCTCCCTTACTGCTACAGATTTTTTCCTTTTTGCCTATTATTTTGTTTTAATTCCTTGCCGAGTTATTTGGCTCCATGGGGGATATGCATGGTTTGTTTAATGAAGATGGCCAATCCAATGAGGTACCACAAATTACCTCAGGGGGTTCTGGTCAGCCTATGTCAATTGTCAATGTTCATCATGATTCTTCCGCTGCTCCTACAATTGTCAAATTGAATGGAACAAATTATTCAGTATGGTCCCAGCTACTTGAGCTACATGTTGCTGGGAAAGGAAAATATGGGTATTTGACAGGCACTTCCGCTACACCAGCTCTGGCATACTCCAATTACAATAAGTGGTATGCTAAAAACGCAATTGTGAAGGGATGGCTAATTCAGTCTATGGAGCCTGATATTATGCAAATTTTCCTTCCCTACAAAACTGCCAAAGATGTATGGGAGAATGTGAAAAAAACATATTATGATGGCCAAGATCAGTCACAGATTTATGAGTTAACTTGTCGGGCATTCAAGGCGAAACAGTCTGGACGACAACTTGTCACATACTATGCAGAATTGCAAAGTATTTGGCATGAGATTGATTACTGACGACCAAATAAATTTACTAATTCATCAGATATTTTGCTTCGTCATCAGGAGATTGAGATTGAGAGGGTTTATGTATTTTTAGCTGGATTAGATGATGTGTTTGACAGAGTTTGTAGCGATATTCTTCGCATGGATCTATTTCCGAATTTGGAGAAAGCTTTTTCATGTGTGAGGCGAGAAGACCAGCGGCGATCCACCATGATGGTACCACCAACCCCGGTGAACACTGGAGTTGCTATGGTAGCAAGGAACTCCAGGCCTGCCTCTTCCTACAAACCTGCCGATTCTACAATTAATGGACCTACAAGGCACTCTATGCATGCCTCTTCCTACAAACCTGCAGGTTCTACAACTAACAAACCTATAGGTTCTACAAGACCCAATGATCCACAACGAGTTAAACCTCAGAATGGTGAAAGGTGTACTCATTGCAACAGCACGAATCACTTTGTAACTGATTGTTTTAAATTACATGGCTATCCAGAATGGTGGGATGAAGTCAAGGAGCGTAACAAGGCCAAAGTAGCTACTGAACGATACACACAAGGCAAGGTCGCACTCTGCATAGGATCTCCTGACCCTTCTGTCCCTCAAGCTTCCCCTATGCCATCCGTCTCCTCCTCCACTGTTCCTCCAGGTTTTGCCGCCCTCCCTACAGGTGATTCGGGCACTTCTTCTAATACCTCAAGTAGTGCTTTTGCTGCTGTTACTGGCTTAGGCATTGGTTCTGGATGGATTATTGATTCAGGTGCTTCAAATCACATGACATTTGACTCGACAAATTTGAAGACTCGTACTACTCCTAGCCTTACTAGTATGACGAATGCAAATGGCCAATCCTACCCTGTGACTGGGGCAAGCACAGTTGATCTTTCTCCAAATTTAACTTTGGAACATGTTCTTCTTGTTCCTTCTTTATCTCAAAATTTATTATCTGTTGGACAAGTGACTGAACAATTAAATTGTTTTGTATTAATCTATCCCTTGTTTTGCCTTCTTCAGGATATTCGAACCCAGGAAATAATTGGGCGTGGTACTAAGAGAGGAGGACTATATTATGTGGATGATGTTTGCACGGGAAAAGCCCTTATTGCTCATGACTCAGCTGCAGACAAGAAGAAACAATTTTGGTTATGGCATTGGCATTTAGGACATGCTTCTTTTGGTTATTTAAAACATTTATTTCCAGCTTTATTTTTGGATTTGGATATTTCTAGTCTTCAGTGCGAAACTTGTATTCTTGCCAAGAGTCACCGTGTTTCATACCCTATTAGTTTCAATACTTTTGCTCTTATTCATTCTGATGTATGGGGTCCTTCCCTAGTCTTTACAATCTCTGGCATTAGATAGTTTGTAACTTTCGTTGATGATTATACAAGAATGACATGGATATATTTTATGAAAAATAAAAGTGAGGTTTTTGGTCTCTTCAAGCAATTTTATCAGATGGTTCAGACACAGTTCTCCACAAAAATTCAGTTTCTGCACTCAAATAATGGAGGTGAATATGTGAATCATGATTTTGTGTCCTTCTTTCAGGATAATGGTCTTCTCCATGAAACTACATGTCCTTATACCCCTCAACAAAATGGGGTTGCTGAAAGGAAAAATAGTCATATTCTTGAGACGGCCCGGAGTATTTTGATAGAAGCTCATATGCCTAAGATGTTTTGGAGTGATGCCATATTATATGTAGTGTATTTATTAAATCGTATGCCCTCTTCTTTCCATGGATACAAGACACCACTGGATGTTTTGACTTCGACACATCCCCTACCGTCAGTCCTGACTCTCCATCCCCGCATTTTTGGTTGTATAGCCTACGTTCACATCCTTAAACACCTACGGTCTAAATTGGATCCATGTGCTCTTAAATGTGTGTTTGTGGGTTTCTCCCCATATTCCAAAGGATATCGATGCTACCATCCTCCGACAAAGCGTACGTATGTCACAATGGATGTTACTTTCTCAGAGTTGTCCATGTATTTTCATCATGAATCCAACTCTCCTCTTCAGGGGGAGAAGGAGAATATTGAATAGAATTGGAATTGGACAATTATGTTACCTGATATTACCATAGAAAGAGAAGAAGTGATCTGCAATGACAAAGAAATGTAGTCACATTAGTTGAGGACTTGGCGTCACATCACTACTACGTTTCACCATTTGCGCGACGAAAGTTTGCGCTACAAAGAACCATTCGTCGCGCAAAACATTAAAAATTTGAGCGACCAAATGTTTCGTCGCACGAAATGTCTTTGCGCTACTAAAAAATTCGTCGTCGCGCAAACAGAGTTAAAAAGAGCGGGGGAAATTTTTTTGGCGCGAAACATTTGCTCGACGAGAAATATCGTCGCTTAAGACAACCTTGCGCGACGGTACTCTGATTCGTCACGCAAAAAAGGACAGAACCTAGTGGGTCCCTTTATTTGGCGGTAAAAACTTGTGCAACGAAATTCTTCTTCGCAAAAGACAGCTTAGCGCGACGGGAAGATGTTTCGTTGCGTAAGAGAACGAGGGATATTTAATTTTTGGCGCCAAAATTACCTGGTTGGGATTTTTTTTGCGCGACGTACATACTATTCGTCGCGTAAAGTTCCACGTTTGCGCGACGAATTCTTGGTTTTGCGTGACGGAATGTTGTTTTTGCACGACGAAAGTTTGTGCGACGGAAAATACCTGCGTCGCGCAAAAGGTAGATGTCGGCAGGTGATTGCGCAACGAAAAAAATGGTTTGCACGACGGACTATTTGGTTTTTTGCGATGGAAGTTTGCGCGACGAAATTATGTATTCGTCGCGCAAAGTCCTTCTTCTTCATATTAGAATTCTGCCTCTCTCTCAACCTCTCTGCCGCTGCTGGGACTTCAATACATTGATTGGGTAAATATTTTTCGTCATTAGTTTAAAAGTATTAATTTAAGTTCGTACTAAGGTTTTTTATTTTGTTTTCGTTAGGGATATTTGTAATTAGCGATTGGTGGAGAACGATTGAGAAGGTATTTTATTCGTTTTATATATTAATAATGTTAATTTGTTATGTTTAAAATTTTCTTGTGAAGTTATATTTATATTATGTTGTTAAATTGTGTGTAACGTAGCACAATCTGTTGTGATGTACGAAGTTAATTGAAATTAACTTCGTACTTTTATTTTTATGTTTAGTAACACTTAGTTTCCCGTTCGAGATTAGTTGGATTTCGTGCATGGATGCGTAATGCATGACTGCGGTCCAATTAATTCTTGAATTGTCCCATTATTTGGACAGTTTGGTAATGCATAGTGTTGTCACGTAATCTATGGCTACAGGATTAGGTTTCGATTGTGGATATTTCGATGTCATCTCGATACGTTCTTCGGGTGGTACGTAGATATTTATACTTATGGCCACCTCAAGAACTGTAGCGAGATGCTGGCGAAATTCATCCACATTGAAATCTAATCTCATGTAGCCGTAGGTTACGTGGCAGGAGTATGCATTCCCGAATGGGATAGGACCCTTACCGGAGGCATAAGGTGACATTATAACTTCGTATGAAGTTGTTGTGATTGTTGTGTTGTGATTCTGGTTTCAGGAATTATGGACAGAAGGTGGATACAGAACCCGAACAGATGCAGACGAATACTTGGATGGAATCGAGGATTTTATTGAGTTTGCACGTAGACACAACCCGGATGCAACTAGAATCCGTTGTCCTTGTAGGAGGTGCAACAACACGTTATGGGAGACAATTGAAAATGTTGGATTTCATTTAGTAAGGAATGGAATGATTGAGACATATAGCATTTGGAACCTTCACGGGGAACAATTAGAGCATGCTTCGTCTTCAAATGCCACAAGAGTGGACAATGTTCAACCTATTGTGGATGCTAATGATCAAGTCATGGATATTATACAGGATGTTTTTCCATTTGCATCAACCAACATGAATCAAGAAGAGCAAGATGATGTGCCTACACCAATAGACAGTGCGGAGTTTGAACAATATGAAAAATTGTTAAAAAATGCCAACCAAGAGTTATACCCGGGGTGCGAGAGCTTTTCCGTTCTCACGGCCATTGTGGAGCTAATGCACGGAAAAATAAAGTATCGTATGTCGAACCTGTGTTTCGATTACTTTTTGGGGGTTTTCAAGAGAATGTTTCCGACGGACAATTGTTTGCCGAAAGACCATAAACAGGCGCAGAAGGTGTTGAATGGTCTTGGATTGGGTTATGAAAAAATTCATGCTTGCAAAAACAATTGCATGTTATTCTACAAAGAGCATGAATCGTTGGATACATGTCCTATATGCAATGAGTCGAGGTTCAAGATGACATCTCAGAATAGGACGACTAAGATCCCACAAAAAGTCATGCGTTATTTGCCCCTGAAACCTAGGTTGCAGCGATTGTATATGTCGACGCATACTGCCACAAACATGAGATGGCATAAGGAAAAATAGGTAGACGATGATGTGATGCGGCATCCTGCAGATGGGGAGGCATGGAAAGAGTTCGATCGAACGTTCCCCGAGTTTGCTGCTAATCCCCGAAATATTAGATTGGGACTTGCCACTGAAGGATTCAATCCGTATGGGGTTCTAAACCAACACCACAGCACTTGGCCGATTTTCGTATTCCCATATAATTTGCCACCTTGGAAATGCATGAAAAAAGAATACATGATGATGACTGTTTTGATAACTGAGGATCCTGGGAGGTCAATCGATGTTTACTTAAGGCCGCTAGTTGATGAGCTGAAGGATTTATGGACAAACGGTGTTCGCACGTACGATAAATCAACTGGGAAGATGTTCACTTTGCGGGCAGCAGTTATGTGGACTGTGAATGATTTCCCAGCATATGCAATGGTTTCTGGGTGGAGCACAAAAGGTTATATGGCATGTCCTGTATGCAAGGAAGATGTAACTTCTGGTTGGCACGCTAGAAAAGTTTGTTAACTTGGTCATCGGAGATGGTTGCCATGGGACCATGAGTGGAGGGAAAAAGATAAAGAGTTTGACGGGAACACAGAGCATCGCCTTAGACCTAGAGAATGGTCCGGTGATGAGATATTGGACCAACTTAACCATTTTGCTCCCTTCGGGAAAACAGTTAGTCGTATCAGACCTTCTACACATATGAACTGGACGCACAAGCCTATGTTTTTTGAGCTCCCATATTGGTCGAAACTCAAATTGAGGCGCAATCTAGATGTGATGCATGTTGAGAAAAATGTATTTGACACATTGGTGGGCACGATTCTAGATATCGAGGGGAAGACAAAGGACACGATCAAAGCTCGTCTTGATTTGGAAAGAATGGGCATACGAAGGGGTTTATGGATGAATAGGGACAATGATAAAGCTAGAAGGGATCTTGCATTCTTTTCTATGAAACCGAATGACAAGAAAGAGTTTCTAAAGTTTGTATCGTCTGTAAAGTTTCCCGATTGGTATACTTCTAATATCGCACGTTGTGTGAATGTTGACGGGGGTAAATTTACTGGACTTAAGAGCCATGACTGTCATGTGTTTATGCAACACCTACTTCTTGTTGGTATTCGACACCTATTGCCGGAAGATGTAGTGAAGCCAATCATTTTGTTGTCCAGATTTTTTTCCCAACTGACGGCAAAAACTTTGCAAAAAACGAACATGTTTCAGTTGCGCCATGACATTGTCCAAGTCCTATGCAAGTTTGATATGATATTTCCTCCAGCTTTCTTCACAAGTATGATGCACGTGATGGTTCACTTGCCAGAATAGGCATTGCTTGCTGGTCCTGTCAACTATCGCTGGATATATCCAATAGAAAGGTATATAATCCTTATCGTTTGTGTATGCATCATTATCATATGCTTGCTAATTTGTATCATATCGTTTTATTTGGCAGGCTTCTCGGAGAGCTGAAAAAAAGTGTACGCAACAGGGCGAAGCCCGAAGGATCAATTGTAGAGGCTTAGGTTCAATATGAGTCCTTACTTTCTGCGGAATGTATTTAAAAGATGTGGAGACGATTTTCGATCGTCCTCAGCGCAATCATGACGGAGGTATGAGAAATGAAAAACTTTATGTTTTGCCCAAAGAGCACGACCCTTTGGAGATCCTGGACGAGGAGAGTCATTTTCTAGAAATGACGTGGAGGTAGCTCATTGGTTCGTACAGAACAATTGTGATGAGATCATGGGATACTTATATGACCATGAAAAGATGATGAAGCGAGAACATCCATCACATTTGGTTGCCCAGAAACACCGTGAATTGTTTCCACAATGGTTTTTGGATTCTGTAAGTTATCAGTGTTTGTTATTTGAGAAATATAAATTGTAGTTTTTAATTTTGTCAGACTAACATATGCATGGTTTTGTATAATATTAGGTGAATAAGTTGAAATCATCGAATTCCCCAACTTACAGTGATGAGTTCTATAACTTGGTGTTCGGCCCGATTCGCACTGAATTGTTCTCGGGTTGTAATGTCAACGGCGTCAAATTTTTGGGGTTGCACGAGATGACAAGTTGTGTACGCAAAACAGCGGTGTCCATGTCCCAGGTGGAGGCGAAAGTACGGACATTGATTTCTATGGCAAACTCACAACTGTCGTGCAATTGCTTTACAAAGATCAATACCAAGTGATCATGTTTAAGTGTCGATGGTTTGACACTAACCCAAATAGGCTGGCAAGTGTTAAAATCGATCATGGCTTACTATTTGTGAACATGAACAGAACTTGGTATGATGACGACCCTTATATTTGGCAAACATGGCAACACAAATTGTGTATCTAGATGACCCTAAAGCCGGAAGTGGTTGGAACGTTGTTCAAAAGATGGATCATAGGAACGTGTATGCTATACCAGAACTAGACCCAACTGACAACGACGTCGACAACGTGGCTGACCAACGTTTAGAATCTTCAATGGAAAATGATGCGGAAACACTTCGAGATACAAATGTTATACAAGAGCCATTTCAAATACAAGGAGTGTTTTTAATCGAAATACCGATTCAGTCAATTACAATTGACATCGGTGATCTTCCGCGATACGATGTTGCAGTTGGCCCGAGCAACGACGATGATGTAGTATAGAGGAGGCGGAGGAGGAGGAGGAGTAAGAGGATTGGGAGACCGAAAGTGATGATAGCGATGATAACGAAAGTTATTATAGTTCAAATGATGAATGATGAATTTTTTTTGTAATTTTATTATGTTAGTGGACATATTTTGTGTAATGCAAATGTTTTCATATATGTACTTATTATATCCAAACATTATATATGTGCAGAAATGAAACATTATTAAAATAAATGTAGTTATAAACTGTCGGTAAATAAATATATCCAAGTAATTTTAATAATAAAGTTTAAATTTATTTTGACAAAAAACTTTTAAAAATGAAAACCATATAACTAAAAAAATGAATACAAAGAAAATAAGATTATCCAAAAAACTTTATTTCATTTGAACTCACAAAATCAACAATCCTTCAATTCTCAAATCAAAAGAAAATAGAATAAATCATACTTTCATACAATTAATTATATGTAATGATGAATAATTCAGCTTAATAATATGTGAATGAAAATAACCTTGCGCAACGAAGACATCATCGTCGCGCACATTTTGCGCGACGAAAAATATACACGTCGCGCATACTCTAAATTTTGCGCGACAAATAATTCCGTCGTGCAAGTAAATTTTGCGCGACGAATAAAAAGACCTCGTCGCGCAAAACATATATATATATTGTTGATATATACACACGTATATATTTGAAATTGACGATCGAAGTAGTTCACTGTATTCACATAGGGTTAAACAGTGTAGTTGTAAAAAATCATCAAAATCAGAGTCAAAATAACCGTTAAATCATGACTTTTCGTTTATAACTGTCGAAAAGTTTTGTCCTGTTACTTGATCTCTGAATGTTTTTTTTTCTCATTTTTGACGAATACGATCTCGAAGTATAAACAAACATATTTGACGGCTGGATTACTGAAACTAGTTTCCTAGAATGCGTATTCCATCAAAACACAATATTCATCAAAAATGAAGAATTTATTTATACATTCATTCAGTATAACATAAGATTATGTGATGTCCTGTACTGTAAATATCTGAAATTGAAGATCGAATTACATCTCTGTATTCATATAGGGTCAAGAACCGCAGCTGTAAAAAAATTTCAAAATCGGAGTTAAAATCACCGTTGAATCGGGACAATTTGTTTAGAACCGTCGAAAAGTTTTGTCCCGTTACTCAATCTCTGAATGTTCATTCATTCTGATTTTTGACGTATACGATCTTGAACTATAAAAAAAGAAGATTGCCGGTTGGATCATTGAAACTAGTTCAGGAGTTCGGGTTTAGGGCTTAGGGTATAGGTTTTAGGGTTTAGGGTACAAGGGTATGGGTTTGCGCGACGAAACAACTTGAATTCGTCGCACAAATCCTTCGTGACAAATGGACCTTGCATTCGTCGAGCAATGTGAGAAAGAATTTTAGCCCCTCTCCGTTCCAACACTTGGCGGAATTTTTTTTTGGCAAAAATCTAGATTGCGCGACGAACATAAGTCCCCTTCGTCGCGCAAAACCATGAACGAATTTCAGCCCTTCTCCGCTCCAACACTTAGCGAAATTTTTTTTGGGCAAAAATCTAGATTGCGTGACGAACATAAGTCCCCTTCGTCGCGCAAAACCATGAAGGAATTTCAGCCCATCTTCGCTCCAACACTTGGCGGAATTTTTTTTTGGCAAAAATCTAGATTGCGCGACGAACATAAGTCCCCTTTGTCGCACAATATCATTTCATTTATCTTCCCCGCGCAAAATCAAATCCCAAAATTTGGGCGGCTGGACAAACTTGCGCGACGAAACAAGTTCTTTCGTTGCGCAAAGGTGATATTTTCAGAACCTAGCGCGACGAAACAAGCTCTTTCGTTGCGCAAAATTGCCAACCCCTAAACCCCAATCCCAAATTTTGGCAGACATGGCGACATTGCGTGACGGAAACTTATTTTTTTCGTCGCGCAAAAGTTATTTAAATGAATTTTGCACAACGCATTTTTTTATTCGTCAAGCAAAGTCGAATAAGTTTTCTGAAAATCGCGATCTTCTCCTTCTTCCCCAGTTTCTCAAACTCGAACCCTAAAACCTCCCTCTTTCTCCACTATGACCTCAGCCCCTGCTCCGCCCCAATTCATACCTTGCCGCCACAAGCGTCGAACCCTGGAGCTTCTCCGCCATCGCCGTCCATCCTGCCGCCGTGATTTCCTCCGTTTAGGCCGAATCTTCGCCGCCGTTGTTCTCTCTCCACCGGGCACCAAATCCGACAATTGAGGTATGCTTTCTGGACTATTTTTTATGCTTTAGCTAATGGTTGGGTAGGATTTAATTGATTGTGTGCATAGGGTAGGTCCGAGAACAAAAGTGCCTCCAATTGATGTTTTGAACCTAGGGTAGGAACCTTGGCCCTTAATTTTTAGGATTTCCCGGTGATTGTTATCGCTTTGGGCACCCACGCGCTGCCAGCGCGTGTGGTGGCGCGTGGGGTACTGTAGCATAGGGCATTGGGTCCCAGTGCAAACATTTCGTTGTCACGAACGCGTAGGTGTGCTCGGATTGGAATTTGGTTACCGTTTGAGTCTCGAACGGATCGAACCTATTGTGCGATTTCCGGGTTTGATATGTTCGGACCGTTGGATCGAGCTGAAACTCACGTATGTGGTACCATGTATTTATAGGATCGTTTAGGATTCGACGGATCGTAGATCGGAGTCCCTGATACTCCGAAATCGCAAACCCTAGGTCAAACTATGATTTTAATTAATTAGTTCAATTTTTTAATGACATTGTATGTGCTAAATTTGATTAATGAAATTGTGCAGATGTCAGACTTGATTAGACGTCGTAGGGCGGTGACGACTACACCGAGTTCGGAGCCCCCGGCTCAGCCGGTATCAGCTGCCACTGCTCCAGCACTGATGGAGCAGGACCACGTGCTAGCCTCTTTCGTTAGCGCTAGGCGGCGACACCGGCCCGCTACCACCACTGACACCACATCGACTGACGGTACTGGTGCCTCGGAGGCACCTCCAGGTATATATACCCTTTCACTTTCGTTTTTTTGTTTTTAAAATTTTTTTAATTGGGAATTTTATGGTTCAATTTTTTATTTATTTAACAGTATTGTCATATCCCTTTGCAGCCAAGAGGAACACCCGAGGGCCGTGTCAGCAGCTGAAGACGGCGAAGGTCACTCGGGTGACCAACAGTCGTATCAGCATCGGATATGACGAGCGCCATCGGGCTGCACCGTCGGCGGACTTGCATAGCTCCTTGGCCCACGACATTGGCCACGTCGTTTGGACCCATTGCCCGATGCAATAGAAGTCTTGGAAGGTCATGCCTGACGAGATCAAGATGCAAGTTTGCGGCCAGTTGTCAGTATGTTTCCTATCTTTTAATTATTTTTCTTTCAAACTTTATATATTTCTATTACTTAATGTATGTAATGAATTTATTGCAGACGAACTACCACTTAGAGGACCTCAACGAGGAGACCTTGGCGTACGTCAACAGACTCTTCGGTGAGAGGTACAAGCAGTGGAAGAGCGACTTGCACCACCATTTTCAGGCGTTTGATGATCCGCAAGTCGCTCTTCAGGAGGGTTGCCCGAACGAGCTTGAGGGGCGGGAGGATAGTTGGGCGTGGCTTTGCGCTCATTTTCGGGCACCCGATTATGTGGTATTTTTTTAATAATATTTGTTTAATTATTACATATTTCTTATTAATGTTTATTTTATTTTTAATATGTCATTATTATTTAATTTATTTATATTTCAACTAATACGTTTTATTTTTTGTATAACAGAATAAAGCCCAAGTGAATAAGGGCAATAGGAAGAAGAAGACTCTTCTCCACCATTCCGGCTCCAGGCCCTTCTCATATAGGATGGATGCACGACGTCGGGTAAGAATAATATAATTTATATTTAATTTTTAATACGTCATTATTATTAATTTATTTTGTTCATACTAATATTTTCCTTCTCTTGTTCAATTAAGGGGGGGTCGAAATTCCCAGAGATGTGTCTTTGGTGACGTTTATGTTCAACCTGGGAATGAGTTGGCCGAGTCCCTTCATGTAAGTATTATTTAATTTTAATTCTTATGTTACGCTTTCAATTTATATGCATTTTTGAATTTATATTTTATGTAATGTTAAACAGACGACGATAGTGGAGAGGAGCCAGTTGGTTCTTCAAGAGTCCGCCTCCCAACTTCCTCCCGAGACTCCGATCAAGTCTGTGGATCCTCCGCATGATGCTGGATTTCAGATTTTGACGCAAACGTTGAATCAGACTCTCGGGAGGAGGCCGGGAATGTATTTAGTGCGTCGACCTCCGAGCCCATCCACCCCGAGCATCCCCAGCACACCACGGCCCCTGCAGACGCCCATACCTCCGAGCCGCATGTGGCAGATAACCAAGTAGATTTTGGAACATTATTTGATTAGTTTTTTATTTTTATAATTACTTTTAAAATATTTCTCTTGAATACATTTCTTTTATTTTATATAATAAATGTTTTCTTTGCGATTAATCTTTTTATTGTAATTTCATTTTAATTATTAAAAAAAACCAAATTTATTTTTTTACAAAATTAAAAAACAAATAATAATAATTTTTTTTAATAATATATATTACTTTTGCGCGATGATTTACGTTTCGTCGCGCAAAATCATTTAAAAAACCTTTTAACAAATATATTTTAATCATGCGCGACGAAGAGTTTCGTTGCGCGAAATGTGTATGCGCGACGAATTATTTCGTAGCGCGAAATTTGTATGCGCGACGAATCGTCTTGTCGCGCGAAATTTGTACGCGTGACGACTCTTTCGTCGTGCAAAGACTAATTGCGCAACGAATACTTTTTCGTCGCGCAAAGTTCATGTATCTCGAGCGACGGAAGCCTCCGTCGCGCATTGTTTTTGCGACGACCAACCATTCGTCGCGCAAATATTTGTGCGACGGAGATTAGGGTCGTCCCGAAATGTTTTTTTTAACGAAGTTGTAATATGTGGCACTGTTTTGCGCGACGAAAGATATTTATGCGTTGTGCAAATCCTTTCTTCACGAACTTTGCGCGACGGACTGTGCGCGACGAAACTTCTGTCGCGCATAATTATGTGCGACTAAAATCATCTTTGCGCGACGAAGATTACTTCGTCGCGCAAACCCTAAAATGTTATAGTGTTGATAACCCCACTTTGGTCCCTGCAACTCCACATATCCCACATAATTGTTCTCCCTCTTCTACACCAAGAGTACCTATCCAAATTCCTGAGGCTTCGGATAACCCTGAGGTAAGTACATAACCAAATTTGATTAATACTGACAATTTAATTACAAATGATATTGATAGTGTTGCAGAAACAAGGTATCAATTGCCTCCCAAACTTAATAGAGGAATTCCACCAGATCGTTTTTCACCTGAAAATTCAAAGAAGTCGAACTACCCAATTGCAAACTATGTCTCTACTCATCGATTATCTGAAGCATGTGTAGTTTTTGCTAATCAGATGACAACTGAATTTATTCCATATAAAGTGCAAGATGCTTTGGTTGCTCCTCAATGGAAGAAAGCTATGGATGAAAAGATGCTGGCTTTGAAAAAAAATCAAACTTGGGATTTAGTTTCATTGCCACAAGGAAAACGACCAGTTGGATGCATATGGATTTTCACAATTAAACACAAGGTAGATGGTACCATTGATAGATACAAGGCGAGATTGGTTGCCAAAGGATATACTCAGACATATGGTGTTGATTATCAGGAAACTTTTGCACCAGTTGCAAAAATAAGCACAGTTCGTATTCTAATATCGCTTGCAGCAAATTTAGATTGGCCACTCCAACAATTTGATGTGCAAAATGCTTTCCTACATGGAGAATTAAAGGAAGAAGTTTATATGAACCTACCTCCGGGATTTGATCTATCAGAAAATCCAAATTTGGTGTGCAAGTTGAGGAAGTCACTCTATGGGTTGAAACAGTCTCCTAGAGCTTGGTTTGGCAAATTCAGTTGTGCCATGAAGAAATATGGTTATCGTCAAAGCAATGCAGATCATACTTTGTTTCTGAAGAGGAGGAAAGGGAAGGTCACTGTTTTAATTATGTATGTTGATGATATGATAATAACAGGTGATGATACAGAAGAGATTGATAAATTGAAACATTATTTATCAACTGAGTTTGAGATGAAGGATCTTGGAGGGCTGAAATATTTTTTGGGAATTGAAGTGGCTAGATCTCAACAGGGTATTTTCTTGTCACAGAGAAAATATGTGTTAGATTTATTGAATGAAACTGGGATGCTTGGGTGTAAACCTGCTGATACTCCTATTGTGCAGAACCATAATCTTGAGATTCTTCCAGATCAAGTTCCAACAAATAAAGACAGGTATCAAAGGTTAGTTGGAAGACTTATTTATTTATCTCACACCAGGCCAGATATTGCTTATGATGTTAGTGTTGTGAGTCAATTTATGCATTCGCCTAGTGAAGTTCATATGGAAGCAGTTATGCGAATTTTACAGTATTTGAAGTCTGCACCTGGCAAAGGGCTGATGTTATCAAAACATGGACATTTGGAAATTGAAGGTTTTACAGATGCCGATTGGGCAGGAAATCGAACTGATAGGCGTTCAACATCAGGTTATTTTACATTTGTGGGTGGTAACCTTGTTACTTGGCGAAGCAAGAAACAGAAGGTTTGTTCTTTGTCCAGTGCGGAAGCAAAGTATCGAAGCATGATACATGGCGTATGTGAGATGTTGTGGATTCAGAAATTATTAAAGGAATTGGGCTTCGTGGCTAAAGATGCCATGAAATTGTATTGTGATAATTAAGCTGCAATCGACATAGCTAATAATCCAGTCCAACATGATCGTACTAAACATGTGGAGATTGATAGACATTTTATTAATGAAAAATTGGAAAGCAATGTGATTAGTGTACCACATGTGAAATCAGAGGAACAACTTGCAGATATTTTGACTAAAGCAGTGTCTAGCCATGCATTTAGTGACTCACTTGACAAGTTGGGCATTGGTGACATCTATGCACCAACTTGAGGGGGAGTGTTGGCGTGAGTCCTATTTTAGGTAGGAAATTAATATAAGGATTCTTGTAAATATTGTATTACCTGTTCTATTAGGATTAGCTTTTATCTTTTCCTTTGGTAAAAAGTCATTGTACACTATATATATACCTCCTTTGAGAGAAGAATATATATCAAAAATTCACCATATATCCTTATATTTGACTAGTAATTGATGGGAATGTGAAGAATGATTGCTAGAGTGGCACAAAATGTTAGAGGCAGGGTAATGGATTGAGTTCTGAGGTAAATTCTCAAAGGGTGCGGTAAACACAGAGCAAGAAGGTCAGGGAGAGAACAGAGGAGGTAAAGTTGAGCTTCAGAGGCAATTGCTTCATCGTGGCCACAAAGGAGGAGGAGTTTCTTCATGTTTAGCCACAGAAGAGAAATTGGTAAGGATGTAAATATCAGAAGAAGTACTGTTCTCTGCAAAGAGAGGCCAAGCAGCGTATGCCTTTTGGCACCAAAAGCTTGACCACAAATGGGTTCCATTCCCATGGCAAGGCCAGAGAGAATCGAGTAACCGGTGATGTTAGCAAGGCCGACGGCAAGGGACCCGCCGGCTAAAGCGAGCTCGCCGAGACGGCCGAGGAAGAGCATGGAGATCATTGACCTGGAGTAAAGTAAAAGGCCAGTGAGTATCATGGGAAAAGCTATGCTGGCTACGGAATTGTCTTCTTTTAGAGCCGAGGAGAAATGGGATTTTTGGTGGGGTTTGTGTGTTTGGTGGTGTGCGTTTAGTTGTAGCTTCTTCTGTACTTGCTCTGGTTGGGACGTTGTGCTTTTGGAGATCAATGGGTTAGTGAGCGTTTTGGGGCCTTCTGGGTCTTTAATGGAGACAAGGTAAGGGTGGTCTGAATTGCCATTGCAGCAGGGAGAAGGAGATGTCAGCTTGCTCATTATTATATGCGCTTAAGGATCAATCAACTGTAAGTTAATTTGTGTGTGTGTGTGTGTGTGTGAGAGAGAGAGAGAGAGAGAGAGAGAGAGAAAGAGAGTTGAGAGTTGAGATTGTGGGGGTCGTTGAGGGGTTTTTATAGAGTCTTTGTGATGACTGGCCAGCAAAACCTAGTGAGAGATGGGTGATGTGTGTAAATTCCACTTTCAATTCTTAAGAACTAAGATTTGGTTTAATTTTGTTTCTTCTTCTACACAAAAAAAATCGTGTAATAAATTCTACACAAAAAAGAAGTCCGCATGCTCTGATATTTTGGTTCACATATATGTGCTTTGACCCAACAATTCGACTTCTCCTTCCTGCCTTTTGGACTATTCGATTATAACTTGAGCAAATTGCCCATCCAAAGTTATTTGTAGTTATTAGGAGAACCTTTTCTTGTCATTTTCTTTTATGAGTCGAACCTTCGGTGAAACCTTCAATGTGAGTGTGAAGGTTCACAAGATACCTAAAATGAGAACCAAGAAAAGACGTTACACAGATCAAATTAAAGTGTGAAGGTTCACAGAACGTAATGAATCTTTGCCGACAATGAACATGCATGCCACAAAATTCTTCGGCATGCAGTAAGGCGTTTGGAAAGTTCAAAATCACAATTGGACTTTTCAAACTTGGTTCTTGGCTGATCTCAACAGAATCTAAAGAAATCTGCAATAGTGAACTCGGTCCTCTGTGATCAGCTGTAATCTTGACTTTCTTTTTCTTTGAAAAGAAAACAGGTACAAAACAAAAGGAGAAAAAAGATAAGGAAACCTAGTTAATTTGGCTTTACAAAGCTGTACGTAGTTAAACCAATATTTTGAAAACAAAAAAGCTCTTGTCAGATAAAAGTTAAATTTAGAGGTTGTGTATTTCTTCGCATTTTATTAAATTTAAAAACCAAGTATTAAGGTTATACGAAGAAATAAAATTATAGGAATAAAAATTGTTCCCTCAATTTTGAATTAAAAAGAAAAAAGAAACTCAAATAATGAAACAAAAATGGGACAAATGAATAGGAGGAGACAAGGCAACATAGGGTTGAATGATGCTAGCTGTTGCTTTGGTGAATGATGCTAGCTGCGATCCGCTACACCCTCTCTTTAACCTTATCTCTTCGTGTAAAACTCTCATGTGTCTGGTGGTGTTTGTTGCATTCAACATACTTATAGGAAAAGTAATTCTGCTGCTGATCTCCTTGCGTCTATTGAGATTTGGATGAGGAAATTTAAAAGTACAAAAGATTTCATAAATGACGGAAATTGATGTTCTAGAATTTGTAAAGTTTCTTGTTTTGATGATAGATTTAAAACACGGAATTTAACATTTATTTGTAAAGTTATCTTTTTTTTTAAACTCAATCTCTCTTGGGATTTTAGAAATGACGACTTTTAGATAGAATTTAAAGTTGAGATTTATGATCACCAAATTCCATGTTTTTTCCCATGCAGATGTTTTTTTATCCAAACACAGGAATTGGTTCATGTCAATTTAGAAATTCTGAGTTTTGTCAAAATCCCAAGTTTATTTCCCTCATTCAAACGCACCGTAAATCTTTCGGGATCCATTTTCGGGACTTCCTCCAGCTGCTGTGAGGGAATCTTTGTTTAATGACTTATGTCGGGTGTCTACCCCAAGATTTGTTGTTGATTAGTTTTGTGCTGGGCTTTAGCCCACCTCTTTACCAAAAAAAATTTAAAATAATTAAAATAAGAGATATTTAGTCATATCCATTCTTACGGCCAAAGACTCAAAGGGCAAGCAAGGGAAAAGATCCCAAAAGGCCATCATATTTACCGATCTATTTAGGAAATGTTTGATAACCATTTCAATTTTAGTTTTTATTTTTCATTTTTCATTTTTCATTTTTTGTGCAAGAGTATAGAGAAAATTAGGGGGGTGTATTTAATTGAGATTTTGGGGCCATATATATCTCTTTTAAAATATGTATATGCATTATTATATAATCATATATCTCTTTTAAATTAAGTGTTAAACACTTTTTTGGTCATTGGATTTTATATGAAATTTCAATTTAATCACTAAGAAAAAAATTTAGCCAAATATATGTTTCATCAAAAGTTAACCATTTATAGGCATACATTTTCTTTTAAGTGGCTTGATTAAATACATTTTAAGTCACTTACTTTTACAAGAAATTTCAATTCTCTCTCTCTCATTCCAAATCATCTCTTATAGCCTCAATCCTAATTGATGATAATTAGTAATTTGATGAATCACGGGATTTTGGTTTTATGTTTCCATTGAATTATTTGTGTAATAATCCTTTATAATATTGAAAAAGCATATGGTGATGAGTTTTTAGTTCTAAATTTTTTATCAATATATATGGTCCAAATAATTACTCAATTTGTAAGTTAACCACGTTCCTAAGCAAAATAATAATAATCATAATTAGGCCAAATATTGGTCCTCTCATTTTGCACAATTGAAAGAACTTTGCTTGAAATTTTAACAAAGTAAAAAACAAAAAATATCCAAAAATTACGGCCTTTGCTTTGAATGTAATAACAATTATATAACTAACTTAGCCCTCACCATGTTCATTGGATTGGCTCAAGTCTTTGGTGTGCTTTGACAAGACCCGCCCCAAATTTCCCGGAACCCGAGACGAACCCTGCGGAGACCCCGGCATCACACCCACGCCGGGTTCACTCCTTAAATCTATGTCCTCGTTTACCAGAGAGGATTAAGGACACGAGACTTTCTGCCAAAATTCGGCAGAATCTCCCCTGTAAATTGAACATTTCCCAAAATTTCCACCTGCATAAAACACATTTTATAACCCAACCGGCAGCACGCACAATATAATCTCATGCAATTTACATAAATGGCCTCCGGCCTTCAAATTATTCTTGCAGAACTGCCCACAATGTATTTAAAATAACTTAATGCATCAAACATGCATATAATAAATTCAAAATCTATTTATGCACACCTTCACTCACTTAGTCCCCAGGACAAGCCTCAATTCAACCAAGTTTCGGGACCAACAACGAGGTCCAAACCAATCTCAATAAGACCACCTAAGTGGGGTCTAATCTGTGGCTGCACCTAGTAACTTCAGGCTGCTTACGTACCCTACTAAGGGATCAAGCTACACGTAGTTCTTTCCCTAGAACCCTTTTTCCTCATAATCACAACTCAACAATACTCACAACATCTCCCCATACGCCGGAACATCCAAAGTTACGTATGGGACCTATCCGCACGCCGGATAAACCTACGACATGTGAGAACTCATCAACATATCACATAATCCCCTCATACGACGGGACGTACCCGGCCTCGTATGGGGTCTGTCAACACGCCGGCTAATCCAAAGACGCATGCGACCTCAACACTGGGCCTGGCTACATTCTCACCAGCCCGCACACAATCATATCTCCCCTCATACGTCGGGACGCACCCGGCCACGTATGGGGTCTGTCAACACGCCGGCTAATCCAAAGACGCGTGCGACCTCAACACTGGGCCTGGCTACATTCTCACCAGCCCGCACACAATCATATCTCCCCTCATACGTCGGGACGCACCCGGCCACGTACGGGGTCTGTCAACACGCCGGCTAATCCAAAGACGCGTGCGACCTCAACACTAGGCCTGGCTACATTCTCACTAGCCCGCACACAATTATATCTCCTCTCCTACGTCGGGACGCAACCGGCCACGTATGGGGTCTGTCAACACGCCGGCTAATCCAAAGACTCGTGCGACGTCAACACTGGGCCTGGCTACATTCTCACCAGCCATCGTATAGTTCACTTTGGGCCTGGGTACATTCTCACCAGCCGTCGTACTGTTCACTTTGGGCCTGGCTACATTCTCATCAGCCGTCATACTGTTCACTTTGGGCCTGGCTACATTCTCACCAGCCGCATGAGTTTAAAGGCCTCAACATAATCACAATATAGGGGGGGTGCGTGGGGTAGTGCGTATAGCACTGTAAACTAACATTCGATCCCTTTATATACCTTTATGCATCCACACAATTAAATATATAATTTCTAATTTCTAATCCTATATAAACCTCAACCAATAAAGCATTCCATAAACTCCCCCATTTAAATTCATCAATTTATATCCTAAACCCACAATATCCATTCAACTCAACAACGCTCAAGACCTGTCACTAAGGTCATTCTAACCCTCTAAGAAAGGTAAGACTATCTCGGAAGTCTCACGGTCAACCTAGGGTCAAACGGGGCCGCGGGGCCCACAACCTCCAAATTCCGATCTGACAGTTCCTATAGGTTCTACAAGGTTTAGGACACACGTCCTGCAAGTTTGGTCCAAATCGGACGGTCGGATCGCTCACGATCGCACGATCGGACGGTTACTAAACCTTACCCCTAGGGTTGGCATTTCTGGAGTATCCGGGACTCCGTTTTACGATCCGTTGAATCCTGTACGATCCTGGTAATACCTAGATCAACATATTATAACTTCAGGACCATCCAACGGTCCAAACCTAGCGAACCCGGAAAATACGCAATATGCGATATCCGTTTGGGACTCTAACGGTACCCAAAATGAGATCCAAGCACACCTACGCACTCGTGACATCAAGAGGATCACAGTGGGACAAAATGCCCCTCAGCTACAGTGCCCACGCGCCGGCAGCGCGTGGGTGTCCAAAGCGATATCGCATCACCGGAAAACTTCCAAATCAAGAGCCAAGACTCCTACCCTAGGTAATACACCTAATTTGGAGTCACTTTTGTTCTTGGGCATACCCCAAAAGTTGACCGGAAGTGGCCGGAATCTCCCCTCGAAATCCGGCCGAAACCCAATTCGTAAATCGAGTTGACTACGCTACAAATTGATCAATTCATACCCAACAGGCAGCTAGAGCTCGGAAAATAGGTGAGAAACCATACCTCACTTGCCGGAATCGGTGGCCGGATGACGGAGAACGAAGCCGGCGAAGTTTCGGGCGAAACCGAGCTTTTCTCTTCGATTTTCCGGCGAAATCCCGACGGCTGGCGGCGAGACCTGGCTGGGGTAGGAAGAGGACGGCGGCCCGGTCATATTGGTACCGGCCCCGTCAAGTTTGGTGGCCGGACGAGAGCACGACCTGCCAAAACGTGGCCGGCCATGGTGGCTGTCGCGAAAACCAGAGGAGAGAGGGAGAGACGCGCGGGAGGAGAGAGAGAGAGAGAGAGAGAGAGAGAGAGAGACGAGGGCAGTTCAGTCTTTTTATCAAAAATCCATTTTCAAAATATTTACGACTTTGCCACTGGTGATGTTTTGCCCGTAACTTCTTCGTTACAGCTCCGATTTAAGCCCACTACGTCTCTATGGACTCATCTCACCGTGCTCTACGCAACGGTACAACCAGAATTCCCAAACTCCTTCCGGATAAGAAATGACCAAATTACCCCTATCCCAAGGGTAAATTCATAATTCCATTTAAATAAATTAAAATATGCAATAAATTTGGAGTCGGGGTGTTACATGCTTCCTAGTTCTGAGTTCAAACTAGTACCTGCGTGTGAGTTTTACCTCTCCTCCTTCCTAACTTTGGCAACAACAACCCAAAAAAAAAGAAGACTTAGTCCTCCCTTAAGTTTTATTTTCTTCTAACACTTTTCATTGAAAGAAACTGATGCCATATTTTCTATATATACAAAAACAGCCCAACAAAAGCGTCGATCGGCATGGGACTTCACTACATGATTTCATGGTCTGCAGACATCCCATCTGCTGAAAAAGTTTTATTCAAGTAATGTGAGAAACTAAATCACTGCCTTCAGTATGCCTATGCATGAAGCCATCTCTTCTAATTTTGCCCTTCTTATAAATATTGACGGTGTGGGCTTTTCGTTATAAATAAGATGCTGCATGCACACTAGAGATCTATTGAGATATACACAGAAATAGAGAACATGACATTGCCAAGGTTTGTGGTGGTGAAATCAAACCACAACAAAAAGTACTTGCGCTACCTAAAAAAAGAAGATGGAGAGGAGGACGCCCCCGCCGGGTTTCTCAAATTCACCGGAGAGGAGGCCGGGAGCCATTACGCAAAGTACGAAGTGGAGATGGCGAAGAGTACCGAGAACAAGGGATTTGTCCACATTAGATGTTGTTACAACAATAAATACTGGGAAAGCGTCAATGGCATGGATAAGTTCGAAGGCGATGTTTTGATTGTTGCAGGGGCAGACGAACCGGAGGAAGACCAATTCAAACCCTCATGTACCTTGTTTGAGCCGGTCTACGTAGATCCAATAGACGACGAAGACGACGACAATAAACCGGACGATAAAGCTGAAGATGACCTTGAGGAGGGCAGTCAGGTAGTCCAATTTCGCCACGTCCAGCTCGGACGCTACACTTGCTTGCACAACGATTCGGATGCGCTAGTACTTTTCGGAGGCTCAAACTCTACCACAGACAATCCGAACAACCTAGACTCCCGGGATGTGTGCACTGTCGTCAATTGGGAATCGCTGGTGATTTTGCCGAAACACGTGGTGTTCAAGGGCGATGATGACAACTACATCACCGCCCAAATGTGCGACTACCACAGTGACGACGACGATGCCGATGGACCAAACCTCATGTTCGACGGTAATGATATTAATGATCCGGGTGTGGCGAACGAGATCTTCATGAACGCGGACGGAACCCTACAAATAAAAAATATTTTTTTCGAAAGATATTGGAGACTCGCCAAGGAAGAGTGGATCTGGGCGGACGCATTTAACCCGACCGCCAGAGACAAAAACTATAAAGACACGTTGTATAAGGCGATCAAGCTTTACGACAAGACCATAGCTCTCATTAACGTTGGGAACAACAATTACTGCAAGAGATATGCCAGCGGGATATGTGCTCTCAGTGCCAACGTTCCTAATCTCTCCATATACTCTCATCTCAAGGTGGAAGAGCCTGTTAAGTCGAGGACCATATACAAAGTTAAGTATCGCCTTGACCACGCCAGGACCTACAATTACCAAACTGACTTCGAAATCGCCACCGCAGAGGCCGTCAACTTCACCCAAGAAACCACCACTGTAACCCTAAAGTTGTTGTACAAGAGGCTGAGTAGTTGCAGTTGGAATGATATCAACAGAATTTACTCGATGAAGCTCAAAACCACCATTGAAGCTCCAGGCGTTCCGAGAATCGCAAAACATGAAGGCGGATTGAATAAGGTTGAAATTTCGGATGGGTTTAAAGGAGATGTCCAGTGGGGAGAGACCGAGGCCTACCGAACTGAAGTGGAGACTCTGTGTGTGGTTGATGTGCCGGCAAAGAGTGTGCTGAAGGTGAGGCTGCTGGCCACGACCGCTTCATGTGACGTCCCGTTCTCCTACTCTCGTCAGGACACTCGTAGCAACGGCCAGGTGCATGTCACAAACGACTTGGACGATGGTTTTTACAGTGGTAACAATGCCTTCAACTTCAAGTACAATACCAAGGAAGAAAAGCTGGGATGATCAGTTTGCATGCAGCTTAATTATGTTTAGTTTCATTTTCAAGATAAATAAAACTTCGTAAAATACTCTCATAGGTAGGTGATCCCACTCCTATTATGTAAGATGCATTTTCTGGTATTTTAAATGTTTTATCATTCTCTCTGCAACATATAATAAAAAATAAAATGATTTACACTCAACTAGTTGGAGTTCGTGGCTTACAACCTAATTCACACGAATATATAAGATTTTTACTAATTGTGTTACTGGATTTGGATAGGCTTTTTACCTATTTATCCTCTGGTACAGATATGTGTGGCTATTGTTGGTTTTTTTTTGTGTAGTGTTAGAAGGAGAAAAATAAAGACATGACCAAGGACCCTAAAAAATCTCTCATTTCATTGGATAGCATTGATATATTTTTGTGTTCAAAGCTTTTCAATATACGTGTTGGGTAATCCCTAAAATAGGTCGACCTATTTGACAATATATATGTGGCTAAGCATGTGATGGAAATCACTATAAAAGATAATGGCCATGAGCTGAGCATTTGGTAGAAATCCTCATAAAAGGTAATAGCATGGGCTGATATACTCTGAACACATCAAATCAAATCCACTTTGCCTAGCTAACAGAAAACTAATTTGCAAAGGAGAAATACGTTTTTAGTCCCTGTAGTTTTCACAAAGTTTCACTTTTGTCCCTTTGTTTCAATTGCTTCAAATTTGACCCCTGCGGTTTACAAATTGTTCCAATGTGAGGGTAAAATTGACGGATTACAGATTGACAGAAGTTGGCTGATATCTTCGAATTTGAACAATGTGCAAACGAGATCACCCTATATAAATTAAAATACAATTTGAACAATGCAATTGAAAAAGTACTAGAGACCAAAAAGTAAGCACAATTAAAACAGAGAGAGCTAATCATTTAAGATTTTGGGTTGCAACTTGTATAAATAAATAAAAAGAGGCAAAAAATTTCAAGTGCTATAAATTTATGTAAATGGCAAGCATATGTATGGTAGAAACAATGGTATCAGAGAAACATATATATAAGTCCTCAAAAAAAAAAAAAAAAAAAAAAAAAAAAAAAAAAATCACACAAAATTCTCATTTGTCTCTGCACCCTTTGCAGGTAGACATCAAGCCTGGCCCATAGGGTGTGCGGGCTGTGCTACGCACAGAGGCCCCTAAAACATGCATGATGCTTTTTATACCGTATTAGACTCTACATAAGAGTAAATAGTCCATGTCAAGTGTTTGGTATCAACTTGTATTATTTAATTACCTGACTATTTTATACGGGTTGGGTTTTTAATATTCTCCTTACCTGACTAACTAATACAACTCACGCATCCTGGTTTAGATAATACACGCTTAATTAGGGAAAAAGAACACACGTTCACCTGAAAAATCCGACGATACTATTTTCATCTTCTTCTTGCTAGGGTTCTTCTCTGCTATCTTCTCCAAGGTTGTTCTCTTCACCTTCTCTCTCTCTCTCTCTCTCTCTCTCTCTCTCTATATATATATATATATATTCCTCTTTTATTAAATCTTTGAGGAATTTAGGTTATGAGTTTTTCCTTTTTGACGTCTTTTTTCTTGCTATATTGGAACAATACATGCGGTTGTGTATCCAACTCAATACATTATGCTAAGTTTTTCTTGCGTTTTTTTCTTTATGTATTTCATCTTCTCCAAATATCCAACTTAATAATCAAATTATCATCTCAAGCCAGCGATTAGAAGAATACATGCGGCTATATTTTTCTTGCTGTATTTTTTTTCTTCTACTTTCGGTGCTTTCTTGGTTTGTTTTCTGGTTATTTTAGTGTTGCTATTGCTGGCTGTTGATTCTCTTCTTGCCTGTTTTTGTTGGGCTTCAATATATTATCTTTTTTTTTCTTAATCATATATATGCAAATTATATTGTATATATTGTCTATGGTTCCACTTAAATTATCAAAGAATTTTTTGTAAAATAATAGTCTAATCCGATGTTATCCGGAACAGCACCAAACACAATATAACTTAGTCATACTATTTATCTGGAACAACACTAAACTCCTTATAATATTATGGATAAACAATCAGTACTCTTTGGAACAAATTAATACTGTCTGACAAAAATTAGTTAGTACAGTCCGATGTAACAAACGAGCCCTTGGTATATAATCCAAGGAAGAATTCATGCCTCCCTAATAACTACTGGTAGGTGGAACTGCTGCATATTGTCCGTCCAGAACCTCAATGAGCTTGTCATCTATAGCTTTTGCATACAAAAAAGACCCTTCATGCATCTGTACAAATGAAAAGTAAACCCTAATTAATTAAAAACCACACCACCTGCATGAAGTAATTGATGAAGACTATAAGAAAGAAAAAGGAGTATAAGATTAATTACTACCAACCTTGGTGTTGAACAAGAAGCTGTAGGAATTGCCAATGTGTCCACCTTCAGCGTGGTAGAGATCAAGCTGCAGCTCATCAAGAAGCTTTGACACATACAGCAACGAATTGAACTTCTTCGTCTGAACCAGCTTGATACTAACTTCATCATCGATAATGTGGATATCGACCTCAGTGTCCTTGGATTTCCTTTGAAGCCATGAGCTCCTCAGAGAGCCATTGTTGTAGGACTGATCCTGAGGGTCGCCAGAGGCTTACAGCTCTCACCATCGCCAGCACCACCATCTTGTTCAGTCTGGTGCCTCTCTCTCCCACACCTTTTCTTCTCCACCAGCAATATTTTCAGCTCTTCCACTAACCACAGAAGCTCCTTCATATAATCAATTGCATATCTCACAATTGATGCTCTATCAGTCTTTCCTCCAATTAATTGTTCCCCAAAGACCAAAAGACAAACATTAATTCAGCAAAATATATAATTATCCAGCCAAAAAAAGAGAAAAACTTGGGAAACTACCAAGCCAATAACTTGGATATCAAATGTCATACACTGTGATTCATGAAATCATTACCCAATTAAAACTTCAAAACAACTAATATGCATTTTTTCGTGAAATTTAATCAAATTCAGTAGCATATATTTTTGCAGTGATAGGATGTGAAATTTTGAATTTTAAGTATATACCTTTGTTGGGTTTGGAACCAAATCCCTCAAGGCACTGTACTTGCCATTCAACTGGACTCTCCTCTGCTTCTCAGTGGCAAAGTCTTTGGTCCCTTCGACTTCTCTTCCTCTTCCAATAGAACCCATTTCTCTGGAGAACTCCAACACCCCATTCTCAAATTGCCTCCCATTATTAATCCCATCTGAGTAAACCACTCCTCCAATCCCCTCTCTCTCATCCCCACCACTACTAAACAAAGACTGATACAATTCCCTGTGAAATGGTGCCTGCGGAGGCAGGTTAAAATGCAAAAGTGGGTCATAGAAAACTGAAGACACTGTCCTTGACGGTGCGTCCACTCCTCCGGCAGTGTCCCAATTGGTTTGTTGCTCAAAGGAAAGCAAATAGCTGCTATTGTTGTTCTGGTCAGTATTGGTGCTGTATGGATTGAACCCAAGTTCATTTTGGAGCTCAATTTCCATGGCAGCATGATGATCTTGTTGACGAGGGTAGGAGATCTCTTCAATGGAGAGTCTCAAGTTTTGTGCAACAGCAAAGTTGTTGTTTTTGCGGGTCTCTGAAGGAGAAGGCATGAGAACTTGTGGTGGCGGGGGTAGAGGGTTGACGTTGAGCACAGTTTCTGCATATTCTAGCATGGAGTTTGGATCAAAGTTGCAGCCTACTGTGTCTTCATACATTCCTGAAGTTGATTTCCCTACTTTGTCTTCAAAGTAGCAGCCTTTTCTTATTATGGCTTTGTTTGTCTCTCTGAAGCATTTCCACAGTAACCAAAAGATCAGAATTAAACATAAGAACATGAATGTGAAAGGCAGAGAAATTAGTCACCCACAAATTAATATCACTATTACTATTAGCCTTATTAACCTAGCTATAACCTATTTGTATCAGAATGGTAGAGCCCCCAAATTAAGAAGAGTTGTTCACAAATTCAAGAACTGGTAGAGATGGAATTTATACGCGAGAGAGAGAGAGAGAGAGAGAGAGAGAGAGGAGAGAGAGAGAGAGAGAGAGAGAGAGAGAGAGAGAGAGAGAGAGAGGTGGTAGGTAGGGCTGGCAATGGGTCGTGTCGTGTCGGGATAATAAACGTGTCAAGAATGCTCAACCCGAACCCAACCCATTTAATAAACGTGTCGTGTCGGGTTCGGTCGTCTTTTATCGTGCGGATTTCAAGTCGTGTAACGGGTTCATAAATAATAAATGCATGTTACAAAACTCACAACTGAAAAAATTTAAATAAAAAAAAACGGAGAGATGAGAGAAAATATAAGGAAAAGAAAGAAAAAAAAGATAGAGAGAGGAGAGAAGAGAGAAGGAAAAGAAAAAAAAATAGAGACAGAGAGAGAGGAGAGAAGAGAGAAGGAAAGAAATAAAAAGATAAATAAAAAGAGAGGAGAGAAAACTAAAGAGAAGGAAAAGAAAGAAAAAAAAAGATTCTTACAAAGGAAACACAACCAAGCTCAAGAAGCACCTAGGTCTATTTAGGAATATGAGCAATACCTCCTTTGTGCAATCTTCTTCTCCAACTTAGCAAAACATGAAGCTCAATTCTTCATGGCAATGGCAGCTCCTTCTCCAGCTCATTCATCCAATGGCACTAGCTTGCAAGCTCCAACACAGACCGAAACCAATATTTGGATTCAAAGGAGGATGACCAATTTCTTCAAGAAACCATACTCTTGAAGAAATCAGTCTTGAATCTGACCTAGATATAAATGAGAGATGATTTAAGTAGCTAGATGCAGATTCAGGTTTCAAAAGCAGTTTTTCAAAAAGAAATCAATTGGAAAAACTCATAGATGAAATATTTGGTTCTCTCTTGAGGAAGAAGAAGAGAAAGAAAGCAAGCCAATCTTTCCAAAACTTCCACGGAAAAGAGACAGCCGCCAAATGACCAAAATCGTAGCCTTTACAGACCAAAAAATTCCTTAGGTCAGAAACCCACATGGCAGCAGAGAGAGAGAAAGAAAAATAGGACAAAACAGTTTGTTATCCAGCTGGAAATCCTACAGAGCAAGGATGACTAGTCATCCTTTTATGAAGACTGTTTAATGTAATGATATGCAATGCTCAATACCTTTGTCAACTTTCTTGTGCCTCCATAGAGCAGAGATTAGAGAAGAACACCAAGTAAAGTTTTCCTTAATCTAGACTTGAGCTTGATAAATTACAATACACATCCTATTACAAAGTTGTCAAGGGAAGCCAAAAGAAAATAGCAAAAACCATACATTAACACACAGGGGCCTAAAATTTATGAGCCACCCTTGGTGACGGTAACAGTGGTTTTACTAATTTATTATGTTAAAAAATATGGGTGTGGACCACATGTTTATTATTTCATGGGTAGTATATAGTATTAATAACTCCAAAATGACTCAACGAAGCAGTATGATCTTCACACCGAACAATTACTCATTTTGTAACTTAACCATGTCCCTAAGCAAAATAATAACAATAATCATAATGATAATAATACAGTAGAGCTAGACCAAATATTGTTCCTCTCATTTTGCACAATTGAAAGAACTTTGCTTGAAATTTTAGCAAAGTAAAAAACAAAAAAATCCAACAATTACGGCCTTTGCTTTGAATGTAATAACAATTATATATAACTAACTAACGAAGTCCTCATTAATGGAAATGGGGTATTCGTTGGATCGGCTCAAGTCTTTGGTGTGCTTCCAAGTCATAAGTTCAAATCACATGGTACCCGTGTGTGAGTTTTACCCCTCTCCCTTTCTAACTTTGGTAACAACAAAACAAAAACTGACTTAGTCCTCCCTTAAGTTTTATTTTCTTCTAACACTTTTATTGAAAGAAACTGGTGCCAAATTTTCTAAATATACAAAAACAGCCCAACAAAAGCGTCGATCGGCATGGGACTTCACTACATGATTTATTGGTCTGCAGACATCCCATCTGCTGAAAAAGTTTTATTGGAGTAAAGTGAGAAACTAAATCACTGCCTTCAGTATGCCCATGCATGAATTCATCTCTTCTAATTTTGCCGTTCTTATAAATATTGACGGTGTGGGCTTTTCGTTATAAATAAGATGCTGCATGCACACTAGAGATCTATTGAGATATACACAGAAATAGAGAACATGACATTGCCAAGGTTTGTGGTGGTGAAATCAAACCACAACAAAAAGTACTTGCGCTACCTAAAACAAGAAGATGGAGAGGAGGACGCCCCCGCCGGGTTTCTCAAATTCACCGGAGAAGAGGCCAGGAGCCATTACGCAAAGTACGAAGTGGAGATGGCGAAGAGTACCGAGAACAAGGGATTTGTCCACATTAGATGCTGTTACAACAATAAATACTGGGTAAGAGTCAATGGCACGGATAAGTTCGAAGGCGATGTTTTGATTGTTGCAGGGGCAGACGAACCGGAGGAAGACCAATCCAAACCCTCACGTACCTTGTTCGAGCCGGTCTACGTAGATCCAATAGACGACGAAGACGACGACAATAAACCGGACGATAAAGCTGAAGATGACCTTGAGGAGGACAGTCAGGTAGTCCAATTTCGCCACGTCCAGCTCGGACGCTACACTTGCTTGCACAACGATTCGGATGCGCTAGTACTTTTCGGAGGCTCAAACTCTGCCACAGACGATCCGAACAACCTAGAGTCCCGGGATGTGTGCACTGTCGTCAATTGGGAATCGCTGGTGATTTTGCCGAAACACGTGGTGTTCAAGGGCGATGATGACAACTACATCACCGCCTAAATGAGCGACTACCACAGTGACAACGACGATGCCGATGGACCAAACCTCATGTTCGACGGTAATGATATTAATGATCCGAGTGTGGCGAACGAGATCTTCATGAACGGGGACGGAACCCTACAAATATAGAATATTTTTTTCAAAAGATATTGGAGACTCGCCAAGGATGAGCGGATCTGGGCGGACGCATTTAACCCGACTGCCGGAGACAAAAACTATAAAGACACGTTGCATAAGGCGATCAAGCTTTACGACAAAACCATAGCTCTCATTAACGTTGGGAACAACAATTACTGCAAGAGATATGCGAGCGGGATATGTGCTCTCAGTGCCAACGTCCCTAATCTCTCCATATACTCTCATCTCAAGGTGGAAGAACCTGTTAAGTCGAGGACCATGCCAGGACCGACAATTACCAAACTGACTTCGAAATCGCCACCGCAGAGGCCGTCAACTTCACCCAAGAAACCACCACTGTAACCCTAAAGTTGTTGAACAAGAGGCTGAGTAGTTGCAGTTGGAATGATATCAACAGAATTTACTCGATGAAGCTCAAAACCACCATTGAAGCTCCAGCCATTCCGAGAATCGCGACACACGAAGGCGGATTGAATAAGGTTGAAATTTCGGATGGGTTTAAAGGAGATGTCCCGTGGGTAGAGACCGAGGCCTACCAAACTGAAGTGGAGACTGTGTGCGTGGTTGATGTGCCGGCAAAGAGTGTGCTGAAGGTGAGGCTGCTGGCCACGACCGCTTCATGTGACGTCCCGTTCTCCTACTCTCGTCAGGACACTCGTAGCAACGGCCAGGTGCATGTCCGACTTGGACGATGGTTTTTACAGTGGTATCAATGCCTTCAACTTCAAGTACAATAGCAAGGAAGAAAAGCTGGGATGATCAGTTTGCATGCAGCTTAATTATGTTTAGTTTCATTTTCAAGATAAATAAAACTTGGTAAAATACTCTCATAGGTAGGTGATCCCACCCCTATTATGTAAGATGCATTTTTTGGTATTTTAAATGTTTTATCATTCTCTCTGCCTTTTGCTTTATATATAACTGTTTACCTAAAACATATAATAAAAAATAAAATGATTTACACTCAACTAGTTGGAGTTCGTGGCTTACAACCTAATTCACATGAATATATAAGATTTTTACTAATTGTGTTACTGGATTTGGATAGGCTTTTTACCTATTTATCCTCTGGTACAGATATGTGTGGCTATTGTTGGTTTTTTTTTGTGTAGTGTTAGAATGAGAAAATCTGCAATGGTATTCATTGCATACAATCATATGTTTATCTTTTTCATTATGTGAGTAGTCATGTGAATGAGAAAAATAAAGACATGACCAAGGACCCTAAAAAATCTCTCATTTCATTGGATAGCATTGATATATTTTTGTGTTCAAAGCTTTTCAATATACGTGTTGGGTAATCCCTAAAATAGGTCGACCTATTTGACAATATATATGTGGCTAAGCATGTGATGGAAATCACTATAAAAGATAATGGCCATGAGCTGAGCATTTGGTAGAAATCCTCATAAAAGGTAATAGCATGGGCTGATATACTCTGAACACATCAAATCAAATCCACTTTGCCTAGCTAACAGAAAACTAATTTGCAAAGGAGAAATACGTTTTTAGTCCCAGTAGTTTTCACAAAGTTTCACTTTTGTCCCTTTGTTTCAATTGCTTCAAATTTGACCCCTTCAGTTTACAAATTGTTCCAATGTGAGGGTAAAATTGACGGATTACAAATTGACAGAAGTTGACTGAGAATTTGAACAATTTGAACAATGCAATTGAAAATACAAACACAAAAGTGAAGGGCCTGTTTGATAACCATTTCAATTTTAGTTTTTATTTTTTATTTTTTGTGCTAAAATATAGAGGAACAAGAGAGGGAAAATGAAAAGTGAGAATGACAACGAACCTGGAGATTTAGAGGGAAGATGAGAAGGGAGTATGGGAGGGAGGAATAACAAAAGTGAAAACAAAAACTAAAAACTAAAATCTATTTGAAATTGTTTTCATTTTCAAGTTTGTGTTTTCACTTTTGTTACTCTTCCCCCCATCCTCCCCTTTCATCCACTCTCCTAAATGGTTATCAAACGGGCCCGAAGCTTTTAAAAAAATACATACCAAAAATGTGTTTATTGAAGGCAAGGAAAATCTGCGCATGCTTGTCACCACACCACAAATTTGTAAAAGTTTTACAAAAGAAGGTTAAAAAGAAGCACAACTAAAACGAGAGAGTTAATCATTTAAGATGTTGGGTTGCATCTTGTATAAATAAATAAAAAGAGTTAAAAAATTTCAAGCGCTATAAATTTATGTACATGGCAAGCTGTTGAGGCTCAAAAAATTCAAGGTTGGGCTCAAATAAAAACCTGGCCCAGTGCAATACATTATTAAGAAGAGACCCGATTTGGAGCACGCAAAAGTTCATCATTCACACCCGCACGAGTCACGATCCACGTGTCATGCCAAATAAATATGTAATCCGCCACGCTAAGAATTGAAATGAACCTATAAAATGCACTAGCTCTACGAGCTCAAGCGAATTATCCCGTCAAGCATCATGTCCCTCTTCAAAGCGATAAAATTCAAGCATGCCTATTGACATGCAATGCCAAGCAGAAAACCCTTATTTTACACCTAGCCACGCTACAAGCTTAAATGGGCCCCAGCCACGCAAATGCCCGGGGCTTGCGAAGTGGGTTGTGGTATGGATGGTTACGAGCATTCATGAGGCCCATTGATGAGCCGAGAAATGGAAGTTTTGGGCTACTTGGGAGCCCCAATACTCAAGTCCATTTCTTGAGCCCAAATATATGGGTAAGCATAAAGAAGAGAAATAGGTAGCCCATTACTTTAGAAAATTGGTCCATCACCTTAATAAAAAATAGCTCATTCCCTTAGTACACTAACACATCACCTTAGGAAGGCCCAAATGACCAAGAAAATATCTGAAAGTCTCCAGCACATGGATGGAGACAAAACAACAACAAAAGCCAAAAGCCACTCAAGAAGGTAGACTGCTGGGAGGCTCCAGCGTGGGCTAAAAGCAAACTTCAAAGTAGATCGTCCAAAAAATCAAAGGGTATTATCCCGCGCAGGTTGCTATGAGAAAAGGCACCCTTCAAACCAACGCCCGTACCTATTTCTCTCTCCCACCAACTCTTACCATGAAAGATGGGAGGAAAGAAGGTAAGGTAGTAGCCAAAAATAAGAGTTTAACACTGAAGCAGCTGCGAGAAGACCTTAGAGCTCCCAAAAATCTTGTTTTTATGTGTTTGGACAGAGGAAGATTTCACAAAATGGGGGTGAATCAAAGAAAAAGAAGAGAAATGGAAGGGGAGACTTGGCAAAATTGGGGAGAACCCATTAAGGTTTCTTGGGAAGGATGAGCTTCCAACAGCTATAAAAGGAGATACCTCCTACCCATTAAGCACAACCCACATCCAGAGAGCAAACATCATCTCTTATACCTGAAACCTTGCAATTTCGAGCCATATTCCTCCATCTCCTCCCATTTTCTCTTCTAGTAAGCCATTCCAGAGCCTTACAAAGATTTCGTTAAGCTGCTAGAAAATTAGTCAAACTACCCATTGTTCTTCCTTCATCTCTCTCTCTCTCTCTCTCTCTCTCTCTCTCTCTCTCTCTCTCTCTCTCTCCTCTCAACGAATCCTCTTTAAATCCCCTCTCCCTCTCACAGGAAATCACATCCCTCTCTCTCTCTTTAATGCTTAGCTTCCATGCCACAAGCTTCTCAAGCCAAGCCAAGTATTTATCTGTAAGCGATTGTTGTTCTTGTTCTGTAAAGGTAACCAAGGTGTTTCCTAAGGCTCTACGAACCTTTCGAAGCATTCTTGGAGTCTGATTCTTGAACTCAGACACGGGGGGCAATTTCACCCATTTTCTCTTTACAGCATCCCAGGCCCATTTGTAGCTGCCGGAACGAACAAGCCCCCACATAAATTGGCGACTCTGCTGGAGATTAGGCCATTATCTTCACCAATGCCTCCAAAGAAGAAGACTAGAAGCAATACCATAGCTTCCCAAGATGAGCCAGACCATGGTGGCTCGGAATCAAGGCAAAATGTCTCCCCTAGAGAAGAAGAACATGCAAGTGAGGGAGCTTTCACCCTTACAGACCTCATTGCAGCCATCGAAGCTATGGGAGAAACCCAGAGGGAGATTGTGGACACAATCAAAGAGCAAAAAAGTTCAGTCTCCAAGCCAAGCGAAGAAAATGAACGACCCTCAAGAGGAGTTTGCCGCTGCCGGAAAGGGTTTTGAACACATCTTTTGTCTAGGGGTGGGCACTGGAACCGCAAAACCGCAAAATTGAACCAAATCGAATAGAAAAAATCCAAAAAAAACCGTATTGACCATAAAAATAAAAAATTGAGACAAATCCAAACCGGACAAGTTCAGGCCGGTTCCGATTTCGATTTTTCTCCACACAGAATCGGTCCAATATAATTAATTTATATTTTTTTACATTATATATATATTTTTTAACATGTGGCCCCTTTTTTTATTGGTTGTGTATGATGTTACCATTGGCGCGCACACACACATTCATCACAAAAATTATAACGCGATTAGGGTTTTCTTTCTTCCTTCCTCCTCCCATTTATTTTCCTCTCTCCTTCAGCCACCGAAACCTCTATTTGCACCAAACCTCTCTCTCAGCCTTCCTCTTTCTCCTTCAGCCGTCGCGCCACCGAAGCTCTCTATTAGCCATCCTCCTCTCTCTTAGGCAAACCTCACTCTCAGCCAGACCTCTCTCGCAACCACACCTCTCTCAGCAGCAACTCCTCTCAGTCGCCGCTGTCACTCAAGCCAAATTCTCTATATTTTCTTCTTTTTTTTTCCCTTTTCCCCCTTCGATTCTCCGACCAACTCTCTCTGTCTGCAATTCGCAAATCCAACCTCCAACAATTTGCAGATCTAGCACCAGCAGTTCGCAGCTTCCTCTGTCCTCCAGCAGTTTAGCTCTCTCTCTCTCTCTCTCTCTCTCTCTCTCTCTCTCTCTCTCTCTCTTAGGTATGTCACTATGATGCGCCAAAAAACCTCCAAATGCCAACTGCTTGTATTTTATCAAATTGATTAGCACTTCTTGGTGATATGAAAAGTATTTTATGTGCCTATCTTGATATTATGTTGTCAAAGAAGAAATGAATTGAAATAAGGCAAACTGAATTTACATCAAATTGAAGTTCCAGTATATCAAATATATATCAAATTTCCTTCTTTTATTTTCAGGGAACCACCTCCTCCGATGATCTTGAGGAGTTATATGCCAGTCTTCACGAAGAAGGAAGCAGCTCGACCTCGGCCCCTTTGGACGAGGACTCCAGGGCTGTCATTCAAAGGCTCCGGGAGTACCTATTCCTTGGGGTTCACCAAATGACCACGGTTGAGGCATTCATGGCGTTTAGGTCCTGTCTAGATACGGCCATGGCGTTGGGTCTGCTTGACTCGGCTCAGCTGGATGAGCTACAGGCTCGCTTGGCCGAGGGCGAGGAGATGATCGGTCGGTATGTTGAGGCGAACATAAGGATGACCGAGGGATGCTCGCTTGAGCAAGAGCTGTCGGCGATAAAAGACCAAGTCCAACCTGCCATGGCCCGCTTGAAGGAAAATGACCTCGTCATCCAAAGAGAGAATGAGGAACTTGCGCAAGTCGAGGTTCAGATTGCCGAGCTCCAGGCCCGTCGAGATCTCATCCTTCAGCGCCGAGATGGTGCAGTCGCGGTAGGAATCGAGCTGAAGTCTTCGGCCAGGCAAATCCTTAAGGCGGCGACCGAGAAAAAGAGGGCATTGGCCGAGAGGAAGTTGATCCCGGGCGAGGTGGCAGGCAGATATAGATGGTAGGGACATTGCCTGGAGGAGGATAACATGCCTAATCTGGTGGATGTTTAGTGAAGGGGTTTAGGTGGGCGGCCGTTCAAGGATTTTGGGATGTAATAATCAAAACCCCTCTTCTTTTTTTTTCTCTTCCCACAGACATACATATACATGCAAATGTATATATTAATTTATTTTTTTTTGTTGTGGTCGGCCATGACCGGCCGTTCTTTTTCTTTTGTAAAAAAAAAACGATCTCTTCGTCTAAATACAAAACGTGGGCCTTCTTTTTTGATTAATTGAATGTATGCCGTTTGCTTTATATTGGCCGCGCCGTTTATTTAGCTTGCTCGCCCACTTTTTTTTTTTTTTTTTTTTTTTTTTTTTTTTTTTTCTTTTTTTTTTTTGTAGGCCCTCGGTGCCATTTTTTCCTGAACTCGCGCCAAACTGTAAGCGGTGAGTCTTGACTGTTCTAACTTTCCTAAACTCCGGGGCACGGTTTGCGCGCAGCTCTCCGTCTTTCGCTTCAGCTATGCGAAAACTTGAAAACATCGGACCTCTAGCTCCATTAGTTTATGATTGTCTTGGCCGTAGGTCAAGATAGAGGGAAATGCGCTCATGGAGTGCTTTGATGGGCGGCGTGCCCAAGAAGCCCTAGAGAGCAAGTCGCGCCAACTCCTGGCCTCTCCGGGTGGGTACAGCTCAGTAGAACTCGCTGCCCCCGGCCGTCTCTGGGCTGAGTCATCCTTAGTCGTACGCCGAGCGTCTTCTATCAGAGGGTCCTGAGGGGGCGCTTCTTGTTGGGCCACGACTGGCCGTGGAACTTGTTGCCCCTCGTTCTGCGGCCTTACCTGCTGGGCCACTTGAACGGGGTGTTCAGCCGTTGCGACCGAGCTGGGTGGTACCAGATATGCGCCGTAGGTTTGACCGGGGTTCGAATGGGTTATAGTTGGAATGGCCGAATCGTACTGAAGATGGGAGCCTGACGGCGATAATGACATGTGTAATGGTGGAACGGTCGGATTGCTCTGACCGTATTGCTGTGATGAAGCAGCGGTCGAGTTGCTTGGGCCGGGATAGGTCTGGACGGCCATAGTGTGGACTGGGCTGAGTTGCTGGACCGCGGACTGTGCGGGGCTGCTTTGCCCCAGTAATACGACCAAAGCATGGAGTGGGCCGTACGTCGTCTCTGCCCGGTAGGTCTGTCCGGGATTTACCCATGTTGGCTGGGATTGCCCCCAGCTGTTTGTCGGCGGCTGTGAATGCTGGCCGTAATTTGACGCTTAGGTGCGGCCAGAGACGCCGAGGCTGCTGCTCTCGTCGTAGGGCTCGAACCTCTCGCCCTCTTGGCCTCTCTGTCAGGCTCTGGGGGGCGTTGCGGACGACGTCACCGGTATCCTCTCCTGGAAAAGCGTCCGTAGCTCCGAGGAGAAGGATGTTTCTATCCTGTAGGCCTGCTTTGCCATCAGATCTTCGACGACTGCTTGCTCTCCCATGGACTCGGCCGTGCGATCCGTCGTTATTGGACCGCTGGCCGAGGTTCTGACCGTGTGTTCGGTCTCGGCGACAGTGATTGGTGAGGTGGACTCAGGAGCCTCGGAAGTCATTTCGACTGTTTTTTTTTTTAGTTTTGCCTGTGCCTTAGTTTCCACCATAAGTTTTTAACATATCCCACCGGGCGTGCCAAAAGTGTTGGTCCGTCGCAAATCTCGCGGCCTGGTGCTCCGAGCCGAGGGGATGTGCATCAACACGTGACGTCCTCCTTTTGGATGCGGTGCGGTTGTGCGCGGGCGTGCCAACACGGTCTACCGTGCGTCGAGATGATGATGAGATTTGGGTAGAAGATGGTTTAAATGTTGCGCCTGTTTTGCATTTGACTCCTAATCAAACGATCGTGGCCGAGTGAGGAACGAATCTCGACCGTCAGGTTCACGGCCTGAGCTACAAGGTCGTTTAGTGGTAGTGTTGGTGGTGGGTTTTAGGCGGTGCTCAGAGAGCGATGGTCGTATGATATATGGGGTGAGTGAGGCGATAACAGAGATGGTGCTCCGGCGCCTTGAAAATCAAGGGTCGTATGAAGGTGCATTACAGGTAAATATAATTTGCTTCGTGGGAGGCTTTTGGTTTTGGTGTTTGAACCCTTTGAATGTGGTCCTGAGCTTAGTATTTATAGGAGTCCTAGAGGGACATTCGAGGCTGACAAGGCCTGCGTGGTGGAGCCTGACCGAAGCAAGCGGGCAGTCAAATCGACATTTGGGATCGTGAAGCATGGTGGTCTGGGGTTGAGAAGCATGGTGGTGTGACACCCATAAATCTCGGCCACCGCCCTGATCGTGGGTTCTGGCCCCTTGGCCGTGGGAATGCATTTAATGCCCTGGTCTGGTGGTTGGTGACCTGACCCTAAGTCACAAGATTACTTGTAAGAATGTCTGTGCCTAACCACCCTGATTCCCATCATCAAATCCTGACTTCAATCACCTCCCTCGTGCATTGAATGTTTCTTGTGACTAGTGGGTTTTGCTGCGAAGTCAGAGGTATTACTTCATTAAATGGAGCATGGGACCCTGAGGCCACGTGGCGATTTAACCACAGCTTTTTCAGACCGTGTCTTTTGCGGCCTTCGGCCTTGGCCTTCAAAACTGCAGTTCGAGGCCGAGGGAATTCTGCCTTTGTAGCTTTTCTTTTGCTCTTAGGAGGGCGAAATGCTTGACGAAACGGTAGGCGCCAGGGCCGAAGGGAAGTCCCTTCAATCAGTTCATGACCATGTTTTGTTAGGCACAAACAGATTGGGTTGTGGTTGTCTGAATATGCACGTGTTGTTGTCTCAATTTGCGAAGAAAAAATAAACATAAATCTGGATCCAATGGAGAATATGATGGGTATTCTGAGAAATTCACATCTAAAGAGGAGTGGACCTTACTGTGTTAGAGACATGAGAAGCAGTGTATGTTGTTATCAAACTGGGAAATCAGGTAACTCATTTGGCTGTCTTTGATCATGAAAACGGTCTAGTTTTTCTGATATTTTTCTTTTGCTGTTGCATTTCTTGATCCATTTTCACTTCTGCATTTCTGGAGTTTTGTTTTTATTTTCCAGAAATTTAGATTATTGATGGCAATACATGGATCTGGTAGGTTTACTCGGTGTTTTGAGGTGTAGCAACAAAAGAACAAAATAATGGAGTTATAATTTTAAATTTGATTGTAATTAAAAATTTTTTTTTATAGGTAATTTTATTTGTTTTATTATGTGTATTTTCTTGTTGGGTTGTAATTTTAAATTTAATATTGGATTGTTTTATTATTTTTGTCAAAGAATAGTGGTTGTTTCAATATGGGAATTGGGCCAATTGTGATGTTGAAGCCCAAAAATATTAAAAATCAGATGGTCTTAAAGCTTAAATACCCAAAAAAATAAAATGGGCATTACAACAAGCCCAAATCATGAGAACTGGGAACCGAACTGAAATCGGGTAGGTCTGGATTGGTTTGGTCTTACTTGTGGATTATTGTCAAAACCGGACCAGACCGAACTGGTCTTCATTTCCAGTTCAAGTTTTAATTTTATGAGAAAATCGGCCCAAACCGGACCGTGCCCAGCCCTACTTTTGTCATCCAAGAAGATGTCATTGTCATGCTAAAGAAAGAGCTAAGTTGAAGCCAAGAGGATTGAAAGTATGTTCCTAAGCCGCCGTATCCATCAAGCTTACTCCACCAACCATATCCTAAAGGCTATAAGGCACCCAACTTCGTCTTTTTCGACGGAAGGAAAGGAAGCCCGAATGAGCATGTCAATCGTTTCATTGATGCTTTGGGACCACATGCTGGTGATTATAATCTCTAGCTCCGAGAGTTTTCAAAAAGCCTTACCAATCGTGCTATACGTGGTACACGACATTGGCACTAGGCTCCATTCGCTCTGGGGAAGATTTGGCAGGTAGGTTCTGTAAGTACTTCCAGCATGAGGAAAGAGTTACTACGACTCAACTCAACAACACTCACCAAAAACATGGGTAAGATCCCGTGAACTTCATGTGCAGGTTCTGGGACCTGGCTCTAGATTGCTGTGATGAGAAGGATGAAGAAGCGCTTGTCGAAATTTGCATCAGCAACATCGTGGTAGATTACAATGTCTGTCTGGAAAATATTGGCATCAGCCTATTTTCTCGGCTACTGGAAGCAGTGAGGAAAATAAGCATGTCGGTGAAACTAACTAGGCAAGAAGCTTGGAGGAGTGAAGAGACAGAAGCACACTAGACATTAGATGAGGATGCCAAATCATCCAGAAACTACAATTCATGCAAAAGAAAAGACAAGGAGATGTACTTGCCACTGTCGTGCAAAGATGAAGAATTTCATCCCATTCTTGTTACAATGTTTGTTCATGGTGCAATCAAACTCCTCAGGCCCTCCAAAGTCCCTACTAAGGAGAAAAAGGGTGATCCTAGGTACTGCCGTTATCATAAATTTGTGGGTCATCCAACCACCGCTTGTCAAACTTTGAGGAAGATCTTGTACTCCGAGATACATGACGAAACTCTTGAGCTGCCCCTTAGGAAGCAAGCTTTTGATGAAAACCCCTTGACAAAACAAAGGGGAAAGGAGATGGTTGTTTTCATGACATGCTTTGATGATTTGCTTGACGACAACATATTGTACCACCTGTGGAAGAATGACCCAAAGCCATCGAAAGCTATTTGGGAGCCTTGTGGAAACATGGAGAAAGCTTATTGATGTAAATATTCAAAACCTTCAAGTTATAACACCCCATGGGCACTTGCTGATGGATGGGATGATAGTTCTAGCAGTGAAGTATTCACATTGGATATGCTGGAAGAACGCCACTTGGGGGCTTCATTTGGTCAGCAAGATTATAGAGACACAGTTGCCGTAGCCTCTCATAACCTTACAGAAGTTGAAGAAAGTATGATGGGTTATGAGTTGCAAATCACTCTCTGATTAGTTGGATTATGAGCCGCATGCAAGTAAAGCAGCAGATGTGGCTCTGTTAAAGATCTTTGCAGAGCATGGCAGACTAGTACAACACATGCCAAATACATGCCAACCTAAACCACAAGCTTTCATGCTATTGCAAGTCATGCACACTCTTTGGCCCTTTTCATACTTGGGGGCTTGATTTGATTGGAGTATTCATCAATACAATATGGCTCAAAGCCTTACTACTACTGAGTTGCTTTTGCACCTATCCTTTTGTTTTTGGCTTTTCAAATTTATTTCAAAGATGAACTCCTTTTGTATTTTCACCATATGCTTTCACAACTTTTGTAGAATGCACCACCTTTATGATATGTCAAGGTATAAGATGACATTTGCAATGAGAATGAAGTATTTTGGAAAAAGGAAAAAGCCTCTAGAATTCTTTCCTTACCTTTTACCTTTCTTTCAGTTGTTGCAAATCTTTGTTTAAAAAAAAAAAGACAAAAAAAAGTCAGCAGTAACTATACCAAGCAAAGCCACTTAGATGGGATCCCAAGTTGTTAACAAGCACCATGCATAAGCAATATCATCTGTCAATCTCAAAAAGAAAAAAGGAAGGTCATGCTACCAAGGAAAATCATTCCAGTCCCTGCAATAATTGAAGCGAGTGTATGTGTTAGGGTGCTGTGAAAAATTGGCAGCATGTACCTTGCACCTATCACAGTGTGTGCTATAATTGAAGAGCATGCATCTTTATGCTACAAGCAGCTCGTGCTCTAAAAACAGTGTGTGCTATAACTTCTTCTAAGTATCAAGCAGGAAGTCCATGCTAGGTCCTAATAAGAAACTTGCTCAAACCCTTTCAGCACACTACTGTAAGGTAGAAAACGATATTTCTTTTGCAACCATCAATCATTCACAAAACATCTTCTGTATTTGGGTATGTTAACTCACGATCGAACCACTCTGACCAGCCCTTAGTGATGCTGCAAGGGTAAAGAAAAAACCAAGGAGCCACCGGAAACATATCTTTTTTTCTATACAACACCTCGAAATGAGAGTAGCCTCCAAAGCTTACCGAGTGCCTATGATCGAGTCTTGGCAAGTGTTTCTAAGCGATGAAGGTAGTCATCCCTTCTTCAACCCATCATGCAAGGGGAAATAGGCCATCACTCAACACATAAGTCATTGTGACTTATTACGTGAATCCCTGCAAGAATTGCCAATAAAGAATATGCTGCAAAAGGGAAAAGCATAAAGCTAGTTCTCTGCGTTAAAGTCAAGTAATCTCCACACTAGCATGCAAGAAATATGAACTTCACAGGCCAAGCAAAGCAAGCTATCTCATGCCAAGCAAAATGCATAAACAAGAAATATTTTCAAAGCATCATGCAATCTATTACTTGAGCTCATTACAAGCAAAGTTCCCATTCCATGCTCAATCAATCATTCCAGCAGACCTTTTTTCACAAAGTAAGTGTTACATACTAAAAATAATTTACCTACTAGTTGTCTTTTCACAAAAACAAAAAAACAAAATTCCAAGGAGTTACACCGCATCCTTGCAGACAAATCATACACATGTTTATAGCTATCCCTATAAAGCCAAAAAATAAATAGTTATCCATGACCAAGCTCTAAGCTTATTAAAAGAAACCAATGGTGCTTTCCTCAAGGTTTAAACAGCATTTGATCCTACGTATTAATCATGCGGTTACAAGCATATGACCGTGATGCATATAGTTCAACAACAATCACACACAAAAAAGGGTGAGAAGCGAGCGCATGCCAAGAGGTGATCAAGAACATAGCACACGCAAAATATACGCCAAGCGTGGCAAGTCAAGCTCATTCCATGTCGGTTCTCACAAGAATCAGACGTGGAATACATTACACAAGTCGGTGTTTTCCTTTGTAGCGACGTGGAAGATATTATGTGCGATGGTTAATCTACAATGTGTCGTGGTTAATACATTGTACGGCGGTTACTTTATGATTCTTGACATGTAATATTCTACTGACATTTGTTCTTTTTTGTAAGCATCGCCTAAGGTTGTTGATTTTTATTTTTATTTGAGTTTTTATACATTTTTTACATCAGTTTTTTAAATTTGTGAACGTAGTATATATTAACCACGATGGTTTTTGTGTATTACTCGAAGGTAGTTTTTCAAATACAGACGTGGATAACTTTTGTTACGTTGGCATGTGTGTAATTCTTGACATGTAATAGTCTTTAGACGTCTCTATTTTCCTAATACTGTTGTCTATGGTTGTCAAAGTTTTCCTTTTTTGCTATTTATATAGTAATTAGACGTCGGTTTTTATTTTGGTATGACATTGTATGTCTTAATGACGTCGGTTATTTGCCATCGTTGTTTTATATATCAAAAGATGGCGGTTGATTTCATGACGGTTTGAAAACCTTCTAGACGTTGGTGTTCAAACATTGCATTACAAAAAAAAAAAAGGTAAAAACTAAAAAACTAAAAAAAAACATACAACAACTTGTTTTTCTTCTTCTTCTTCTTCTTCTTCTTCTTCATCACCTTGCCACACTTCATAATTCCACCATAGGAGCCTTTAGTTTTTCCCTCTCGATATCCTCTCTTGGGTTTTCACGCGTCGCTTCTTGAGGCTCATCACTTGAGCCCCTAATGATCACACCTCTTTCTCTTGAACTCCTCTCGCGATCTCGCTTACGCTTTCCAGAGTATTCGAAAACCTCCAACTGCTTCTTTAGAATAGAAAGCTATCATCTTTGATAGCTTTTCATTTTCTTCCTACAACAAGTGAAATTGTCGTCGGTTCTCCTCTGCCATTCTTGTCCTCTCCTTTTTCAATCTCTTGTTTTCATCTTGATATTCATCAACAAAATTTTGCTCTGCCAGCAGCTGAGCTCTCAGAAATTGCACCTCATGTGTTTTCGAAATAAGCCGATGCCCCACACTTACTATAGATGCGGCAGTTTGTACGCTCAGTGCCACGACCTCACTAACCAACCAGTTGTCATCCTTCGATTCCAAAACGCGCACATCCCTTGGAGTCACCAAACTCCTTGCAACTCCAATAGGAACTTCGTTGTCTAGGAGTATCGAGTCGTTCACTGTCACTGGTCCTCGTGTGGAAGCAAAATAGGGCGCCCAGACTGGTGCAACTCCTTGCGCCCATGTATGTGTTGGCAGAGATAGGTTAAGATCTAGAGAAGATGGGAAGGAAGACGCCATTTTCTATATACTTGCTTTCTCTTTCTTTCTCTCTATTTTTTTCTTTCCTCTCTCTTTTCTTTCTTTCTTTTCTTTCTTCTGTGTGGTTGTGAATTTTCCCTTCGTTTCCTTTAATAAATGAACCCTAGCACCATTGCAGCGTCTTAACATTCTCTAATTTTTCTGCGTTCCTCGAGCGACACAACCTTCTCGCTTTCCACCCTTTTCAATTTTGTCGCGACGTGGCCTTTCTGAACGGACGCGTTCAGCAAAGTCATATCTACTTTCCATGGTGCCCGTAACTTCCGCTTGTGGATTTGCGGTGCCTCTGCGCATCGACACGTGTCTCGCTTTGTCTGTACGTGACTTACCAGGAGCTGAGACATCAGGGACCACGTCCTTTCTTTTCAAAAATCCCACCGTTTGTGTTTCCAATTCACGTTTTTTTTTTCTTTTTTTTCTTTTAAAAAAAAATTTTAATTTTAAAAAAAATAAAACAAAAAATAAACAAGTGTGGGCTTCGGAAAGCCGGGTTAATTTCATTATGGTTTCTTTTTTTTTTTTTTTTTTTTTTTTTTTTTTTTTTGGGGTTTTTTAGAGCGTACTGTTTATTTTTTATTTTATTTTATTTGTTTGTTTGTTTTATTATTTTATTATTTTATTTTATTTTTGTATTTTGTGATTTTTATTTGCGTTAATACCTTCATTTGTTATTATGACATTACTTGTGGCTAATTTTTAAACATTGAAGACAATGTTCATTTCTAGGTTTGGGGTTATTAGATTTTAGCAAGTAAATTTGGTTTTTTGTTTAAAAAAAAATTTACTTTTTATAAAAAATAAATAGAAACTTAAAATAATTACAAAACAAGTAAAGAGAAAATATCAGAATACTCCCCCTTGAAGCGATTAGGTCGAGCATGGATGCAATTGGAGGTTGCGACTTCTCCTACTACTCCACACTTCATGTTTTCGTGATTGAAGTTGCCTTCTCATTCCCTTTTATTGAGCTATCCTAGATTGCTAAAACAAACACAGAAAACTTGAAATAGAATTAAAAGGATTAGGAAATAAAAACTAAAACAAAAAGGAAAATCAACACACATCCAATTCCGTGCTTCAAAGTAACAAACATCAATGTGTTGTGTAAGGTGGAACTTAAACCCAGTTCTCTTGCTTGTTAGGCAATTGTCCTTTTCCGTTGGACTACAAACACAACTTGTCCATTAACGTCATTAACTTTAAAACATGAAACTGTTTAGGAAAACATGAAAAGGAAAAAAAAAGGTACAACAATTAGGGAAAAGAAATAGAACGAAACTATATGTTGCCAATCCCCGACAACGGTGCCAAAAGCTTGTTGTCGTCGGATTCAACTGCACCAAAATTGATTCAGCTACATCCTCAACTTGTGATACTCGCAAGTGCACGAGGTCGATCCCACGAGGATTAATGATAGATTGATTCAATTCGATTCCCTGTACAAAACAGAAATGAAAAAGAAAGGAAATAAATCAAACAAGAAAGAAAGAAAAGAACTAACTCAAGCAAATAAGTTCCCAAGTTCAATTTAGATTAACAGATTGATTCTAGCTAAGGCATGATTAAGCCATGGTGTCTAATCCTAACCTTGTATTAGGAATCCATTAAGCATAGAAGAACATTTTAAACAACCAAGCATGTATCTAATCCCTGTTGTCGAATGTCCATACATACTCTTCCTATTCATAGTTCAATTTGAATTAAAGCATGGTGTCTACTCTTAATTCAAACCAAAATAGCTAACATGCAAGCCTTAATGGTGATCAGTCATTGAAACTAGCAAATTAACTTATAAGCATATGAATAAGAACAAAAACCATAATTGAAACTTGAAAACTAATCAAACTTGAATACTACATTACAATGAAAGATAAAGAAGAACTCATAAAAACTTAAAGGAAAATTTAGCAAAAGGATTTTGTTACAACAATTGAAAACTAGAAAGAGAAACTAAGGGGGGGCGTATTCAATTAAGATTTTAAAAGAGTTTAAAAATTTGGGTGTATTCAATTCAGATTTTAAAAGAGTTTGTAAAAGGTTGGGTGTATTCAATTCAGATTTCAATGGATTTCAATTGATATTAAAAAAATACATCGAAATCTAGGTGTATTCAATTATGACTTTTTAAAAGTCAAACAAAATTTAGGTGTATTCAAAAAGTAATTTATTTTGAAGGAATTAATAAGTTGCCCGATTTCGTTAGAAAATAAAGTGGTAAGTATAAATAAAAAAGGCTTTGACAAATTTTATGTGAACCCTAGAAACTTTGAACGTGCTCTACGCTTTCCAGTCCTTGAACGTGTGTGCTTGTCAAGTGGAGGTAAAAAATCTCTTCTCTTTTTCTACGCTTTCTAGTGCTTGAATAATTGTTGTTGCTATACATCATCATATATCCAAGCAATTGTTGTTGCTTGTATATGCACATCATGTATGAATAGTTGAATAGTTATTCAAGCAATTGCTGTTTCTACTTTTCCTTCTTTTTTTTTGGTTGCTGTTTTTTTTTCTTAAATAGTTTTTTGGTTGCTGCTTTTTTTTTTCTGTACTTTTTCTACATCATCCTTTTTCTTTTTTTGTTGTTGCTATTCATCAAATGTCGATAGCCTTCTTCATCTACAATCATCCTTTTTTTTTGTTCTGCGTTTCCCTTCTTTATCAATGTACAATATATATAGTCCATGCCAAAACAAAAAGGAAAAAAATTATCTTAATATATATATATATATATTTCTTATGAACTAATTAAAGATTGCATGTATTATCTAGTAACAATATTAATGGAGATGGAAGAAGTAGATGAAGTACTATGGAATGAAGAAATCGAGGAAGAAAAAGAAGAAGAGGAAATGGACGATGAAGAATTAGAGAAACATGATTCTGAAACCATTAAGATATTGTTGATGGCAACAGAAGCAATAGCTCAAGTGCTTAATGTTTTAATGGCTCTCATACATGATGGTCATATTGAACGTTCGTTAGCTCGACGCCCAATTTCTACAATTGGGTACAATTATATAAATAAGGTACTGAATGAGGATCCTCAACACTTTCGACAACTATATAGGATGTATCCCGATGTGTTTTTGAAGCTATGTGGTATCATTAGAGAGAAAACGCATTTGCATGATACAAGATTTATTTGTATTGAAGAAATGCTTGCAACATTTTTACTCACTATTGGTCAAAATTCTCGATATTGTCAAACTCGTGACACATTTGAGCGATCACATTTCACAACAAGCAAAAATTTCAACAAAGTTTTGAAGGCCTTAAACACAATAGCCCCAGAGACGATGGTTAAACCTGGATCCACAGTGCCAGCTAAAATAAGAGAAAGTACAAGAAATTTTTAAGTCTGCCCCTCCATTTCCATATGAGACACAAGCAGAGCTTGTCTTAGCTTGTGCAGGGTTGCACAATTTTCTCCGCAAGGAGTGTCGTTTTGATGAATTTCCTATTGAAGAAACAACGAGCATTCAGCATCGTCATCATCACCAGAAAATGAGGGAAATAATTATGACCAAGTTTTTCAAACCCAAGAACAACAACGCGAGAATGCTAACCAATGGAGGGTTGGGATATCTTCAGATATGTGGAGAGATGCTATGAATAACGGGAGTCAAAGATGAGCAATGAAGCAGATATTTATTCGTTTTTATGCATTTAGAATTATAGTTTACTTATCATTTTTTTGTCATGAAATTACTTTTATGTTTTTACTTTTGCGCATTTTTCATAAACATGCAGACATAAGTCCTTATTTGGTTGCACATTTGAATAAATTAGATACCCTTTTTATTTTTTATTTTCTTTGGATGTATTGATTTGGAAGTTCAATGGCTCAAATGATTTTGTAAAGGTACTTTTCTCTTTTGAAAATCTAGAAAAATGAGAAACAGCACCCAAAAATATATTTATATATATATTAGAACTCTAATAAACTCTTTTAAAATCTACGATAAAACTCTAACAAATAGTATCAAAATCAATCTAGGAATTCAATCAAACTCTATGTGGAGTTGATAGAAATCAATTATTGAACTACATTCAACTCTACAAATTTTATAACTCCATTTAACTCTTTTAAAATCTTAATTGAATACACCCCCCCCTAAGAGAATTTGAGGGAGAGAAGGGAGGGGAGCTCTAGATATGTGTTTGAGAGCTCCCCCCCTTGGGGTGTGTTTACAAGCTTGGAGAAACTCACTATTTATAGGCCTAAGGGAAGTGAAAATCTGAATTTAAGTATTTCTTCTATCTACAACACTCACTTTACCAACTTACAACACTTAATTCACCAACTTTACCTAACACACAATTGCATTTGAAAACAATTCTTCTTGTCTTTAAGCTTAGTGTCGCAGCTCCCAATTCATCTTCTTTTACTTCATTTGGCTGGTTCAAAACTCCACTCCAATTATAAGTATTGAATATGCTACACCTAACTTTCCCACAATCAACAACACTTCATCATGCATGACAATGCGTTGCAGTCTTCTTTTGAGCTCGTTTTGGGCTTGTTAATCCATTCATAAAATTCTGGAAAAATATGGATCTTGAAGCTCTTTCTCTTATCTTTCCAAGAATATGCAGCCCAGCTCAAGGAAAAATCGGAAAGACCTTCAAGTGTTATTTTTGGCCCAGTAACGCAGATACTGCCGATTTTTGACCTTAAGCTGCCAAAACTTGTATAACTTTCGCTATAAGACTCGGAATCATGAACCATAAAATTCTCCAGAAACTAGACTTCTACATCTTTCCAATGATGTATAGCTCATTATCTAGTTCTTCTTGAGCAAGTACAGTCCAATTTATGAAGTTGACTGATCTGCAGACACAGTTTTGAGCTAACTTGTCTCCAAAATGCATTTAATGAGTCTCAAGCTTATTACTCTGAAACAAATACAAAAGAACTTACAAGCAAAAATTTAACTAAAAAACATAACCAAATCATAAGTTAGAAGTGTACAAAATGATATGTAATTATGCACTGATCAGTTTCCTATGAGAATAATATCATCTACATAAAGCAATAAAAGCATCAAGATTGAACCTTTATTGTGAGCTGGATCTGAAAAAGACTAAGTGAAACCAAGATGAATCAAATGAGTAGAAAATCTCTCATTCCATGCCTTAGGAGCCTGTTTAAGACCGTATAATGACTTATGTAACCTGCAAACCATTCGAGGAGAGCCTTGGTCAACAAATCCAGGTGGTTGATCCATATACACCTCCTCTGTTAGTATACCATGCAAAAATACAGTTTTGACATCTAATTGTTTCAGTTTCCACTTGAATTGAGTAGCCAATGCCAAAATTAATCTCACTGTGGTGTGCTTGACAACAGGACTAAAGGTCTCTGTATAATCTATTCCTTCTTCTTGGTGGTATCCTTTTCCAACTAAACGAGCCTTAAACCTTGCAACTGATCCATCTGCATTCTTTTTTACTTAAAAAACCCATTTGCATCCTACCACTGTTCTGTGAGAACGCAAAGGAACTAAAGACCATGTCTTTTGTTTGTGCAGGGCATCAAACTCCTCTTTCATTGCAGCGAACCACTCAGGGCTTTGCAGAGCCTGTTTGTAAGTCTTAGGCTCTTGGATTGTATCATCCTTGGAGCTTGAGATCACAAAGAACACATTTTTTGAGGCAGCAAATGCTTTCTTCTTCTTTGGACACCCCAACCTTAGACCCTGTAATCAAAGGATGCACATTAGCATGTGGAATGGTCAATGGAAGTTCCATAGGGATGGAAATACCATTGTCATTACTTCCTTCGTGTGTATTCCCTTCATCAACACCACTGCTAGCAATGCCAACACCATGTTCATCATTACCATTATCTGGATTACTACTTGCCCCATCAATACCATTGCCTTCACTAGCACTTACACCACCATTTCCTTTAATACCAACTAGTGCATTATCACTTGTACCACCACTGTCACTAATATTTTCACCATGATGATCATGAATAGAAGCAGTAATTGTTGGAGACAGGTCAACTATTGTTGGAGAAGTACATAAAGGAGTGACGGAAGAAGAAAGGGGCATAGTGAGAGGATTGACAGTGTTAGCCTTGATTGTAGCAAAAGGAAAGACATTCTTATCAAAGATTACATGCCTGGAAATGTACAACCTTGAGGTGGAAATGTGAAAACACAAATAACCCTTGTAGTCCAAGGTGTAACCAACAAAGACACATTGAGATTATCTGAAGTGTAGCTTATGAGGTTGATGGGGTTTGAGAAAGGGATAGCAGGCACAACCAAATACTTTTAAAGCTTGCAATTAAGGAGAAACACCAAATAACTTGATGTACGGAGAATCCCAGTTCAACACTTCGGTACACATCCTATTTATAAGAAAATTAGCTGTGTAGACAGCATGAAACCAGAATTTCAGTGGCATAGAGGCTGTAGACATCATACTCAAGGCAGTGTCTACAAGATGCCTATGCTTCCGCTCAGATAATCCATTTGGTATGTTGCTAACATTATTGAAAAATGCATTTCCTTTTTGTGAGAAGTTACCTACAACCACTAATGGTGCAAAGAAAATTATTTCATATTTAGGTCTTCATTATGATAAAATAGATGCATGCAATAATGATTGCATCATTTATTATAAGAAGCATGCAAATGCAACGTAGTGTCTTACATGTAAGCTTTCGAGATGGAAGAGACAAGGAAAGGGTAGCAAAAAGAAAGGTAAAAGGGTTCCATGGAAGGTGCTTAGATATTTTCCACTCACACCAAGACTTCAAAGATTATTCATGTCATCCAAGACAGCTGTAGATATGAGGTGGCATTTTAAGGATCGTGTAAAGGATTCTGAGGCTTGGAAATCGTTTAATCAAATTCATGAGTCATTTGGTATGGAACCTCAAAATGTAAGACTTGGTTTGGCAACAGATGGATTTAACCCTTTTGGGAACATGAATTTGCATTATAGTATTTGGCCAGTTCTTATATACCCATATAATCTTCCTCTGTGGATGTGCATAAAGGAGCCTTATGTTTTCATGACTTTACTTATTCCTAGACCCAAGGGTCCATGCCATGACATCGATGTATACATGAGGCCATTGATAGATGAATTGCGAACATTGTGGGAAATTGGTGTTGAAACGTATGATATATATGCAAAGTAGAATTTTCAGATGAAAGCTGCACTTCTTTGGACTATCAACGATTATCCAGCATATGCATACATGTCAGGTTGGAGTACGTCTGGAAAATTGGCATGCCCATATTGTGCATCTGATACTTCGCATCATCGGTTATCTCATGGGTCTAAAACATGTTATTTGGGTCATAGAAGATTTTTACCATCTGACCACGTATGGCGTAATCAACGAAGCCAATTTGATAATACAAGGGAAATAAGACTTGCGACCATCTGGTGATGATGTGATAAATGAACTTAGTGAATTAAGAGAAATAACACATGGCAAGGATGGGAAAAAGCATACAATACTTGGGTTTGGAAAAGATCATAATTGGAAAAAATATTCGATATTTTTCCAATTGCCTTACTGGAAAACACTTTTGGTGCGTCACATATTTAGATGTCAAATGATGATAACAAAGATTTATCCCAGGTGATTATACATTGTCAAATGATGATAACAAAGCTTTATGTCAATGGTTAATGGAGTTGAAAGTTCCAAATGGGTACTCTGGAAATTTATCTTGATGTGTGAATGCTTCAGAGTGTAATATTTCTGGTATGAAAACTCATGATTGTCATGTGTTCTTAGAGAGATTACTTCCGTTTGCCCAAAGATGTAATTGAGCCTTTAATTGAATTATCGTACTTTTTCAAGGAATTGTGTGCTAAAGTTTTAAGAGAAGATGACTTGAATCTTCTTGACAATCAAATTGTCATAACTCTATGCAAGTTGGAAAAAATATTCCCTCTTGCCTTTTTTGACATCATGATTCACCTAACTTGCCACTTGGCATGGGAGGCAAAGGTGGCCGATCCAGTACAATTCAGGTGGATGTATCCTGTGGAAAGGTAATCTCAATGTTTAGATATTAATTTTATTCATGATTTGTTTAACTGCTGATATATGATTCTCTAATTTTGGTATTTATGACATAATTAGGTATTTGCATAAGCTAAAGACTTATGTTCGTAATAAGGCTCATCTAGAAGGGTCTATTGCCGAAGGTGTCTTGGGAGATGAGTGTTTAATATTTTGCTCTCGCTATTTGCATCGAGTTGAAACTAAGTTTAATAAAAGAGATAGAAACAACAATGGAGGTCAACCGTCATATGATACATCTCCGTTATCTATTTTCTCAACACCTGGTCAAGCTTTTGGGAAAGGTGTAATTAGAGAGAAGAGCATCGAACTTCATAAGGCTGCCACTCATTATGTCCTAAAAAATTGTGGTGAAGCTTTGCCATTTGTCCAGTAAGAATTCTTAAACACTATAATTTCTAAGTGCATTTAATATGTTACTATTTATTTAGATGTAATATGTCACTATATTAATTTGAATATAATCATTTGTTATGTATGTAGAGAACATAGGAACATTCTAATCCAGTCTAGTGTTGATAATGTGGAGGAGTCACATAGGCTTCAATTTTCAAACTGGATTTCTAAAAGGGTATGGATAATATTGTATTGGAAAAATTATTGACTATCATAGATGTTTATTTGAAAATATTTTTTCCTTTCTATGCAGGTCACATAACTATACAACGATGGTAAAGTTAGTAAGCAAATGCTTTCTTTGGCTCGAGGTACTGAAAGGTGAGTAACTTATTATCCTGGTTATTATAATAGTGGTTTTATATTTCATACATTGCAGCATGATGAGAATAAAAAAACACAAAATAGTGGAGTTATGGTTAAGGGGGAGAATCAGATTGACGATGTGCCTTAGTATGGAACCTTAGTAGATATTGTTGAGCTCCGTTACACAGAAGGAAATAGAGTTGTATTGTTCAATTGTGATTGGTATGACACAGCAAGAAAATGAACAGGTTACAAGATAGATCGTTATGGAATAATCACTGTTAATACAACACGCAAGCTAAATACTCAAGAGCCATTCATACTAGCAAGCCAAGCAACCCAAGTTTTTTATGTGAAGGGGGTTAAAAATAAAATTTGGAGTTTTGTCGTGGAAACAAATCCAAGAAATGCTTATGAGACAACTAATGATGAGATTGAGCCATACCAAGAAGCAGAGACTCAAATTCAAAGCATGCATGTCATCCAAAATGATGTTGAAGACAATGAAATTGATTGAAGAAGGGATGTGTTCAACTTACAACTATGGGATGAGTTGTTATGTAATTGTGATTGCCTATTTTTTTTTGGATTGGCTATTTTTAGTTATTTATTTTGGAGTGTTGATCAATTTTATTATTTTTTTTTTTTTTTTTTTTTTTTTTTTTATTTTTCTAATGGGAAATTTACAGCTAGCTAGGCTCTTCTTTTTTGTGGGGGAGGGGCCAAAAAGTTGATAGATTCCAATAAGAACTGCATATCATGCGCCTTTCACTACAGTGAGCTTTGGTTTGTGCATCAAATTATAATTTTCATATAATTTTGATTTTTTATTTGGGTTTCATTTCATATGCAGATAATGCCTTTGTTTTGTTTGGTGTAGAGACTTGCGAATGAAACTGTACCAACCCCCCATGGAACACAGCCCCCACCAACTACCATATATATTGGCTTCGTGTTTGTGAATTGGGTCTACATGATAACCAAATTCTCTTTAAAAAAATTTGTTTTCTTCCCAAGCTAATAAGATTATCAATCAAATTTTTTTTAACTTATTCTAATGGGAAATTGACATTCAAACGTTTTTCCGAGAGGACATATTTCTCCTCGAAAATCGTCGAACAATTTAGACGAAAGGAGAACCCCTTGGAAATATTCAAGCAATTCCGACGAAATAAGAAGCCCCTCGGAAATAGTCAAACAATGCCGATGGAATGAGAAAGCCCTCGGAAATAATCATCCTATTTCCGTCAAACGTACTTTTGGTCGTTAATAAAGTTGGCACCAAGTCTTCCCACCAAATAAATTACATTTCCGACGACAATCGAGACTTTTTCCGAGGGTATTTCCTTTGTCGTAAATAAATTTAAGGCCTGTGACATATTTCCAACGAACAACATTTTTTGGTTGGAACAAACACTTTTACCGAGGGAATTTCGGGGCCCTCGGAAAATGTTGGTCGGTAATGACCCTTTTTTTTATAGTGAAAATTGTACATATATATATATATATATTCATATTTTTTTTTTATTTTTTTTATTTATTTTTATTCTTTTTTTTTTTTTTTTTTTTTTTTCTCTCTTTTTTTTTTTTTTTTTTTTTTTTTTTTGGAGTGTGAGGTAAAAGAAAAACTAAACTAAAATTTAAATAACAAGAAACATGAAGATTGAACATAAACTTCTATTTAGACCAAAGTAATTTACATTGTAATTTTACAAGCAAAATAACAAGAAAGTAACAAACTTTAAATAAAACATTTCAAACTATCCACAACTCGTTCTTCTTGTTTCCTCACACAAACTAAACTACTGATTCAAAACCTGCAATAGATTCAATAAGGGGTGAGCATTACATGCTCAGTAGGGGTCTATGTCTTATGTGATTAGTGAGACTTATAATGTAAAATTTATGCAATGCATGAATGAACTTCAATTCTACCCACCCCGTTAATCTATATAATAAGGCAAACAAATCTGCATGTCCCATACCATGCATTTTACCACTGTGATTCCGAATGCCCTATTATATAAACTAACACCCATTTCAATTATCCATAATTCCCCTTTTGCTAGTCATCTTGTCTACACCATTGATCTCTAAGTCCAAATCACCCAATCGACAATTATACCGCAAATTTCCTAGTCTACTATGCACACGGGCTCGCCTGGACTTGGTCCCTACAATGGTCAGACTCAACTACACAAAAGATCCTTCCCATTACCCTCTTTCCCTAGTTTCTTTATCAACCCAAGAATTCCAACCACCACCGACAACATATGAACATGTCAAAATTAATCAAATTATAATGATATTTGACAACATGTAAACACCCAATATCATGGATAACAACCAAATAATATTACCAAGCATAATATAGTAATAATAATCAAATCATATTACCAAGCTTAATATAGTATTCACAATATTTAATTAAATCAATTTATGCAAAGCCTCCCCAAGAAAAACCCCTACCTCAAATCCAAAGCTGTTGTATAACTCCCAGTTGCTAGTCCAAACACTTTGAGCTTCTTCAAAATCTCACTATACTTTAGTTCTCACCTTTTTTTTCTTTGTCTATGATTTTAAGAAACTTAAAGCAATTGAAGAACCTATGAAACAAAGAATACTAGGTAGGGCTATTTATAGTGAGCTAGAGTCGGCAAAAATATATAGATGAAGCTTTGATATTGTGCCACATAACTAGCCTAGGGATTTCTAGACTACATCCTAAGGATTTCTAGACTACATTGGTGGCTTGAAAGTAAACTGCCACCCCAATTAATCCTTAGGTGCTGGCTCTGGAGAGTGCTTAGTAAGCACTTTCCAATTACATTTATATATATAAGAATATCTATTGTTCTTAGAGCAACTCCAGCGCTCACCCAAACCTGGGCAAAAGGCCCCCCCTGGCAGCCCAACTCCCCTCCAGCGCGCAGAAAAGAGCTCGGGCAATGGCTGGGTCCCACCAGCCCGAGCAGGCCCAAGGGCAACTTTCGCCTGGGCTTCAGCCCGAGGGCGCTGACGTCAGCGCTGGTGTTATGCTGACGTCAGCGAGGAAAAAAAATTCAAAAAAATTATAAAAATTCAATTTTTTTATAAAAAAATACCAAAAAATTATGGATATTTTCCCTATAAATACATAACAATTTTATTCACTTTCCCTATAAATACATAACAATTTTATATTTTGTTGCATATATATTTTTTTTTCTTGCCCTTGACTTGTCTTAGACTTTGCCCTCATGGGTGGAACCACAAATGCAAATGCTGACACTATTCACGTGAATAGTTGCAGCCCTTACTTGCCCTTGCCTTAGACTTAGCCCTTGTGGGTGGAGATGCTCTTACACCTCATGCCAAAACATACCACCTCATGCTTCAATTGTTTTTTGAAGACTCCATAATGCAACACGTCACTTTTAGAGAAAGCTTAGTAAGCAACAACACCTTTCTAAAAGCTTTTGTGTGTATAGAATAAATATTAAATGAATTGCTATAGTTAAAGCCATACAATGAGGTTTGATAGGCTATAGCTAGATTCATGTGGCTTGTCATACAACTAATATATTATCATTTATATAATTTTGAAAACTAATAATTATAAATAATTAATTTTATGAAATATTAATATACATATTTAAAATATGGGGTTTCACAATATATATATATATAGAGAGAGAGAGAGAGAGAGAGAGAGAGAGAGAGAGAGCTTGGAAATTAAAGGAATAATTAGGTCTTGTCAGGCTCAGAGTCTTGAAACTGACTGCCTGAAAGGAGTTAAATTGGCTGGTGGTTTAGGGATCATTTTATGCAAGTTGAGGTGCAAGTTGAGGTGCAAGTTTCAGTGTTTTTAGAATTAGTCTTTTTGTTTCAATTCAACATTATTAGTAAGATTCCCAATTTCAGGAGCAGGGCTCTCTTTACTTTATACTCAATTAATTGCATTGCATGTGATCATTCATAATCAACTCACTAATCACTAATTGAGTGATGACTAACACATCACCATGCTGCCCAAAAACGTGCACATATGAGACCAGGTCTTGAACTTGCAGTTGCAGCCGGTCCTTTGCACCGGTCAGCCAGCCTTCGTAGCTACTTTGGTCCGGCCAAACAATGCACTCACTCAAATTTCAGTAAGTATTATTGAATATCATGATAATGTCACTACTACAAAAAGTGAAAAAGACGACCAGAAAAACACGACGGTCTAAGTGAAAACCGTCGTTGTTTTTTAAAAGGCGACGGTTTTATAAAACCGCCGTGTAATAACACATTAGACAACTAAAAAATGGAGTTTCAAATGGCTGTTCCTAAAACACGACGTACTTAATTTAAAAACCGACGTCTTATTGAAATAGGATTTTCAAGAGGTAAAATCATAGCCAACAAATAACGGCGGAAGTTATGAACCGACCGACGTGGAAAGTAAAGACGACGGTTTCAAAAAAAGCCGTCGTTTTTACCCAGAAATTAACACGACCAAGTTTTCGTATAAGGCGCCGTATAATTACAAATAAATCCACGGCGGTAAAATACAAAATACCGCCGTATTAAATTAATGTACAACGGCAAAGGTAAATATAACGACGTCTTTCTCGTATTTCTACGACGACATCTTTAAATCTTACCAAGTTGGGGTTTTCATATAACGACGTATTATAGAATTTAACGTCGTATTTGGACACTTTATACGTCATACATTATATTTAAACCGTCGTCTGAATAAGAATTTTTTTTACAATTTATTTCTTGGATTTTGTTATCCTACGTCGGTAGATCTACTTAACGACAAGAATTGAAATAACCACGACGGTTTATATAGAAAACCGCCGACATAATCAGATTATTCTGAGATCACAAGGGTTAGGAAATCTTACAAGATGGAACTCTGTTGCTCATCATAATCTTACCAGAAAGACAATATTTTAGAGGTTAATGTATGTGTATTTGTGTCTTTGAGATACACAAACGCACATACACATTAACATCCAAAAAATTGCTTCTGAAATTTGACGACGGCAGCCTCAGATTTGCAATCAGAGAGACAATTTTTTGGAAGTTGATGATATGTGTGCGTTTGTGTATCTACACAAACGCACGCACACATCAACATCCAAACAATTGCCTCCTAAAATTTCACGACGGCAGCCACAGATTTGCAATCAGAGAGACAATTTTTTGGAAGTGAATGATGTGTGTGCGTTTGTGTATCTACACAAACGCACACACACATTCACATCCAAACAATTGCCTCCTAAAACTTCACGACGGCAGCCACAGATTTGAAAACAGAGAGACAATTTATTGAAAATTGGTGATTTGCAATCAGCCACAGATAACCAACATTCAAACAATTGCCTCCCAAGAGATGAGGTGAGACAGAGAAAGGGGCAAGAAGAAGTTGAAACCCTAATCGAATACTAAAACTGAAAGAACCCGTGGAAAAAAACCCTATTTATAATTAAAAAACAAAATCCACGTCGGTTATATTACACATAACGACGTTTAACAAAAATAATCCTCGTCGGTAACAAATACATTACGTCGTTTTATTCTTACTTAAGACGACAAGAAACGACGACGGTATAACAAAAACAGTCGTTGTTTTATATTTTTATTTGATTTAAATCAGTCACCTAGAAAAGAAACTTTACAAATTCTAGAACATTAATTTCCTCGGGAAAAAAAACTATATCTATAAGGCACTGTTTTTGAAAAATAAACTATAAGAAAAAGGGGAAAAAAATTATATTTATAATAAAAAAATAAAATCCACGTCGGTTATATTACACATAACGACGTTTAAAAACGAATCCACGTCGTGAAAAAAATAATACGTCGTTTTAGTTTAGTGTTATCCACGTCGGTATATTACAATAAAACGACGTATATTATAAAATAAACGTCGTAAATTTAAAACAACCGTCGTGTTAAATATTTCTACCATGACGCGAGATATTGAGTTATCGACTTTTATTTAGGAGTTTACTACGGCGGTACCTACAACACTACTGTCGTATTTATGTACCACGTCATAAGTTCAAATTAGCGTCGTAGTTTGTCTATTAATACGTCGTCGTTCTATGTAAACCGCCGTCTTATTACTATGAAACGGTTTGTATACATATACAACTTTTCGTCTACCTGACTTACACATGCACTGTTTCCAAACCCGAGAAAAATTTCAATCTCCCAGAGAAAACTTTTCGTCTTTTTTCCTTGTCAGAGCACTGTCAGAGTATCTCATCGTCTTCCTCTTGTCTTCGTCGTCGCCTCTGAACTTAAACACCAAAATCCGAGAGAAAGCTTTCATTGCACGCAAAAGGTAAGCTTTCATTTCTCACTATTTTTGTTGCTATTTTGCATGCTCATACTGTTTTTGTTTTGAAAATCTTTTTACCTTTTTTCTGGCGAAAATCATTTTTATTCTTTCCAAGTTTGATAAAATACACAGACAGAGAGGGAAAGTTTCAACTTTGAACACAACTAATTCAACTAAATAAGACGACGGTAGCTTTTTATTTACGTGGTTAAATATGTAGACCACGACGGTTCGTCAGTCGTCCTAGCGTCGTCTTAAAATTGATCTAAGTTGTTTTTAAAATGACGGTCAATTTTTTATTTGCTTGTTTAGTTGCAGGTTTGATTTCTCTGAACCATGGTTTTCGTTTTTCCTAATTTGATAAAATACAGAGACAAAGAAAGTAGGGTTTGGTATCTTATATAGACGACGGTATCTTATTATTGACGCCGTGTGAATGTTCATACCACGACGTTATACTAAGATACCGTCGTCTATAAAAAGATGCCAAAGCTTTTTTTCTTTGTATTTTATCAAATTAGGAAAAACAAAAACCATGTTTCAGAGAAATTAAACCTGCAATCAAACATTCACAGAGAAAGAAAAATGTTTTTGGTTTCTTATAAATACGACGGTAGCTTATTATTCACGTCGTGTGAATATCCATAACACGACGTTATATTAATATTTACGTCGTGTTAATATGAATATCACGACGTCGTGTAAATATCGCCGTAATAAGTTCTTATTACGTCTTATTTAATATTGTTTCGTCGTTGTTTAAACATTTATATTGTTTCTTCTTTAAACATTTATTACGTCTGATGTTATGTTATTACGTCGTGTAAAATCTTATCATACGTCGTAGTTTATAAATAACCGTCGTTTGTGTTCTAATTTTTTTCCCGAAATATTTTCACTTGCAGGTTTGTTTATTCTGTAACCATGGTTTCTCAAGACCAAAGTAAGTACTCTGGCTCCAAAAAAAATGGAGGTAAGGAGCTTGGAATGGTAACTCCTCAAGACAAGCCCTTGAAGAAGATGAAGTTTGTTTCATCTGCTGAGACAGAACCAAGCAGCACGACAACAATTTCTGAGGATTCAAAGTCAGGTCGAGGTATGAGCACAATGCCTCGTGTTGTGAAGAGAAAATTGCAGAAAATCAAGCCAGTTGTTGAGTACAATAAAAGGGGGAAAGGATGTGGCCCTGCACATACTGAGATGCAGTCCTACATTGGTGTGTTGGCACGCTCCAGAGTCCCACTTGTGGACAAGAAATGGGCTGAAATCCCCAATGATATAAAGGAGCAGATTTGGGAAGCCGTTGACATGGCTTTTGTGGTAGGTCAAGGGGGCAAGACCTCGGTGTTATCTTCTGCTGCCAAGAAATGGAAGGATTTCAAGTCTACACTGACGAGGCATTATATCCTTCCATACATCAAGGAGAGGGAGAAATTAAGCCAACCCCCTGAAGTATATAAATTCATAGAGAAAGCAGAATGGGATGCCTTTGTAGCTTCAAGGTTATCCAAAGAATTTGAGTCTGTGCATTCTCAACATGCACAGATTAGGGAGAAACTTGAGTACAATCATCGATTGTCTCGAAAAGGATATGCTGGTTTGGAGGATCAATTGGAGGAAACCATGCCTGGGGTAGAAATTGATCGATCTACCTTATGGAAGAAAGCTAGACAGGACAAACATGGTAACATCCCGGATCCAAAGGTGGCAGAGAAAGCAAAATTAATTGTAAGCCTACACACTCTGTTTTAAATTTTTATTAAACTGTGTAGAATTCTTATTACGTCTTATGTTATATTTTTCCGTCGTGTGAATGATTTTACTACGTCGAAATATTTTAAAAAACGTCGTGAAAGATCTAAATCTGGAATCACAACTCTGTTTTCTGTAATTATAGCATAAGACGTCGGTGGTTAATTTTTTTCGTCGTGTTAATGTTATTACTACGTCGAAATGTTTTCAAAAACGTCGTGAAAGATCTAAATCTGGAATCACAACTCTGTTTTCTGTAATTACAGCATAAGACGTCGGTGGTTTATTTATTGCGTCGTTTTAAACAACTAACCACGTCGGTTTTAATTAACGTCGTTATAAATATATTATAACGTCGATTTCTATATTGGTGCGTCGTGTGAAATTATATAATGCGTCGTTTGTTTATAAATAACCGTCGTGTGTTTTCTTGTGCTGACTTTTTTGTATGTCTTTGTTTTAGGATGAATTGCAAAAACAAGTGGCTGAAGGCAGTCTGAGTTTATCTGGCAGTAATGATGTGTTGACCTTGGCTTTGGGTCCCGAGCATCCAGGGAGAGTAAGAGGGGTAGGTGCTGGGATTTCCCCTAGGCAATTCTTCAATTTACCTAGACCACAGAGGGTAAAGTTTGCTGATCAATTGAAGGAAAGTGTAAGAATTGTCCTTCAAGAAGAGACTAAGAAGATGGAAGCTAGAACCAAACAATTAGTAGAGGCTGAGAGGGAACATTTACTAAGTCAGCTTTCCCACCTCATCCCCAATTTTGATCCAAGCATGCTTAAACCGAAAACTAGCCCCTGTCAAAACCAAGGTCTACAGCAAAGTCCCAAAAATCCAATGTCTGATAAAGCAAGCTGTTCTGGGGCTGAAGTGAGATCCCTACATTTAGAGGATGATACTGCCAGAAATGGGGAACAGCAGGAAGAAACGGTAACATATCTGAACTTTGAATTCTCTGTTTTTTTTTAAACATTAGACGTCGTTATTATGAATAACCCGTCGTTTTAAAACCATACCACGACGATTTTATAAATAACCCGTCGTGTTTATTTAAATACCACGTCGTATTTAGTTTACTTGTTTTACACGCCATTAGACGTCGTACTTTGTGGTTTTTAGACGACGGTTTTTGTCCTTAACGACGTAATATACAATTACCACGACGTTTATTATTTACCATCGTTTAATAATTTTAAGACGTCCCTAATTCTTACATACCGTCTTATGTTATGCCTTACCACGACGTTTTGGTTTAATTTTTTTACTCTCTGTACAATCTGTCTTATATATATATTTCTTTATTATTTAAAACAGAAATCTGGGGCTTTAGATAATCAAGATGAAGAGAAGAAAGAAGAAAATAAAGATGAACAGAAGATGGGAGAAAAAAAAGATGAAGGGAAGAAGGAAGAAAAAAAAGAGAAAAAAGATGAAGGCAAAAGGAAGACACAAATGATGAAGAGAAGAAAGAAGAAAAACAAGATAAAGAAAAGCATGACGAGGAGGTATATTCTCATAACTTTGCCTTTTTAATTTGTTTTTCACATTTCAGACGTCGATATTTTTCTTTAAACCGTCGTTTGTTTTCACATTAGACGTCGGAATTTATTTTCTACGACGTAATAAATATCTAAAACGACGGTATTTAATTACCGTCGTTTAAATTATAATCAGACGACGTTTTTTAATTTAAACCGTCGTTTTTAATGAATTACCACGTCATTTTATTTTGCTTTATTTCTTTAAACAGGGTAATGAAGTAGTTGATTATTCAAATGTGGAGGTGCCATCTTCCTTACAATCCCTTTGTGGTTATGTGGAAACTACACTAAAGCCACAGGGGAAGATCATGACCTTCAACATTGAGAAGGAGGTGTTTGGTGCAGATCGAAGTACCTTCGTCTTGCATGAAGATATTACACAGTTTGCAGGCATGGAAGAAATTGGGGCTACTGTGGTTGCAGTATATATGAGGTTTGTCCTAATCAAATATCAAACATTATATCATAAGACGTCGGTTGTTTAATTATTGCGTCGTTTTAAACCACTAACCACGTCGTTCTTTTTTACCGTCGTGATAAATTAGTTATCACGTCTGTTTCTATTTCAGTTCGTCGTGTGAAATTGTATAATACGTCGTTTGTGTATAAATAACCGTCGTTTGTTTTATATATTTAGGTGCTTATATGATCTTTTGAGAGAAGCAAATATGTGCAGCATGGTTGGCTTTATCGACCCTGCTCAAGTTAGTGCCAACGCTGGGTCACTAACTGACAGATCACGAATTGTAGCCAGTCGACTTCAGAAAACAGATGGTGAACAGATTTTCATGATGCCTTACAATCCAGGGTTAGTCTCCTTAAAAGGATTTTGTTTGTATGATTTTCACTTATAAAACTGTTTAACTAATTCTGTGTCGTTTGAAACATCTAACCACGTCGGTTATTTATTTATTGAGTCGTTTGAAACAACTAACCCACGTCGGTAGTTAATTATCGTCGTGATAAATTTATAATCACGTCGATGATTAAGTTATTACGTCGTGTGAAACTATATAATACGTCGGTTTTTATAAATAACCGTCGTTTTTTATTTTATTTTTGTGCAGCCGTCATTGGGTCTTGCTGATTGTGAGGGCAAAGAGGGAAACCGTCTATTTTCTGGATCCTCTGCCTGGAAATCGTGTGGTTGATGAGGAGGGCAAAAACATCGTGAACAGTGCTTTAAAAATTTATAATTCCCACATAGGCAGACCAGGCCGTAAAGCACCAATTTGGAAAACTCTGCCAGGCACACCAAAGCAACCCAGCAGTGTCGAATGCGGGTATTATGTGATGCGCTTCATGAGGGACATCATCATGGATCCTTCCTTGGAGTTTGAGAAGAAGGTAAGAATAAAATTTTCAGAAACATTTTATGTGGTTTTTTGTATTATCAACGACGGTCATTTAAAATTACCGTCGTTGAATCGATATACTACGTCGGTTATGAAAAAAAACGTCGTCTGTGTCTGAATTTCTTTTTATTTTGTAAAGCTTAATAATCATTGTTTATGGATTGCAGTTTGCCAAGGGAAAAGATCAAGCGCCATACCCCCAAGCAGCCATTGATGAAGTCAGGAAAGAATGGGCAGAGTTTGTTTGCCTTCATATGGATTAGAGGATTTTTGGAACACTTGATATTTTTATATGTACTAATTTTGTCTATAATATATAATGTACAAATTTTGTCTATAATATACATCCTTTTTTTCCCTGAAAATTTGCTGAGGTTTTCATAATATAAAAGAAAAAACAAATTGCGTAACCGACGTGTAATAACTTTCCAACGACATAATTATGTAAAAAACCGACGTAAAATGATATTTAGACGTGATGGGACGTACATAAGACGTCGTTTTGATGACAATTTCGCCCTGGTTTCGCTTTTAAACGACGTCCTTTTGAACAAGTAAGTCGTTTATTAGGGTTTAGGTTAATACCTTTTAACGACGGTGATTCGGTCGTGGAATATGTATTTTACGTCAGATGGTGAAACATCCGCCATGGTTTCTCTTTTAAACGACGTCCCTTTTACATGTGAGTTGTTTATTATTATTTACAACGTCGTGGTTTGTTGTTGATATAAGAATATTTTATTATTTTTAATTCAAAATTTTAAAAATAAATTTAAAATAAATTCAAAAAATTCAACTTCAACTCCTATGAAGTCATTGATATATTTTCTTCCCCCTAAAACCCAAAAAAATGCAGTTTGTGTAATAAAGGTTTAAAATGACCAACCAAAATAAAATTGTTTTGATGAGTCATAACATCACTTATATAGTTTGATGGTTTAGGGTTTAGGGTTTGGGGGTTTAGGGTTGTTATTTATTAGGGTTTATGGTTAAAGTATAATTTTTGGGGTTTAGGGTTTATGTTTGTTATTTATTAAGATGTAAAACCATAAACAATTTTATAAAATTAAATTTTACAAATATATAATTTATGGTTTTAAAGTTTAGGGTATTACTTTTAACGACGGTGATTGAGTCGTGGAATATTGAGTTTACGTCGTATGGTGAAAAATCCGACGTGGTTTCTCTTTTAAACGACGTTTTGTTTACACGTAAGTCGTTTATTATTATTTACAACGTCGTTAGTTACTTAACCCCGCCGTGGTTTGTTGTTGATATAAAATATTTTATTATTTTTAATTCAAAATTTTAAAAATAAATTTAAAATAAATTCAAAAAATTCAACTTCAACTCCTATGAAGTCATTGATATATTTTCTTCCCCCTAAACCCCAAAAAAATGCATTTTGTGTAATAAAGGTTTAAAATGACCAACCAAAATAAAATTGTTTTGATGAGTCATAGCATCACTTATATAGTTTGATGGTTTAGGGTTTAGGGTTTGGGGTTTAGGGTTGTTATTTATTAGGGTTTATGGTTAAAGTATAATTTTTGGGGTTTAGGGTTTATGTTTGTTATTTATTAGGATGTAAAACCATAAACAATTTTATAAAATTAAATTTTACAAATATATAATTTATGGTTTTAAAGTTTAGGGTATTACTTTTAACGACGGTGATTGAGTCGTGGAATATTGAGTTTACGTCGTATGGTGAAAAATCCGACGTGGTTTCTCTTTTAAACGACGTTTTGTTTACACGTAAGTCGTTTATTATTATTTACAACGTCGTTAGTTACTTAACCCCGCCGTGGTTTTTCATAGTTTTAACGCCTTTTTTGATTTTGCGTGGTACATAGTTTTACCACGACGTCCTTAATGTAATAAGCGTCATGTTTAATGTTAAATTTTAACGACGCGTGTTTTTTCGGTCGATGTTTTAAAAAGCGCGCTTTCTTAAAATATTCGCGGGACCTAAAATTTTCAGATTTGGCTCTTATTTTTATACTTCTAACCCTGAACCCTAAATTTTCAGATTTCGCGCAACATAACATTTCGCTCTCCCACTTCATCTCTAATTCAAAGTTGGGCCAGGCTGTGTCAAATCCAATTTGGTCATAATCTGTGAGCTCTGCCAACCTGTAAGTACAAACCCTCTCTTCCCCTTGTAAATTCATTGAATGATATATTACGTTGTTTTGTTAAAGGGTTTTAGGTATATGTTTTGCGATCTGTTAATAATGTTGTTGGAGGTATGGGTTCATGGATTTTCTGTTTAATGTTTTCTTGATCACTCTCTGTTATGTTGAATATGGAATGGATTTCATTTTGTCGGATCTTTTAATCACTCTCTGTTATGTTGAATTGGGAATGGATTTATTGTTTTCATGCTTAGTATATGTTGGTTTCTTGCTTGGTTTCATGTCTATGTTGTGTTCTTAATAGGGTTTTGGGATCTTGAAAATAAACTAGATATCGACGCGTTTTCAGGCATACGACGACGGTTTTTACTTTAAACCGTCGTTTTTATTACTTATACACGACGGTGTTATTTAACTACCGTCGTGGTTATAATTAGACGACGTAAAATCCGTCGTCTATATATGTCAAATACGTCTGTTTTTTTTTAAAAACCGTCGTCTTTGTTGTATATTACTTGCTGTAGAAATCTTCTAACTACCACACATATCCGTTGTCCATGTGTTAAATGTGTTAATTTGAAATTGTTTGGGGTTGGAATTATAAGGGATCACTTATACTTTAATGGAGTTGACCAAAGCTATAAGAATTGGACATTTCACGGAGAACCTTGGGAAGCAGCTACTAATGCTAGTAGAAATGTTGAAGAAGATGATGACCATAGTAGGTACAGTTTTGTGTCTGAAGAAATAGAGATGGATGATAATGATTTTGGTGATTTTGGATATGATCCTTATGAGTTTGCCAATGTGATTGGGGATGGAGATCAACCATTGTACCCTGGTTGTAGAAAGTACACGAAGTTATCGGCATTAGTGAAGTTGTATAATTTGAAGGCAAAATATGGGATGAGTGATGTCTGTTTTACAGAATTATTGATACTTCAAGGCGATTTGCTTCCAGAAGGAAATACAATACCGGCCTCTATGTATGAGGCAAAAAAGATTTTGTGTGCATTGGGGCTGAGTTATGAGAAAATGCACGCATGCCCCAATGATTGCATCTTGTATAGGAAGGAGTATGAGGATTTAACTCATTGTCCTAATTGTGGTATCTCAAGGTGGAAGGAAGGCAAAGATTCAATCTTGAAAGAGGGTGTGCCAGCGAAGGTGGTGTGGTATTTTCCTCCAATTCCAAGGTTTAAAAGGATGTTTCGATCACATGAGACCGCTAAGAGTTTGACTTGGCATGCTGCTAGAAAATCAATTGACGGTTATATGTCTCATCCAGCGGATTCCCCGTCTTGGAAACTTCTTGATGATAAATGGCCCGAGTTTGGTAATGAGCCGAGAAACTTGAGATTGGCTCTTTCATCTGATGGATTCAATCCCCACAGTTCTCTAAGTAGCAGATATAGTTGTTGGCCAGTTATCTTAGTTACATATAATCTCCCTCCATGGCTGTGCATGAAACGAAAGTTCATGATGTTGACCTTATTGATTTCCGGTCCTAAACAGCCCGGAAATGATATAGACGTCTACTTGGAGCCTTTGATTGATGATTTAAAATCTTTGTGGGATGGGATTGGAGGAGTGTATGATGCACATAATGGAGAATACTTTACACTCAGAGCTGCATTAATGTGGACAATTAATGATTTCCCCGCCTATGGAAACTTATCTGGTTGTGTTGTTAAAGGATATAAAGCTTGTCCAATATGCGGCGATGATACACCTAGTCACGGGTTGAAAAATGGCCACAAAATTTGTTACATTGGGCATAGAAAATGGTTACCGATCAATCATCCATATAGGAGGCAACGTGCAGCTTTTAATGGGAAACCTGAATATGGCACGCCTCCTGAGCCATTAACCGGAGAAGAAGTGCTGCATATGGTTGAAGATGGTGACAGAGTTTGTTGGAAGAAGAAATCAATATTCTTTGATCTCGAGTATTGGAAATACCTTCCTGTGAGGCATGTCCTAGATGTTATGCACATTGAGAAGAATGTTTGCGATATTATCATTGGTACATTGCTGGAGATCCCTGGAAAAAATAAAGATGAGATTGCTGCTCGATTAGATTTATTGAACATGGGGGTCAAAACTGATTTGCAACCCGAGTATGGAGAAAGACGTACTCGTTTGCCTCCCGGGCCTTGGAATTTGTCAAGAGCAGAGAAGAGAGAGGTTTGCAATTCTTTCTATGGTATGAAGGTCCCTGAAGGTTATTCTTCAAATATAAAAAATCTTGTATCTTTACAAGATTCAAGACTTCTTGGCCTTAAATCACATGATTGTCATACCTTAATGCAACAATTGCTCCCTGTGGCAATTCGTTCTGTTTGGAGAAGCCTGCAAGGTATGCAATAACTCGTTTGTGCTTCTTCTTCAATGCTATATGTGCAAAGACTGTTGATGTTTCCAAGCTAGATAAGTTGGAAGAAGATGTAGTAGTTACTTTGTGTTTGCTTGAGAAGTACTTTCCCCCTTCATTCTTTGATATCATGGTTCATCTAGTAGTACATCTTGTCAGAGAAGTTCGTCTGTGTGGGCCAGTATATTTTAGATGGATGTATCCGTTTGAAATATATATGAAAGTGCTAAAGGGGTATGTTCAGAATCGTACTCGTCCCGAAGGTTGCATTGCTGAGCGGTATATAGCTGAAGAAGCTGTAGAGTTTTGTACCGAGCATTTATCTGATGTTAGTACAGTTGGAGTGCCTTCAAGCCAAAAGATGGGAGTTTCAAAGCCATTATCAGGTTGCACAGTGAGCGTAGTTGATCGGGACCTGTTGAACCAAGCACATCTATATGTCTTGGAGAATACGGAGGAAGTCCTACCTTATATCGAGTACGTATGAGTTTTATTCTTTAAGTTTCCATTTTAAATTATTTCTTATGTTTATCTTATATGTTTGGGACTGTAATACTTGAATTTTGTGTGTCATGTAGGCAACATATGATCCACATCCAGACCGCTTATCCAAAATTTAGAAAGAGAACAAAGTGGCTGCAGGATAAGCACAATAGCACTTTCATTCAATGGCTACGCTTCAAGGTATATGTTATTGAATAACATATTGGACTTTTAATTTTCTTCTTTCTATGTTAGATTGAATTAAGTTATGATTAATTTGCAGGTTCAAAGTGAACTTAATGAGGAAGACAATCATGGCGTATCAGAAAATTTAAGGTGGCTAGCAGCTGGTCCAAACATGGCAGTGCCATTATATAGGAGCTATCTCATTAAAGGTATTAAATTCAACATCAAGGCACAAGATGATGTGCGGACAACTCAAAATAGTGGAGTTTATTTACTTGCACATATTATGCAAGTTGCTAATGCCAAGGATAAAAACCCAATTCTCTCAAATATGGGTTTCTATGGTGTCATTCAAGAAATTTGGGACCTTGACTACCAAAAGTTTACAATCCCAGTCTTTAGGTGTGATTGGATTGATAATACTTCTGGTCTTGTAGTGGACGAACTTGGATTTACCCTTGTAGATTTGAGTAAAATTGGACATAGGAATGACCAATTTGTTTTGGCTTCTCAAGTCAAACAAGTATTTTTTGTTGACGACCCGATGCATCGTGGTTGGTCGGTAGTGTTATCAATGCCTAATAGAGAATATAATGATGTTATTGGTGATGATGTCTTAGGTGATGTGAGAATTGAGTGTGAGCCATTTACTAGGGGGATGCCAAATGTTTACACATTTGATGAAGTGGTGGTTGAGTTAGGGAATCAAAATATTCGAGATGGGTGTGAAGATATATGGGTTGAATGATGCTTTATGTAATTGGCAGTGTATGACATTAATTTTGTAATATATTGTAATGTGATTTCTTCACTTTCATTATACAGGTTTTGGCCACAAAACAATCAGTACAAAAATTACTGGTTCCAGATTACAAACACGACGGTTTTGATAAAAATGTGAAAAACAAACGTCTGTTCTAATAAATAACGACGTTTTGGAGCATTCAACGACCGCAATATATTTACCGACGTCTTAAAGCAAAGTAACAATGAAGAACCACGACGCTATTGTGAAACAGTTATCCAGGATAACACGTCGGACAAGCATAAAGAACCGCCATGTAATTCAAAATAACACGACTCCAATCCCATAACACCGACGTCTAAAAGACGAGAACTTTAACCTGAACGTTACAAAAGACGACGTCGTCATGAATTTACCACGTCGCATGTTCTTTCATAAACGAAGTGGAAAAGGATGAATTCACGACGGTATTTGAAGTCCATTAAATTTGTCGACGTTAAGATTTATGAATTAGACGACGTTAATTTTTTTAATGAAGACGTATAAATTATTAAACACGACGGTCTTTTTCATGGTACCGACGTTGTATATAGACGACAACGTCGTCCTTATAAATTACTGTGTCGTAATTAATGACCCCATCATTTTTTCCACGTCGTTTATTTTCAAAATATGACGTATAAATTCTGTAATACGGCTCTCATTTATTTGGAACCGACGTTGTTTATTCATTTCAACGTCGTCTCAGTAAATACATACGTCGTAATTAATGAACCTGACATCTATTTCCACGTCATAATTCGTAGAAAATCGAAGTGGAAAATTTATTTTACGACGGTATTTGAAGTCCATTAAACTTGTCGACGTTAAGATATATGAATTAGACGACGTCAATTTGTTAAATGAAGACGTATAAATTATTAAAGACGACGGTCTTTTTAATGGTAACGACGTTGTATATAAACTACAACGTCGTCATTGTAAATTACTGTGTCGTAATTAATGACACCATCTTTTTTCACGTCGGTTATTTTCAAAATATGACGTATAAATTCTGTAATACGGCTCTCATTTATTTGGAACCGACGTTATTTATCCAATTCAACGTCGTCTCTGTAAATACATGCGTCGTAATTAATGACCCTGACATCTATTTCCACGTCATAATTCATAGAAAAATCGAAGTGGAAAATTTATTTTACGACGGTTGTGGGAAATGTTGTGACGTAGTAGGTGTCAATAACGTCGTCTATTATGATTGTAAAGACGTCGTATTTATATTTGTCATCTGTTTCCTTTTTAACGACGTTTTTTTTGTTGGAGTTGGTCGTCTATTCTCATCCTCGACTGTTTTTTTATGTCTTTTGCAGCACAAAGACGTCGGTTTTTATTTTTTGATGACGTTTTTTGTTTTAACAACGACGGTTATTCACCGTCGTGGTTTGGTTATGGAAAAGATGTCGGTGGATTCCACGACCATTTGAAAACAGAATACACGACGGTGAATTCCCGTCGTGTTTTTCCTTTTTTGTAGTAGTGTGTGAATTAGACTCACCCTTTTAAAATGATTTTTAGTTTTTTTTTCTTTTTTTCGGGGTTTGGTAACCTTAACATGTATCTTTGAAACAATAGTTAATTAGTAAATCACGAAAAAACAAATATAAGGAAATTTTTGGGTCTGTGGTTAATAAATCTTGTTCCAGTATATCTTTGCATCCGAGTACAAAATACAGAGAAAGGGTTGGGATTGTCTGTCCCTGACCATGTCGTGTAATTTTGCTACTTCCTGTGAAATTCAATGTACAAAAGATTTTGCAGTTGAATTTCACTGGAAGTGTCCAAAAAATCTCCTGGAAAGACAGTCCCCTAATAGAAATATCCTCCCAAACCCAAAAAAGAACAAAACTAACTCTTCGTCTACATGCACATTGCACCCACCCACTACCATACAGCTTAGGACAAAACCCAAAGAAACAAAAAATTAAGGACAAAAAAAGGTGATTAAAAACTATACTAAACTAAAATCAAGGGCAAAACCCACCCACTAATATTGCATTGTCTTCCTCAACCTCTTCGCTGTCATCAACCACCTCCTCAGCCCCGGTCAGCTGTTTGGCTTTCTGAGCTTCAAACTCCCAATCTGTAACACCTAAAACCACCAGCATGGTCAGAGCACAGCATCCCTGTCCAGCCAACAGGCCTAGTCACAGCCCCTGAAAATCCAACTCAAGAACGAAACCCAGCCCCATGGCCACTGGCATTCCCACGAGGTAAAAGCACCCCAAGTTTATGTTTGCTCCAACTTTAGGCCTCGCTGTGCCTCTCAGAACTCCACAGCCTGTTGTTTGTGGGCAATTTCCAAGCTTTATAGTCAAAACAAATGATGTTAATTTTATTATCTCCTTGTCCTGTGTGAACATGCTTGCCCAAATGTTCCTCACCATGAATGCAAAGATCAGAGACGCAAGGCCTAGTATGAAGCTGCAACACAGGCCTACAATGGCTGCAATTTTTGCTTTTTTAGGTTGGTTTGCGCCTATTTCGTTGCCAACCCTTGTGGACACACTGAAGCTTAGGGACGAGGGGAATATGTAGATCAGAGAAGTGGTTTGGATCAAAATGCCCATTGAATCTGTTGGCATGAGTCAACGTTCCTATTAGGAATAGAATTTGTTCCTATTAGGAATAGAATTTATATTTTATTGTAATTATCTAATTTGAGTAGAATTAGGAGATTTTGTACATATTTCCTATTTGTAACTACTCTGTATGTAATATATATATTCCTCCTTGAGAGAAGAATAAACATATCAGTTTTAAACCCTAATTATTTTGAGTTGGTATCAGAGCAGGTTCCTATCCGTCTCTACAACGTGAAAACCCTAATCCTAAAAATACCTATTTCCGCTGCACCTAGCCTATACACCTAAGCCTATGTCGTCTTATATCTCTTACTGTCGTCGTCGTCATCTAATCTTTTGCTGCTGCCGCTATCTATCACCATGTCAGATGTCACTGACTCTTCTTCTTCTACTCCTATTGTGACGGTTTATACTGAATCGTCGACCAACCTACCTATGGGATTCAAATTGAATGGATCCAACTACGAGATATGGGCTTCGATGATCGAACTCCATGCTACTACACAAGGCAAATTGGGTTACCTAACTGGCGACACTGATGCCCCTGATTCCAAAGACCCGAAATTTGGGAAGTGGAAAATTGCTGATGCTGTTGTGAAAAGTTGGATGTTGCGAACTATGGAACCCAGTTTGTTGAATATGTTTCATACTCTACCTACTGCAAAGGAAATTTGGGATGCTGTTAATAAGATGTTTTATGATGGCTCTGACATTTCCTAGCTCTATGAACTGCGGTGCCAAGCTACCCGTCTCAAGCAAGAGGGTCGTCCTGTCTCTACCTATTTTGCCGAACTTAAGGCAATCTGGCTTGAATTTGACAAGAGACGTCATTTTCAGATGAAGTGTGCTGATGGTATGAAGACTTTTCAGGCTGCTATTATGGCAGATTGTGTGTATGATTTTTTGGCTGGCCTTGACGATACTTATGACAAGGTCTGCAGTGATATTCTACGAAGTCATAAAGTTCCAAGTATCGAAAATGTATTTTTTATGGTTCGTTGAGGGGCTCAACGCCAGATTACTATGCTTGAATCCAGCACCAAGATTGGGGAACCTGTTGTTGTGTTTGCTTCCAAAAACACTGCATTGGTTTCTCAACGTACAAGGTCTGGCTCTTCTACTGTTTCGCCTCATCGCCTGACTCCTACAGAAAAAGACAAACTAAAGTGTGATCACTGTGGTGAAAAGAGACATACTATCGACACCTGCTGGGCATTCATGGGGTACCAGATTGGGAGAAGGAGCAGAGGCGTTTAAAAAAGGAACAACTGGACAACAAAGTTCATATGGTTGTTACCCCCACTTTTGTGGCTGACATTACCACTAGGCACGACCACGTTACTACTACTCCTCCGACTTTGACCACCATCTCAAGCACTCCAACACCTCCACCTCCAGGTAACTTTGTCAAGGCTTTCCATGCCCATGATACCCGAGATACAGGTTGGATTATTGATTCAGGAGCTACTGACCATATGACTTATAATTCTGCTTTATTCTCTACTACTCTTCCGCCTCATCGTGATCATGTTCTGACTGCTAATAATGTTGCTGCTCCTGTCACGGGGGCTGGTTCTATACTCTTGACACATGCTTTACCATTGGACAAAGTGTTACTGGTTCCATCTTTATCTAGTAATTTATTATCTGTACCGCAAGTTACTGAGTAGTTAAACTGCGTTGTATTGATGTATCCGTCTTTTGTCTTACTACATGATATCCAGACTTGGGAGATCTTTGGTCGTGGTACTAAAAAGGGGGGGCTTTATTATGTGGATGATGTGGCAACTAGTCGGGTTCTTCGTGCTGGTAGCGCTGAAACTTCTCAGCATCTTCGGATTTGGTTGCTACATTATCGATTTGGTCATGCCTCATTTGGATATTTATGGCATTTGTTTCCTGCATTATTTAGTGGTGTCAACCAGTCTGCTTTCCAATGTCAAACTTGTATTTTAGCTAAGAGTCATCGGGTATCCTACCCTCCAAGTTGTAATAAACGGCTTATGCCATTTGATTTAGTTCATTCTGATGTTTGGGGACCTTCCCCGGTTTCTACAGCCTTGGGAGTTCGTTGGTTTGTGTTATTTGTGGATGATTGCACTCGTATGATGTGGTTATGTGGGATGAAAAATAAAAGTGATGTGGTTGAAATTTTTCAGCGTTTCTATCAGATGATTCAGACTCAATTTAGGCTCCCTATCAAGGTTTTTCGATCTGATAATGGTGGAGAATTTATTAATTCGGCGTTATCCCATTTTTTTCACACTAAGGGTGTGTTCCATGAAACTACTTGCCCTCAAACACCACAACATAATGGGGTTGCTGAACGTAAAAATGGGCAGATCCTTGCTGCTACCCTTGCTCTGCAGCTTGGTGCATCAGTTCCAAAGCGGTTCTGGATGGATGCTGTTACCTATGCAGTCTATCTCTTGAATCTTCTACCTTCACGAGTTTTGGATTTCCAAACTCCTATGTAGGTACTGACCCATCATATCTTTGCCTCTTTTATGCTGACTCTGTCTCCAAAGGTGTTTGGTTGTGTCGTCTATGTTCACCTCCATTAGAATCAGAGGAGTAAGCTGGACCCATGTGCTCTTCGATGTGTCTTTATGGGTTTCTCTCCTCATCAGAAAGGCTACCGATGCTATCATCCTGCAACCCGACGTCTATATGTATCTATGGATGTTACTTTTATTGAGGATAAAATGTTCTTCTCTGATACACCCGAGCATGTCCTTCAGGGGGAGACTAGTAGTGAAGGACATAACTGGCTAGATTTACAAGGGGGAGTAGTATTGGATAGTTTGATACAAAGGAAAGAACCGACCGAACCTGCTGAACCTGCTAGACTGCCTGAACCTGCTACACTAACTGAACCTGCTATTTTAACTGATGTCACTATTGTCACTAAACAGATTGCCCCCTATGAAGCTTCTCTAATAGTACTCGATCAAGCTCCCCTGGATATTCCTGAGGTAAGTACTTCTATTCATACTTCGGATAATTCTTATGTTTTACCGCCTAGACAAAACCGTGGGGTTCCACCTGATCGTTACTCACCAAAAGGCAAAGCGAGATATGCTATTGCCCATTATGTGTCTGATCATAGGTTATCTCCTGAGTGCAAAGCGTTTGTGACCAGAATGGATAATATTAAAATTCCAACCCGTGTTGAGGAGGCATTTAATTACCCAAAGTGGGCTGAAGCCATGAATATTGAAATGGAGGCATTGCAAAAAAATAATACATGAGACATTGTTGATCTACCAAAGGGAATGAAGCCTGTAGGATGCAGATGGGTGTTTACCGTTAAATATAATGAAGATGGTACTATGGAGAGGTACAAGGCAAGATTAGTAGCTAAAGGGTTCACTCAAACATATGGAGTTTATTATCATGATACTTTTGCTCATGTGGCTAAGATGAATACTGTCATAGTTTTGTTGTCCTTAGCAGTAAACTTGGATTGGACCATGAGGCAATTTGATGTAAAAAATGCATTCTTACATGGTGAACTAGAAGAAGAAGTGTACATGAGTCTTCCACCAGGGTATAGGGTTACCGGTGAAACGGGGAACGTGTGCAAATTGAAAAAGGCGTTGTATGGGTTAAATCAGTCTCCTCGGGCATGGTTTGGCAGATTTACCACAGCTATGAAAAAGTTTGGTTACCGACAAGCCAATACTGATCATACTCTATTCATTAAACATAAGGCTGGTAAGGTGACTTTGTTGATTATTTCTGTTGATGATATGATTGTGACTGGTGATGATACTGTAGAAATCGAGGAACTGCATAAACGTTTAGCATCTGAATTTGAGATGAAAGATTTAGGCATTCTGAAATATTTTCTAGGAGTGGAAGTCACTCGATCTAAACATGGCTTATTTCTTTCACAAAGGAAGTATGTCATGGACCTGCTAGCAGATACTAGAATGCTTGACTGTAAACCAGCTGATACACCTATTGTTGAGAATCATAAACTTGGTGTTTATGTGGATTAGGTCCCAAGTAACAGAGAAAGATACCAAAGGTTTGTTGGGAGATTGATTTATTTATCATTGACACGCCCTGATATTGACTATGTGGCAAGCGTCGCTAGCCAATTTATGCATTCCCCTAGTTAGGATCATATGGCTGCTGTGATGCATATTCTGAGTTACTTAAAGTCTACTCCTGGGAGAGGTTTATTATTTAAGCAAAATGGTCATTTGGATCTAGAAGGTTACACTAACGCAGATTATGCAGGGAATATTACAGATAGACGTTCTACATCAGGTTACTTCACCTTTGTTGGTGGTAACCTAGTTACGTGGCGTAGCAAGAAGCAAAACGTTGTGTCTCGGTCCTCCGCAAAGTCTGAGTACAGAGGGATTGCCCAAGGAGTTTGTGAAATACTATGGTTGAGGTGGTTACTTGCTGAAATTGGCTTTAGACCGAATGCTGCTACAAAGCTCCACTGTGATAATCAATCTGCATTTGAAATTGCTAACAATCCGGTGCAACATGATCAAACTAAGCATGTAAAAGTTGATCGGCATTTCATTAAGGAGAAGCTAGAGCATAAGTTAATTTCTATACCTTTTGTGCCTTCTTCAGAGCAGCTTGCAAATATGTTGACCTATGTCGTGTCAAAGCGCCGATTTGAAGACTCACTTGACAAGTTGGCAATTACCGATATCTATGCACCAACTTGAGGGGGAGTGTTGGCGTGAGTCAATGTTCCTATTAGGAATATAATTTGTTCCTATTATGAAAAAAAGTTATATTTTATTGTAATAATCTAATTTGAGTAGAATTAGGAGATTTTGTACATATTTCCTATTTGTAACCACTATGTATGTAATATATATATATATATTCCTCCGTGAGAGAAGAATAAACATATCAGTTTTAAACCCTAATTATTTTGAGTTTCTTGGGTTTAACAGCAAACCACATAGCAAAATCATGATCTCATACCACCATCGTTCTAGGCACACAGAAATGCAGCTTGGCACTGCCTTTGAAGCAGTCCATTGAAATCCCTCCCCAGGTTTTCTTGTGGACCCTAGAGATAATGATGTAGATGATTAAAAAAGCTATAAGATTGAAGTTAGACCAAACCCCACTTAGAGCCACACCTCTGATGCCTAAATTGAGGTACAAGACAAGAAAGTAATTTATGGGAATGTGAAGAATGATTGCTAGAGTGGCACAAAATGTTAGAGGAAAGGTAATGGATTGAGTTTTGAGGTAAATTCTCAAAGTGTGCAGTAAACACTAAGCAAGAAGGTCAGGGAGAGAACAAAGGAGGTAAAGTTGAGCTTCAAAGGCAATTGCTTCATCGTGGCCACAAAAGGAGGAGGAGTTTCTTCATGTTTAGCCAGAGAAGAGAAATGGGTAAGGATGTAAATATAGAAGAAGTACTGTTCTCTGCAAAGAGAGGCCAAGCAGCGTATGCCTTTTGGCACCAAAAGCTTGACCACAAATGGGTTCCATTCCCATGGCAAGGCCAGAGAGAATCGAGTAACCGGTGATGTTAGCAAAGTGGACGGCAAGGGACCCACCGGCTAAAGCGAGCTCGCCGAGATGGCTGAGGAAGAGCATGGAGATCATTGACCTGGAGTAAAGTAAAAGGCCAGTGAGTATCATGGGAAAAGCTATGCTGGCTATGGAATTGGCTTCTTTTAGAGCCAAGGAGAAATGGGATTTTTTGTGGGGTTTGTGTGTTTGGTGGTGTGCGTTTAGTTGTAGCTTCTTCTGTACTTGCTCTGGTTGGGACGTTGTGCTTTTGGAGATCAATGGGTTAGTGAGCGTTTTGGTCTCTTCTGGGTCTTTAATGGAGACAAGGTAATTGCCATTGCAGCGGGGAGAAGGAGATGTCAACTTGCTCATTATTATATGAGCTTAAGGATCAATAAACTGTAAGTTACAAGGGTATTCAATTAGGATTTTAATAGATTGTAATCACATGATTTTAATGTAATAAATTTTAGTAGGATTTGTAATTACAAGATTTTACTTATGATTTTAATAGATTGTAATTACATGATTCTCTTATGATTCACTTAGGACTTTTTTGTATTCTCCAAAGAATCAAAAGATTTGCTCTAGGATTTCATATGAAATAAAATTATATAATAACATGAATTAATTATGCCACATGGATAAATAACCAAATGATAAAAGTAATAACAATAACGTCATGTAGCAACTAGACATGGCTTAAGGAAAACAAAAGTTATTCAAGACGTAATAAACATTTGTTGAAGCTTCATCTCCTCATATGACCTAGATAGCATCTCTCCACATAGCTGAAGCTATGCTAGCTCTCCATGTGTTAGCATCCTCTCTTTGTTGGTCTTGGGTTTGATAAATCAGCTCAAAATTGTCCTCTTCATCAACTGGTATTGATGAAGATTCATCAGTTGGCTCAATAGGAAATTCATCGGAATGACACTCCTTACGAAGAAAGTTATGTAATGATGCACATGTCAACACTAGCTCTGCTTGTGTTTTAAATAGAAATGGAGGAGCTGACTTAAAAATTGTGAATCGCGATTTAAAAATACCAAATATCCTCTCGATCACATTCCTTAAGGACGCATGGCGAAGGTTAAACAACTCATTTTCATTTTCAGGATCACGACCATGACCTGCAAAATCTTGGAGATGATATCGCACACCTTGAAACGGAGGTAAAAATTGGCGTCGGTTAGCAAATCCAGAATCCACTAAGAAATATTTACCTAATTATATAGTACATATATATATATATATATTAGTATGCAACATAGAAATAAAAACGTATTTCCCACCAAAAAGATAAGCATTTACCTTGAGGAACTTTAAGACCATTCCTCCTTGATAGAGCATCACTTAACACTTTTGAATCATGAGCCGAACCCTCCCATCTGCTAAGGACATACATGAATTCCAAATCAAAATTGCAAGCTGCTAATACATTTTGGGATATATTTCCATGTCGATTATGATAGTTGCTGACATCACGTCCCCTCACTATTGCTGGAATATGTGTTCCATCAATAGCTCCAATGCAATCCTGTAATAATTCAAAAATGTAATGGTATAATGTAACACCCCGACTCCAAATTTATCCCCTGTTTTAATTAATTTGAGCGAAATTAAGAATTTACCCGTGGGATAGGGGTATTTTAGTCATTTTCTTACCCGGAAGGAATTTGGGAATTCCGGATGTACCGTTGCGTAGAGCACGGCGAGATGAGTTTGTAGACACGTAGTGGGCTCGAATCGGAGCTGTAACGAAGAAGTTACGGGCAAAACATCACCAGTGGCAAAATTGTAAATATTTTGAAAGAGGTTTTTGGTTAAAAAGACGGAACTGCCCCCGTCTCTCACACACTCTCTCTCTCCCGCTCGTCTCTCCCTCTCTCCTCTGGTTTTCGCGACAGCCACCGTGGCCGACCACGTTTTGGCCGGCCGTTCACTCATCCAGCCACCAAAGTCGATGGGGCCGGTACCAAAATGACCGGGCCGCCGTCCTCTTCCTACCCCGGCCAGGTCCCACCGCCAGCCGCCGTGATTTCGCCGGAAAACGAGGAGAAAAGCTCCGGTTTTGACAGAAACTTCGCCGGCTTCGTTCTCCGTCGTCCGGCCGCCATTTTTGGCGATCAAGGTATGGAAATTCATCCCTTCTGCATGATCTAGCTGATGGTTGGGTAGGATTGCATCGATTTTGAGCGTAGGATGTTTGATTTTCGAATTGGATTTCGGCCGGATTTCGAGGGGAGATTCCGGCCACTTCCGGTCAGTTTTTGGGGTACGTCCAAGAACAAAAGTGACTCCAAATTAGGTGTATTACCTAGGGTAGGAGTCTTGGCTCTCGATTTGGAAGTTTTCCGGCGATGCGATATCGCTTTGGACACCCACGCGCTGCCGGCGCGTGTGGCGGCGCGTGGCCACTGTAGTTGAGGGGCATCTTTGTCCCACTGTGATCCTCTTGATGTCACGAGCGCGTAGGTGTGCTCGGATCTCAATTTGGATACCGTTAGAGTCCCGAACGGATATCGCATATCTCGTATTTTTCGGGTTCGCTAGGTTTGGACCGTTGGATGGTCCTGAAGTTATAATATGTTGATCTAGGTATTACCAGGATCGTGTAGGATTCGACGGATCGTAAAACGGAGTCCCGGATACTCCGGAAATGCCAACCCTGGGGTTAGGGTTTTAGTAACCGTCCGATTGTGTGATCGTGAGCGATCCGACCGTCCGATTTGGACCAAACTTGCAGGACGTGCATCTTAGAGCTTGTAGAACCTATTGGAACTTTCGGATCGGAAATTGGAGGTTGTGGGTCCCGTAGGCCCGTTTGACCCTAGGTTGACTGTGAGACCTTTGGGATAGTTCTACCTTCCCAGGAGGGTTAGAATGACCATAGAGACAGGTCCTGATGTTATGGGGATTATGGGGAATTATCGGATGCTAGTTGTTTACTAAGGTGTTTATATTATTAGAAATTAATGTAAAAAAGGTATGTATGGATTTTATGATTGAATGTTAGTTTACAGTGCTATACGCACTACCCCACGTACCCCCCCATATTGTGATTATGTAGCCAGGCCCAAGTGACAATATGATGGCTGGTGAGAATGTAGCCAGGCCCAAGTGACAATATGATGGCTGGTGAGAATGTAGCCAGGCCCAAGTGACAGTATGATGGCTGGTGAGAATGTAGCCAGGCCCAAGTGACAGTAAGATAGCTGGTGAGAATGTAGCCAGGCCCAAGTGATAGTATGATGGCTGGTGAGAATGTAGCCAGGCCCAGTGTGAGGTTGCACGCGTCTTTGGATTAGCCGGCGTGTTGACAGACCCCATACGTGGCCGGGTGCGTCCCGACGTATGAGGGGAGATATGATTGTGTGATGGCTGGTGAGAATGTAGCCAGGCCCAGTGTGAGGTCGCACGCGTCTTTGGATTAGCCGGCGTGTTGACAGACCCCATACGTGGCCGGGTGCGTCCCGACGTATGAGGGGAGATATGATTGTGTGATGGCTGGTGAGAATGTAGCCAGGCCCAGTGTGAGGTCGCACGCGTCTTTGGATTAGCCGGCGTGTTGACAGACCCCATACGTGGCCGGGTGCGTCCCGACGTATGAGGGGAGATATGATTGTGTGATGGCTGGTGAGAATGTAGCCAGGCCCAGTGTGAGGTCGCACGCGTCTTTGGATTAGCCGGGGTGTTGACAGACCCCATACGTGGCCGGGTGCGTCCCGACGTATGAGGGGAGATATGATTGTGTGATGGCTGGTGAGAATGTAGCCAAGCCTAGTGTGAGGTCGCACGCGTCTTTGGATTAGCCGGCGTGTTGACAGACCCCATACGTGGCCGGGTGCGTCCCGACGTATGAGGGGAGATATGATTGTGTGATGGCTGGTGAGAATGTAGCCAGGCCCAGTGTGAGGTCGCACGCGTCTTTGGATTAGCCGGCGTGTTGACAGACCCCATACGAGGCCGGGTGCATCCCGTCGTATGAAGGGAGCTATGTGATTATGTTTGGTGTGTTGTGATGGATAAACCCGAGAATGTATGAATTTATATGGATGTAATGGTTTAATTGATATCAGGAGCCAGGATTGATAGGAAAGAGCTACGTGTGGCTTGATCCCTTAGTAGGGTACGTAGGCAGCCTGGGATAGCGCCTAGGTGCAGCCACGGCCTAGACACCACTTAGGTGGTTTTATCGAGTATGATGCGGACCTCGTGGTTGGTCCCGAAACTTGGTTGAATTGAGGCTTGTCCGATGGACTGAATGAGTGAAGGTGTGTAAGGATGGATTTTGAATTGGTTATATGCTTGTGTGATGCATTAAGTTATTTTGAAAACAGTGTGGGCAGTTCTGCTAGAATCATTTGAAGGCCGGAGGCCATTTATGTAAATTGCATGAGATTATATTGTGCGTGCTGCTGGTTGGGTTATAAAATGTGTTTTATTCAGGTGGAAATTTTGGGGAATGTTCAATTTACAGGGGAGACTCTGCCGAAATTTCGACAGAAAGTCTCGTGCCCTTAATCCTCTTTGGTAAAAGAGGACATAGTTTTAAGGAGTGAACCCGGCATGGGTGTGATGCCAGGGTCTCCGCAGGATTCGTCTCGGGTTCTGGGAAATTCGGGGCGGGTCCTGTCATATAATGATAATAATAATAATAATAATAATAATAATAATAATAATAATAATAATAATAATAATAATAATAATAATAATAATAATAATAATAATAGTAATAGTAATAGTAATAATAATATGATAGTAACATTAATAATAATATTATGGAATGGTTGTCACTTACCTTGAAATAAGGATAAAACCTTGTACTTTCTCTTATTTTAGCTGCACTCCCGATCCTGGTTTAGCCATCAACTCAGATGCTATTGTATTTAAAGCCCTCAAAACTTTGTGAAAATTTTCACTTGTGGTGAATTGTGATCGCCCAAATTTTTTACGAATGACACAATATCGAGAATTTTGGCCGACAATTTGTAAAAATGCTGCTAGTATTTCTTCAACACAAATATATCTTGTGTCCTTTAAGAGTGTTTTTTTTTCAAAGGATAGTGCATAACTTTTGGAACACATCAAGATACATCCTATATACCTATCGGAAAATTGTGGGATCATCGTTCAATGCCTGATGTATATAATCATATCCAACGATAGTAATTCGTCGTGGAGTTAACGGACGCTCAATATGTCCTTCATCCCCCTTAGACTGATGTAGCACATGTATTCATGTTTGAGTTTCCATAAGTAAAATCTTAATGCCTTCATCAAATTCTTCATCGACTTCTTCATCTATTTCTTGTTCGTCAATTTCTTCTTCCTCTCTGTCATGATCTTCATATATGCTCGGGTATGACATTGTATGTAGATATTAAAATCTATGCTGTGAAAAAAAATATCAAAATTAACCAACAAATTAGGAATTGCAGAAAGTGACATTGTTTGTAGAATTCAAATACATGAGACTACAAAGAAAATAAAAGATTAAAAATTAATTCTTTATCATGTAATTCACATGCTCATAAAATAAAAATAAAAAAGAATTCACATACATATTAATTAGAACAATCAATTTTAATGAAATGAGAGCTATTGTTTCCAGTGATTAATGGAGACGTACTGTCTGCATGAGGACCTCATATTACTTTGTATAGATGATAGTTTTAGTTGGTCATATTACTTTATCGTTTCTAGTGATTTTCATACATATTATTTAAGTTGGCCACCACTTTTTGTTCATGGTGTGAAAAAAAATAGCATATTCATGGAAATTAAAATACAACAAATTAAACCAAATACATAGTTCAACCAAAATGACACCACCAAAATACATAGTTCAACAAAAATAGGAAAAAGTTCAATCAAAATACAACAAATTAAACCAAATACATAGTTCAACCAAAATGACACAACCAAAATACATAGTTCAACAAAAATACCAAAAATAAAATTCATAGTTCAACAATTCAAAGTAAACAATTCTCAACCAAAAACCAAGGTGATCCAAATAACAATTCATCCCAATTTGAAGGATATCCAAGATGAGCGCTCTTCGGGTGACATCTTCAAGAACATGTCTTGTTTTACTTTAGTATTAAACAATTCAACCGCCTTGTATCGAGAATTGTCATCCAAGTTCGGTACATCCTTCATAGCATCCCAAATACTATTCTCTCTATTTCTTTCTCTTTTCTCCATTAGAGCATAGATTTTCTCAAAATTGGTGGATATGGTTTCAAGAACTTTGGCTTGATTGGTGGAACCAATTGAGTTAGAACTCCTTTCATACTCGGATCTACTTGGCTTGTTTTGACTTGTTTTTCCTTGAGGAACGTCAAAACCTAAAGGGGACTCAAAGGGTGGTGTAGATTGGTAGGGTGATGAAGGTTGGAAGGATGGTTGATAGTGACTTGGTGGTACAAATGTCTCATTGGCAGCATCATATGTAAAGTCTTCCATCCCAAAATTTAGGTTTTCCTCGTCCCTAAAAGTTGTTGCATCGGTATCATCGACACCTAATGCAAGGGAGCCATTCCCAGTAGCAGTTGCACCCTCAACCACAATTTTTAAATCATCATAATTAACAACACTTTCTGTTTGAAGGTTCTTGTGACTTGGGTGGGACTAGCAAACAAACAAAAATTGATGATTTTTAATATATTATAAATAAAATATTAGACCAAGCTAGTAAGTGACATAGCATATAATATGAAGCTCACCTTCAAGTAATTTTCCCATACTTCATCACTAGCCGTGAACTTCTTTGTAATTGGGTCCCACCCAAATCCAGAGTTGTTACGCATAAGAGTAGTCATTTTGTCAAACTGCTTCTTATACCATCTCATTCGGCTCACGTAATTGTTATATGTTTTAGGAGACACTATTTTCTCATTTAGGTGAGGAAGTACTCTTTTTTCTATTGTTTGCTTACTTATTGACCCATTAGTATCACACTATCCTCGACCGATACCATCAACCAATAGCTCTAACAAGAAATTGCTTTCTTCTTTGGTCCAAAGTTCATAATTATCGAATCTTTTGCCTTTTCCTTTGTCCTTTCCTTGTTGTGAATCCTTCATTTTACTACATAATACATGTAAGAGAAACTTCTTTTACTACTATATCATATATCACACATAATTATCACAACTTTACATCAAACAACAATGATAGAGTCAAATAAGCACATGAGAAAATGCAATTAGTATAAATTCATACTTGCAAAAAAAGAAAGTCCTAAATTTTTAGTGATGTGTAGTTACCTGGATACTCTTGAGCAAATAAAATATGCTTAATGATACACCAATTTGAGCAAATAAAAGTAAAGATTAGACTTTTATTAGTATGTAATAAATATCATTGCATATATAACTTGATAAACTTTCATTAATTGATTGGTATGCAAACTCTTGATTATTTTTCATGTTTTAGAGGCCCAAAGGATTATTTTTCATATACTTTCATAAATAAACTTTCATGTTGTGTAGTCTCGGTGGTTCTATATGACCTCTCTTTGGTCTTTATTAATTAATGAAAGTTCATCTTTATCAAAAATAAAAAATATAAAAAATAAAAAATCGTAGCATAGTGGTCCTTTTCTCCCAAGTGGGACTAGAAGACCCAAACACTATGCATTCAAACCAAGAAATAAAGCATCCTAACGCAAGGAAATTTCCTACTGATGGACTTCTTCTAGTCTTTCCACCGTCCACTATTTATTAGTATTATATAAAAGAAAGATAAGAAAGACTAGTTTTAGATCAAAATAAAACAAGGAAGTCTCAACGATGATAAGCATCTGTGCACCCAGTGGCTTCTACTAACAAAACGTTTTTCAACAACAATATCTTTAAAATATTATATATCCCTGCTAACAACAATATCTTTAAGACTTGCATCGTATTGATCTCAAAAAATATATATCCCTGCTAACAATTCTGCCATTCTATAGTTATTTGAATAGCTATTCTATCCAGGTTTTACAAAAGTAATAAAATATTATTTTATGAAATAATAAATAAAAAAATCATTCCTAAAGAATGGGCAATGCGCAACAAACCAAACAATCTTTACAGATTGGTTTCTTTGTCTGTTCCACAGCAAAAGATGTATGTAGGCTTGTGCCCACAACAAAGCAACATAGATAATGCAAATAGAGACAAAAAAAAATAGTAACAAGCATGTGAAGAGAAAAGATGAGAACCTTGTTCAGTTCTCAAATCTATTCATCTTCTCCCAAAACAAACCAACATGAGAATCATATGTAATAGGGTGTGATTTTTTATGGGGTTTGGTATTTATATCACCCACTGAAAAGTCTCACAGAATACATCATTTAATGAAATACCTCAAAATCGGTAAGTTTTTTAATATCACCGTACTTTTTCTAATCTTTTGAAAGTCCTAATTGAATACCACCAGACTTGAATTGATGATTTTAAAATCCTAATTGAATACCATCATATTTTTATTGATTACTTATAAATCATAATTGAATACCACTAGAATTTTAAGCTTAAAAAAAATCTATTAAAATCCTAATTCAATACAACCCCTAAATTTTTAAGGGGAGAGAGAGAGAGAGAGAGAGAGAAAGAGTTGAGATTTGATATTTGAGATTGTGGGGGTCTTAAGTGGGGGTAGTTGAGGGGTTTTATAGAGAGTTTATGGGGCTTAGAATTTGGTGGAAACTTCCTTTGGAGGGACTATAGAGTCTTTGTGATGACCGGCCAGCAAAATAGTGAGAGATGGGTGTAAAATTCACTTTCAATTCTTAAGAACTAAGATTTGGTTTAATTTTGTTTCTTCTACTAGATATTTATTATTCTTCTATATTAAATTGATCAAATTGGTTTAATGCTATTATTCTTATAGTAAGCCGTTGAAAGTTGTGTTGCTTCACAACGTAATTCTACATAAAAAAGAAGTCTGCATGCTTTGATATTTTGGTTCACATGAATATGTGCTTTGCCCATCCAAACTTATTTGTAGTTATTAGGATAACCTTTTTTTTGACAATTTTTTTTTATGAGTCAAATTTATATCCAGGATCGCTTTCCCTTATTCGGTGGAACCTTCGACGTGAGTGTGAAGGTTCACAAGATACCTAAAATGAGAACCAAGAAAAGACGTTACACAGATCAAATTAAAGTGTGAAGGTTCACAGAACGTAGTGAATCTTTGCCGACAATGAACATGCATGCCACAGTAGTGAACTCGGTCCTCTGTGATCAGCTGTAATCTTGACTTTCTTTTTCTTTGAAAAGAAAACAGGTACAAAACAAAAGGGGAAAAAAGTTAAGGAAACCTAGTTAATTTGGCTTTACAAAGCTGTACGTATTTAAACCAATAGTTTGAAAACAAAAAAGCTCTTGTCAGATAAAAGGTTAAATTTAGAGGTTGTGTATTTCTTCACGTTTTATTAAATTTAAAAACCGAGTATCAAGGTTATACGAAGAAATAAAATTATAGGAATAAAAATTGTTCCCTCAATTTTGAATTAAAAAGAAAAAAGAAACTCAAATAAATGAAACAAAAATGGGGAAAATGAAGAGGAGACAAGGCAACATAGGGTTGAATGATGCTAGCTGCGATCCGCTACACCCTCTCCTTAACCTTATCTCTTCGTGTAAAACTCTCATGTGTCTGGTGGTGTGTGCTGCATTCAACATACTTACAGGAAAAGTAATTCTGCTGCTGATCTCCTTGCATCTATTGGGATTTCGATGTGGAAATTTAAAAGTACAAATGATTTCATAAATGATGGAATTTAAAATGACGGAAATTGATGTTCTAGAATTTGTAAAGTTTCTTGTTTTGGTGATGGATTTAAAACACGGAATTTAACCTTTATTTGTAAAGTTATCTTTTTTAAAAACTCAATCTCTCTTGGATGGGTCCAAAGAAAAGAAAAGAAGCCATCATGCATTGCAATTTGCATTCAATCAATTCAAATTCAACCATGTTTTCAACTGCAGCAGGCATATGTTTCAAGGGCAGGAGGCACAAGTACTTGGTTCTCCTACGGAACTTTTTCCATTGAAAACTTGCCAATTTTGGGCATCTTTTATTGAGAGTAGGAGACAAGTCTTTTGGGTTCAACTCTCTCAACTCCAAGGGCACCATTTGGTTCAAACTCCATAGGCCATTGCCTGATAGGGAAGCTCTCCAGATGAAAAAAAAACTTACTTGCAATGTGCTATTTCTTACCAATAATACTATAACATGTGAAAAAGTTATCCTACGTATCAGGGGCGGATCTTAAGCCAGGGCAGGGTAGGCTACCGCCTACCCAAAAATATTTCACTAAAAAAAAACCTATATATAAGCTATGTAATTGATATCCATTCCGTGTGTTGGTATACACTCTTGCCTACCCAATCCATATAAAACCCACAGCACAAGCCCACTCAAACTTTAAAAAACTGAAGAAAAAAAATTATAACCAGCCAGCTCATGTTATGAATGGCCCAGTCAAACTTTAATAAAAGAAAGAATATAACTTAAGCAGCCAAATAGTGGCTGTGCAGTGCAATTCCAGACAGAGTCGGGAGAGCTTCTTCTCAACGCAAGTCTTGGCTGTGCTGTGCAATCGTGGACACTGGACAGCCTCTTCTCTTCTCTTCTCATATACAAGGAAACAAGTATTCTTCTTAATCTCTTCTCTTTAATTATCTTCTTCTATTGTGTTATTCCATTGGGTCGAGTTTTTAAGGTAAGTTTCGCCTACCTGACTTTTAAATCCTGGATCCGTCACTGCTACGTATCATTGCGTTATTGACAAAAAATCCGTTGCATGAAGATGAAGGTGTTTCTCCTCTAGATGATGTAAACTCTCACTTGCAAATCAAATTTGGAAAGGAAAAGGTCAACTTTTGTTGGGATTTTTCCTTTGAATGTGCCCCTTTTAAAAAAAAATTATTATTCTTCTAGTAAGCCGTTGAAACACGGATGAGTGGGTTGGTCTCCTTAATTACTGTTTTAGCTCTCTTCCCATCCTTATCAAAAGGTCATAACCCATAAGTAAGCCCATGGTAAGACGCAAGGACTCATTTGGAGTCGAATTATTTGGACAAAGACAATGATTTAGTCATAAAATCGTGTAATAAATTCTACACAAAAAAGAAGTCTGCATGCAATATGTGCTTTGACCCAACAATTCGACTTCTCCTTCCTGCCTTTTGGACTATTCGATTATAACTTGAGCAAATTGCCCATCCAAACTTATTTGTAGTTATTAGGAGAACCTTTTTTTGTCATTTTCTTTTATGAGTCCAACCTTCGGTGGAACCTTCGACGTGAGTGTGAAGGTTCACAAGATACCTAAAATGAGAACCAAGAAAAGACGTTACACAGAACAAATTAAAATGAGACATATAAAAACAAATATTTAGAAAGAAAAACAATAGTATGCAAAAGCCAAAGTTGGGAGAAAAGAAAAGAAAGAAAAATAACTGCCGACTCTATAATTTGATGTTGCAAAAAAAATGGCAATCAACCCAACCCTGTGAATATCAAAAGCAAATTAGTCAATTACAAAAACAAAAAATCAAAATCATTATTTATTAGGATAATGCTAGGATTACGACATTTTTGTAACACATTGGGTACCACCTCTATAATAGAGGTGGAGCCCACTAATACAACGGTACTCATCTCTATTAGAGAGGTGGTACACAATGTGGTATAAAAAATGTGATAAACATAGCATTCTTCTATTTACTAACACCAAAAAAAAAAATCAAAATCAAAATGAAAAGAGTGGACATGAGGAGATGATGATGGATTAGGAGGTATGGAGTATAGGGGACACGTG